ACTATTGAGCTCATCTCTGTTAGAATGTCTCATCTTGGAGATCAGCGCCGTCCATTCTTGAGCGTTCTCGCACAGATTGTGGAGCGCTCACAAAATATCGAGCTGTGCAGCAAGATTTTGGGCATGGCAGAGTCATGGATCTTCCATTCCACCGAGTCATGGCCCACCCTGAAGGAGAAGACGGCTGTTCTGCACAAGATGCTGCTTTTCGAATCTCGACCTGATCAGACAATGTTGAAGAAGTTCCTTGATCTTGTCATTCGAATCTACGAAGACGCAAAAATCACTCGGACCGAATTAACAGTCCGTCTAGAGCATGCCTTCCTGATTGGCACAAGAGCCCAAGATGTCGAAATGCGGAATCGCTTCATGCAAATATTTGATAAGAGCTTGACTCGTCTTGCCAGCTCGCGTCTCAGCTATGTCCTCACATGCCAGAACTGGGATACTCTCGCTGACTCCTTCTGGCTGGCCCAAGCATCGCACTTAGTGCTTGGATGTGTGGATATGACAACCGCAGCGCGCTTGCACCCGGATGACTTCACCCTGTTCCCCGTGTCGTTCCTCTTCGGCGGCGGCGAGAAAGATCCGAGGAAGGCCGACATCATGGTTGACAACCAGCTGGAGACTTTCGTCGCAGAACGGAGGCGATTCATGTCGGATATTGGCGATGTCAGAGTTCGGGATCTGATCGAGCCTCTATGTCAGCTTCAACACACCGATTCGAATGTTGCCTATCGGCTGTGGACTACCATCTTCCCTCTCTTCTGGTCCACACTGTCCAATAAAGACTGTCTTGATCTAGAGAAGGACATGGTCACATTGCTTACTCGTGAGTACCACCACAGACAGCTAGATAAGCGGCCCAACGTCGTGCAAGCCCTCCTGGAGGGTACTGTGCGTGCTAGTCCCCGGTTCAAGATTCCTCCACATGTTATGAAGTATCTCAGCCGCACCTACGATGCATGGTACACTGCTGCTACCTACCTTGAACAAACCGCGATCAATCCGATCATTGACACGCCTACTGTACGCGAAAGCAATCTCGACGCTCTCGTTGAGGTTTACGCTGGCCTCCAAGAAGACGACTTCTTCTACGGAACCTGGCGCCGCCGTTGCAAGTTTGTCGAAACTAACGCCGCGCTTTCGTACGAGCAACAAGGAATGTGGGACAAGTCTCAACAACTCTACGAGAACGCCCAAATCAAGGCCCGTTCCGGTGCCATGCCATTCTCGCAGGGCGAATACTTTGTGTGGGAGGACCACTGGCTGATCTGCGCCCAGAAGCTCCAGCAATGGGAGATTCTGAGCGACTTTGCCAAGCATGAGAACCTCAACGATCTCTTGCTGGAGGCTGCTTGGAGGAACATCGAAAACTGGCAGAGTGAAGGTAACCGCGAGCAGCTTGAGTCATTGATCAAGTCTGTATCCGATGCCCCGACTCCCAGGCGCACCTTTTTCCAGGCCTTCATGGCCCTTCTGCAATACCACACGAAGAAGGACAATATTCAAGACTTCAACAGTGTCTGCGATGAGTCTATCCAGCTCTCTATTCGCAAGTGGCTTCAGCTACCGAAGCGCATCACCAATGCTCATATTCCTATCCTGCAGCATTTCCAACTCCTGGTTGAGCTGCACGATGCCAGCCACATATGTAGCAGCTTGGCCCAGACCAATGAAAGGAACTTGGATACCAAGTCTGCCGAACTCAAGCTGCTTCTCGGAACCTGGAGAGACCGTTTGCCTAATCTCTGGGATGATATCAACACGTGGCAGGATCTCGTCACCTGGCGTCAACACATCTTCCAGCTCATCAACGGCACCTACCTCAGTCTTTTGCCTCCGCAGACGAATAATGTGGCCAGCAACTCTTACGCCTACCGCGGATACCATGAAACAGCTTGGATCATCAACCGATTCGCCCATGTAGCTCGAAAGCACCAGATGCCAGAGGTCTGCATCAACCAACTCAGCCGTATCTACACCCTTCCGAACATCGAAATCCAAGAGGCCTTCCTCAAGCTTCGGGAGCAAGCGAAGTGCCACTACCAGAATCCGAAAGAGCTGAACAGCGGGTTGGACGTGATCAACAACACCAACCTCAACTACTTCGGGCCGCAGCAGAAGGCCGAATTCTACACGCTCAAGGGCATGTTCCTCGCCAAGCTTGATCATGTCAATGAGGCCAATGAGGCGTTTGGAGTTGCTCTTTACTATGATCTTCGTCTTGCGAAGGCCTGGTCTGAATGGGGACAATACAGTGATCAGCGCTTCAAGGCTGATCCCACAGACTACGAGCTTGCTAGCAATGCCGTTAGTTGCTACCTAGAGGCTGCTGGTCTCTACAAGAGTGCGAAATCCCGCAAACTGCTCAGCAGAATTCTTTGGCTTCTCAGCCTTGACAACGACGAGGGAAAGATCGCAAGTGCGTTCGAGAACTTCAAGGGAGACACACCAGTGTGGTATTGGATCACTTTCATTCCTCAACTTCTTACTAGCTTGTCCCACCGGGAGGCGCGCCTTTGCAAGGCTGTCCTGGTCAAGATCGCCAAATTGTACCCACAGGCTCTCTTCTTCTTGCTTCGCACGAACAGAGAGGACATGCTGAGCATCAAGAAACAGCATGACCAGAAGCAGGAGAAGTTGAATCGAGCCAGACAGCAGCAGCAAGGATCCTCGCCAAGTACGAAGCCTAATCTGGCTGCTGGTGCCAATACCTCCCCTGCCCAGAAAGCCCAGGCTGCAACTGCATCCCCGTCGGTTCCGCCTGCGAACTCGCCCGCTACACAGAACCCGGCTATAGGCCAGACCCAGTCTCCCGCGCAGCCACAAACCGCTGTGCAGGCATCCCCACAGGCCAGCCACACTCCTGGCCAAGCACAGCAAATGCATCTGCAGGTGCCAGGCCAGACTGGAACACCGCAACTGAACCAGGCTGCACCCGGGGAGGGCGATAAGGAGCCTTTGAAGAAACCTTGGGAGTATTCGGACGAAATCATGTCTGGACTCAAGACGGCCTTCCCCTTGCTTGCTTTGTCTATGGAGACAATGGTTGACCAGATCCACAAAAACTTCAAGTGTCCCCCTGACGAGGATGCTTACCGACTCATCGTTGCTCTCTTGAACGATGGCCTGGCCTACGTGGGTCGCATGCCTGGATCTTATGCCCAAGACTTCAAGCTTCCTGCGGCAACGGAAGCCAACATCACCAGATTCGCAGAGACAATTCTCCCGGCTCACATTCGCAAGTCGTTTGAGGCTGACTTTGTGACCAAGAAGCCAACCATGAACGAGTACATTCAGAAGCTTCGACGATGGCGTGACAAGTTCGAGGAAAAGCTTGATCGCAGATCACAGCATACATTCCTCGAGAACTCTTCACCTCATCTGAGTGAGTTCCGCTTCCTTAAGTTTGATGAAGTCGAGGTTCCCGGCCAGTACCTACTCCACAAGGATAAGAACCAAGACTTTGTCCGCATCGACCGCTTCCTTCCCGATGTGGACCTTATCCGAGGCATTGGTGTCTGTCACCGCCGCTTGAAGATCCGAGGACATGACGGCAGTGTACAAGCGTTTGCAGTTCAGCATCCCGCTGCCCGCCACTGCAGACGCGAAGAACGCATTCTTCAACTGTTCCGGATTTTCAATGGTCTGCTTGCGAAACGCAAGGAGAGTCGCCGCCGCAACTTGTACTTCCACCTGCCGTTAATGATTCCTCTAGCACCGCACATTCGCCTGGTGCGCGATGATTCCTCGTACATCTCCATGCAGGGAATTTACGAGGATTACTGCCGTCGCAAGGGCATCAATAAGGATGACCCGGTGCTCTTCACAATGGAGAAGATGCGGTCCTTGGCAGAAACCAAACAGAATGTAAGTGTCCATTCACTCCACCTTTCTCATAACAAAAGCTAATAATGCCCAGCGCACGCCCGATCAGCAACAGGTCCTTCGCACTGAAATCCTGACTGCTATTCAAGACAAATGGGTCCCTAGTACCGTGGTATTAGAATACTGCCAGCAGACATACCCCAACTTCTCAGACTTCTGGCTCTTCCGTCGCCAATTTGCCTATCAGTACGCAGCGATCGCTTTCATGACCTACGTTATGCACATCGGCAACCGATACCCGAACAAGATCATGATCTCTCGTTCAACAGGCGATATCTGGGGTGCCGAATTGATCCCCACCATCAACCCAGCCAAGGCGTTCTTCTACAACCCCGAGCAAGTCCCCTTCCGCTTCACACCAAACATCCAGACTCTTCTGGGTCCCATTGCGACCGAGGGTGTGTTCGCCTGTGCAATGATGGCAATCGCCCGCTGCTTGACGGAGCCTCGACACGAGCTGGAGCAACAGCTCAGCGTCTTCGTCCGCGATGAGATGATGTTCTGGGCCACGGCTCATCACCGCGGTGTCCTGCCCCCTGGACAACTCCGCGATCTGGTCTACAACAACAGTGAAATCATCGTCAACCGTGCCGTCAGTCTTGCCAGTCCGCCCGAGGGTAATCTACCTGCCAATCAGACCACCATCGATTTGATCTCCAAAGCCGTTAACCCTCAGCATCTGGCGTCGTGCGATGCGTTGTGGATGCCGTATCTGTGAATGGTCTTGTATGGCTGTGTGTTTCTGTCCTCCCAATTGGCGATGGGGACTTCTTCTGTTGCTATTGTATGTTCTGAAAAGGTGGTTTCGTCTCTGGGTTTGTTTTTCCGAGCGTGGGCGCATCTTTACTTCACGTTACTATGACTGTGATACCGATTTCTTTCTTGTTTTAATAGCTTCTACAATGTCTTTGATACTTCGGAATATTAGCCCTGATAGTTATTAATGTTTCGATTTCCATTTCATTGGTATCTGAGGATATTCATCCTGTAAACACATAACGCCTTCCCATTGCTTGAATTCAGTCGTCAAATCCTGATCGCGTGAATGCTAGCTCAAACTCCGTTTCCCATAAAAAAAAATCCTCGGCGTTAATGCGTGTGTTGGGGCCTTAGACCAGGCGTGGCTTCGTCTTGCGGAGGCCATAGGGGTCGGGACGGGCACGTCGCTTGCGAGGCTTCCAGAAGTCAGGGTCCGTGAGCGGCTCCTTGGGTCGGTTCAACTCTTCCTCAATGGCAGCCGCGCGTGCAGCACGCTTTTTCTCCTGGAACAACTTGCGAATAGCCTCAGCGTCAGCAGCGGCCTCTCGCTCAGCTCGGAGGGTCTCCTCGTTGATTTCGTCCTGGACGGTAGCAAGAGCAGCGTCGGCGCCACCGGCTTCCTTGCGCTCGATACGGGCGTTGCGGGTGCGGATCTCGTCGAGGGCGTCGGCAACCTTCATCTCGCGCTTGGAGTCAAGCATCTTGTCCTCGAGTTCGGCCATCTTGTCGCGTTCCATCTGCTCCTCCTTCTCGCCATGCTGTTTCTCAAGTCTGTCGAGAGTCTGCTCCTCGGTTTCGTCGTTGTACTTCTCGTCTGTGTTGTCGCGCCAGACTTCGAAGTTGCGCTTGGCACCGCGTTCACACTGGTAGTCATTGTCTGGGTTGAATGTCAGTCTTAGTAGGCCACGCGTGGGAGTATGCTTTCATGAAGACAGTGGACTATGCTGCATGAAGTCATGGGATTAAACTTACTCTTGGGGTCGGTACGGAAGGTGATCTCGCCACTGCAGCGGGTGCAGCGGATGTAGAAACGGAAGATTTGCACCGAAAGGTATCGCTCCTCGAGAGTTTCCTTGCGGGCGTTGAATTTGCGACCCTTCGGAATGTACTCACCACAGTGGGTACATTTCATCGAGAAGGGTGTCATGAGACGACTTGCAGAAAGCTTGGGCTCGTTGCCATCCTTGCGAGAGCGCTTGGACGAGCGCTCGATCGCCGATGGATCGAAATCCGGCGGATAGTACTTTGATAGAACCTTGCGTTCAGCCATTTTGCTTTTGTGGTCAAGGAAAGGAAGTGTTGAAGAAGGTAGAAACTCACTTTGGCCTCGGGTAATTTGGCTGGATCCATGATTGCCGATAAGCAGGTCACGTGCGATAAGCGAGTCCCGTGCGATAAGCGCGTCGAGGTTTGTCGAGGTCGCGAGGTCGCGAGTTCGCGAGTTCATCCACGCGTCTCGACAACCTTGCCAACGAAGTGGAAGCCCATTAGGAAGGCGCGTTCGGGGGCTCCTTCCTGTCCGGCCTACACTTGAGGGTCTTCCAAATGCCTTCACAACCCAAAGCTTGTTCATACATGTAGTTTTGATTATGGATTCTCTAGATACTTACGTAGAGTGACCATGTTGCTAGATCCAACGTATCTGTAGGGATTAACGTGTCCATAATTAACATAGAGAAGTTTGAACTGGGGAATTGAATGGGTTTCCCGTAGCACCGGTACATATGGTATACAGTAGACCCGTGCCTATTGCATTTTAAATGCATAAGAGAGCAAGTTTCACATATGATGCTCAATAACCATAAGCATACAAATTAGGTAATGTCTTGCGCTTGATGATGAGGCTACTAACTTTGCAAACGGTTTTTCTCTTCTTCTACATATGTTGTCGTGCCAGTAAGGCGCGCACGGGCCACTTTCAAAATAGACCCGGAGTTACCCACCTTGCTTGGGCTCCTTCTGGGCTCTATGTCTTTGTGAATTTATTTTCTCAGGTCTCCGTTATGGAAAGGTTTCTGCGCTCCTGGAGGCAGGACGCGCTGAACCGTGGTCAGCATGATTCCGCAATCTACATTGGGGACAAAGTCCTAGCGCTCACTAGTAAGGACGACAACACATGGATATACAATCGGATACTGACTGGCTGCCACAGACAGTGATTCTGACGCGTTTTGGCTGGCTCAAGTACACTTCTCAAATAATAACTTCACCCGCGCCCTGGCTCTTCTGTCCCGCAAGGATCTCGTTTCTCGAAGCACCGCCTGTCGCTACCTTGCTGCGCACTGCTACATCAAACAGAATCAATTCGATCAAGCCCTCTCCATTCTCGGCGAACACAATCCCACGGACCTCATTCGCAATAACCACACCCGGCGCAAGATCCAACACCAAAGCCATGTCACACTGCGCAACGGGAAGAGCGCGACGCCGCGCAGTGATCGAGCGGAGGAGCGAGAGCGTGAGGATGCCAATAATGTCCGGTTTGAAGCTGCCATGTGTTATTTACGGGGACTCTGCTTCGCCAAGCAGAATGCGTTTGATCGTGCCCGGGACTGTTACAAGGATGCCGTGCGCATCGACGTGCAGTGTTTTGAAGCATTTGACCAACTCATGAAGAATTCCCTAATGTCTCCCACGGAGGAATTGGAATTCCTGGAATCACTCGACTTTGATTCCGTTTCATCACCAGATCCAACCATGGCACAGGAAGCCGCCCATTTCACGAAGATGCTTTACACCACTCGTCTATCAAAATATTCCTCCCCCACCATACTCTCCGATGCCACCGAAACCCTCTCCACACATTATAATCTTGCAGAGAACCCGGATATCCTTTTATCCCGCGCCGAAGCTCTGTATACGCAATGTCGATTTGCAGAAGCTCTGGAATTGACGTCCTCCATCCTCTCCACATCTCAATCAACCGACCTGACCTCCACAAATCCCAGCATTCCCGCCCAAAATAACCTCGGCCATGCTCCAGCCATCTATCCGCTCCACTTGGCTTGTCTTTACGAGACCGGTGCCACGAATGCCCTATTCTTACTCTCTCACATGCTCGCCGATCACTCTCCCGAAGAGCCTTACACATACTTAGCAATCGGAGTCTACTATCTCTCGGTATCAAAGGTAGCTGAAGCGCGGCGTTTCTTCTCCAAGGCCTCATTGCTGGATCCCCATTCGGCCCCGGCTTGGATTGGATTTGCGCACACCTTTGCCGCAGAGGGCGAACATGACCAAGCTATCGCGGCGTACAGCACCGCTGCTCGACTTTTCCAGGGCAGTCATCTCCCCCAGCTCTTCTTAGGAATGCAACACCTTGCCCTAAATAACATGTCTCTGGCGCACGAGTATCTATGTGCTGCTCATGCTATGTCAACGGGAGCTGCCCCGGGCTCTGTGCCTTCTCTTACACCTAATCCGTCAGGGATCGTTTCAGCCGTCGGCGGAGACCCACTGGTTCTCAACGAGCTTGGAGTTGTCTTTTACCATCAGAATCATCTTGGCGGCGCCGTTGAATTGTTTGGGCAAGCACTGGCGCTAGCTACTACGCTCCACTGCGAACCTAGCGCCTGGGTGGCTACACGGGCGAACCTGGGTCATGCCTTCCGTCGCATGGGCCGTCTGTCCGAGTCCCTTCGTGAATTTGATGAATGTCTTCGCGTGGGCGCAGGAGGGAGCAGCATGGGCTACTCGCCGTTTTTGGGTGGTGGTACGGGAGGCTCAGCGGCGATCGCAACCGCATCCGGGGTTGGGGGCTACGAAGATCGGGGCCTGACGGGCTCTCTTCATACGTCTCGTGGCCTTGTGTTACTGGAGTTAGGACGAACTACAGACGCAGTGACTGCCTTGCATGAGGCCGTGCGTGTACTTGGGGCGAGTGGCGGCGGCGATGCCGCCGGGGGTGCTGGTGTGGCCGGTACACTACTTTCACGTGCACTTGAGTTGTGGGCCTTGGAGGGGCGACAAAATGATCGCGCGGCTTTTGAGGAAAGCATGCGGGAATCTAGTGCAGCCTCTAAGCGCCGGGGATCTAATCGGTCTCGTGAACACAAGGGTAAAGAGCGAGTTGCCGCGGAAGAGATGTCTCGCCGACGTGGACGTCATGAGTCCTTTCTGGAAGAATGGACGGACGAGGCGCCACGTGTCGCCACGCCCCCGGCTGAAGATGAAAAGGTTGAAATGGATCTTGATGAGGAAGCTGACGGGCTTTTACGCCGAGCTCTTGGCCGTGTACGGCACAGTCGACAACGTCGACCAGCAGTACCTGCCACCCCGGACATGGATACTGAGACCCCTGCTCCATCCAGTGGCCGCAATCGGGGGATACGACATAGTCGGAGTCACTCTGGACATTGACAAAGCTTTCAAAATCCTGGCCCCTCTAGGTGAAATTTTGCATTATTTTCCATGCATTGCAGCGGGAGTTTCTGTGTGGAAATTGGCTTGGGTTGGGCAATGGCTGGGCAATTGCTGCATTTCACACTAGAGAATCAAGCAGACATTGTTAGACAAATAGCTTATCCTTCTTTTCTACGGCATGGTACTCCAGATGTAGTTCAAACACAGCCCTGTGGATCTGACTTTATCCCATATTTGGGACTATCTTCCTATACGAGCTGCTCTATAGTATCCTATCAGTCAGAGGCATATAAATTAAGAGACATTGAGATTAATATTCCAAGACAAGGTTCCCCAGAGCCCCAAGCCACCACAAGCCAGAAGAAAAGATAGTTCACGCTTGTGGTCTTGGCATTGGGTTCTTTGTTTCCTTTTTTGACCTCCCTCTTTTTTCATCTTTCTCATCTCTCTCGCTATATCTCGGAGGATTATTCCTGTCCAACCAATCTAGTTCTGTCAACCCAATCAAAAACCAATCAAAAAAAAAAGGAATGTCATTCTTTGAAAATGCCAAAAAGGAACCCAAACGAGACCAAACGATGACGCCGCTCCCCCCACTGGGGCCGGGCTGAGGCTTGCCAATCCGTTGGTATTTGGGGGCTTAGGGGGCGATCGTCCAGAGTCGCCCATCATTGCCCTTTCCGGGGAACGTTTCAGGGCTGCCTTGATCGGCGCCCCTTCTCTCTTTCCTTTCCAAGTTCTTTCCTTTAAGATATTCAGATACTCTATACACTCCTTAGACAACCCCCGATCACTCCCAGATCATGCCGTGCCAGCCTGGATGTACACCATGACAGCCTCATTTCTTATCCGACCGCGCCGCGGCTTGTCGCTGCTGTGCGTCATAGCCGCATTTAGCTTCAGCGTCGTCATGGTGATTTGGTTTGGCATGAACTCCGACAGAGAATACATTCACCCCATGCTCACTCAGTTAATCCCCGCCGGACACTGCGCATGCGAATCCTCTACTACCTTCCAATGCTCAACATGCCTCACCTGTCCCGAACCGGCCTTCCTTGACCTTGAAGAGATCTCTCCCGCTTGGTCCTACGAATACGCTCGCGACGGTCGCAATGAAGCCCTCAGTGATAGCCAGTGCAAAGCTGCCTTCCCGGGGTTATTTGAGGATATCGCGCGCGGAGGCAAATTCTGGTCTTCGCACGGTCGCTTGTCATCGGCGGAACTCGATGCGATCACAATCCAACATGGTATGGCGCGGGCTTTTATCTCTAAAGGCCAATTATATGTGGTCATGGCGAGATCTAAGGGTGAAGATCATCGACGAAAAATCCTGGGGACATTAAGCTCAATCCATCGTGCGCTGGCCGCCGACCCGAGACAAGCTTTTCGACCTGACATTGAATTTATTTTCTCGGTGGAAGACAAGGTCGAGGATGTGACCAACTCCGAATTACCGGTCTGGGTCTTTTCGCGCACTCCCACTGAACAAGGGGTTTGGCTCATGCCAGATTTTAGTTTTTGGGCGTGGGATAACCGTGATAATTACATGGGACCGTATGACCAGGTGGTGGAACGAATCAAACGATTGGATATTCCCTGGTCTCAGAAAACGCCTCAGTTAGTGTGGCGGGGCAAGCCCAGTTTCGCGCCGAAATTACGACGCGCGTTAATGGAGGCCGCTAGAGATAAATCGTGGGGCGATGTTAAGCAGGTTGATTGGCATACGGGTTCCAACGTCCTCAAGATGGAAGATCATTGCCATTACATGTTTATTGCGCATGTTGAAGGTGTGTTTAATCTATATTTACTATGGGACTTAGGACACCAGCTGACACTCTATTTAGGTCGCTCTTATTCGGCTTCATTAAAATACCGACAGGCTTGTAACTCCGTCATTGTCGCACACAAACTTCAATTCATTCAACATCACCACTATCTTCTAGTGGCAGATGGTCCCAATCAAAACTACGTCGAGGTCGAGCGCGACTTCAGCGACTTATCTGAAAAGATGGAACCCCTGGTCGCCAACACCGAAGTTGCCCAGCGCATCGCCAACAACAGCGTCACGACCTTCCGTGAGCGATATCTGACCCCCGCCGCTGAAGCCTGCTACTGGCGGTCTCTGTTCGATGGCTACGCCAATGTGTGGAACGGGACCGTCGAGCAGTGGTCCAAAAGGGAGGAACGCGAACGAGGCCTTCGATACGAATCGTTTGTCCTTCTTGAGAGCGTGAAGATGTACGAATTCGATGCTGCTATCTCTGAACAATGGCAGGCGATATTATGATTCGCAACCGAGTACGGCAGACTACATACAACCTACAATAATGTGTTAATACCTGATGTCTTGGGATAAGGCCAGGATAGATGCGTCGGGTGATTTTTTTTGAAGGCGTTTTGGGGTCGACGTTTCCCCATGTGATACCACGAGAGCGATTATCTTAGACAATTGAACAAACAATTTAGCAGTCGTTTGATTGCATTTCATTCTGTCAATCCCAGTTTGCTTCTTTCTAGGGTGCTTCTCTATCTTCTACTCGTACACCCACTCAGTCCAGTCATAATGTTACCACCCAATACGCCCGAGCTCATCCATTGCACCTCGATCCCTAACTCTGAACCAGTCTCCCCATTCACGACTTCAGCTCGGTCAACATAACCCGACAACCCAGCGGCGCCAAGATCCCGCCCTATTCAAGTCAGCATATATCCAATACGCCCAAACCCAGAAAATACCATACCGGCGTCATCTTCAACCGATATCCAGGATCAACAACCCAACTAACCCTCCCAAGCAAAACAAACAACAAAATCTTCACCTGCAACAACGCAAACCCCTGCCCGAGACACTTGCGCTTATGAGCATTAAACGGAATATAAGTCCCCTTGACAGTCTCCCTCCGAAACCTCCCCTGCATCTCCTCAATACTCTCCCCCCACCTCTCAGCCCGGAACTCTCGCGCATCATCACCCCAGACAGCGGGGTTACTATGCACCGCCCACGCATTCCATCCTACAAACGTCCCCTTCGCAATAGGAAGTTCTCCACCCAGCATCGCAGGTTGCAATGCAACACGGTTAATCAGTTGACAAACAGGTGGGAATAGACGAAGTAGTTCCAACACCACGGCTGTGAGATACGGTAGACTATTGATGATTTCCTGTGATGGGTTCGGGTGTGTTTTTGCCGTTTCGAGGATCTCAACCCGTAGTCGATCCTGGATATCGAGTCGTGTGCCCAGTTGCCAGAACATTGAGGTTACGAGTTGTTGGGCGTTTTCATGAGCTGTTAGGAAGGTTATTTTTAGATTGTCTCGGAATTGCTTCTCGGTTACGAGGCCGGATTTGTAGGCTTTGCCGAGCATATGTGAGACCATTTCTTCGGTGTGATCTGTTTCATCGCGTTTGTGGAGCATTGCCATTATCTTGTCGTAGAGACGGTTATCGAATTCGTGCATGATGTTGTAGGCGCGTTTACGGGATGGGAGGAGCCAGGGGAAGTGGTCGAGATCGGGGAAGCTGAAGTACATTGGTTTGAAGAGGGTTGCTTTGATAATTGATTGGAGAGATTCGATTCGGACGGTGCCGTTTGGTTGGCCCAGGCTCTGGGAGATGGTTAGTTCAAGTTTCAGCTGTAGCTTAAGTATTGAAATGCATATTGGTTGCAAAGAGGACGAGGTACGGATACCTTCAACTCCAAGTCCAGAAAATTCTCACCCATAACATCCACAGCCCATTTCTGTACATCATCATTAACCAAAATCCCACTATCAACACCAGTCCCTTTCTGCAATTCAAGCAAAACATCAACCAACTTCCTCGACTGTTTCAACAAAGAACTCGTTTCAAAAACCTTCTTCTGCAATCCCGCCTTCATAATCCCCGTATAAAGTCTCCAATTCTCGCCATGTGCATTGATAATATTATCCCCAACAAGCGTCGCAATAACAGCATGCGGGATCTTAATCTGACTCCCTGATTTCGCGTAGAGTTGTTCATTGCGGAACATATCGGTTAACCAATCCGGTCTTGAAACGAGGATACTCCATCGTCCGGCGAACCAGACTATCACGGCACCGTGTTTCTCTAGGGGGGTCCGGAACCAGCGTTCGTAGATCTCGTCCTGTCCCAGTGAGGACCAGAGGCCGAGGATTGAGACGTAGATTGGGATTCGGGGGAGGTTGGGGAGAGTTCGGGGGATGTGGAGGTACCAGGTTAGGAAGAGAAGAGGGGGGAGAAGGAGGGTTAGCAGAGTTGAGAGAAGGATGGAGAGGATTGTCATTTTGAGATGTGTTTGGGAGATTTGGAAAATTGGGAACGGGTACTGTCCTGGTGGTACTATATAGCGCTTGTCGAATGTCTATGTTTGGAGCTGTGCCCTAAGTGATGCAACTGGTGTCAGCGGAAGTCAAAACGCCCGCACCGATGACACACTGTCCACCATGACTTTATTTAGTCACATTTCTACTGGTGTTTACTGCTAGGTGGCTTTGGATCTGGGTAAGGTTTGGTATATCTGGGTTGAAATGTGGTGATGTATATATGGTAAGAGATATATATTGCAACGTGGCAAAGGTAAAAATGTGTGACAGTCTTCTTGCTGATGTGTTGATGTCCTCTAGACCCAGCAGAGCCGACTATTCTTTGGACTACCAGGTAATAACAGAGCCATAAATAGACGTGAAATACCTTCAAAATGGAGGTTATAGGACTGGCGTTTGGAGGAAACCTAGGTCTCCATCGCCCTGGATGATGGCAGCTTCAATCTAATCGGTGCCTTACTCGGCCTCAACTGGTAAATTACTTGCCACCATTCTATTTGGACTTCTTCAAAGAGGCCCCCTTGTCATATAAGATACAGGCATTCGATAGGTTACTTCTATATTATACCCATTTGGGGGTGCGATATGATATCAAAAGTCGAAATGGAATATGATATGAACAAGTCATTACCAACCCTGCGACTGGTCGTCACACATGCACCAAGCTTCTGCAAGATAGCTGTTGTCTAGACCCCTACTGAAAGCGTAGCAGACAGCGAGAACCCGTAAAACACAGTGGCTATCATGGCAATAGCATTCAAATGGATAGCCATTGCGTGATTTCGCGCGAAATTGCGGTTGGCCCGATGCACTTTTGACGCATAGGAGTCGGCATCGGTGCCCTCACTCTCTGTACGTCAAATTAGTGTCCGACGTTAAATTAAATGAAGCTTATGAAGAAAAACCCACCTTGTATAGCCCTCCTTACCAACGTCGCGGTGGTCGTCCGAGGCCCATAGACGAACCAATTCAGACATCCGGTCAAGCCAGCCACGGTCAGAGGAGCTACACTCCATGGGTCTTGAGCCAGTGATAAAATGCTGTACGGTGGATGCGTTGCTGCCGTCAGCGCTGTGAGTCCGACCTGCGTTCCGAAGTAGATGGGGAAGAGGCGCTTTTGCAGGGCGATGAACTCCTTCATTGGTAAAGCTTGGTAACATATTTTAGTATTAACAAAGCTCTGTGTATGGTTAGTCACAAGCTCGCTTGTCTCTCTGAGGGACAAGGGACGTACCTGATAGAGCTCTGTTCCGAGGAGAGCACCATAGGAGAGAAGGTGATATGGGAGGAGATTGCCCACTGTCTTGAGAAAAGAGTCCATTCTGTCACGTTCTGATAGAAGTATACTTGCTGTTAATGGGAGAGAGGAAGAAGAGGTGGAGGAGTGAGAGGAGTTGGGGTGGCCCGGCCTATGGAGGCTTGGCGGCTTAGTTGAGATGTCGACCAAGCTCAAGGCTGATGGCCGTTAGCTTTCATACGTTGCAATCGTAGCCAAGATTTGCTTAGATACTTCGCGAAATCATATAACTTGATTGGTTGCTGCATCATGTACATCTTAGCTGACTTTCTATATGTACTACTATAATGTAAACACTATATTCCGAGTTGTATGCTGAATGGGCTGCACAGATTTCTTTCTATTTCCAAACTGCCATAGCGTAGAAGAGGCCAAAGTCACTTGCGGCATAAAACCTCTGCATTACCTAGTTACACAATGAGAGTTTTGTTCCAGAATCCAATCCAGCGACAAACAAACCCGGATCTTCCGCCCCTACGGCTGGATCTCACATGCATCTATCCCGGGAGGACGGATGAGCGGTCACGTAGGCACCACATGGCAGTGCCTTAGGTTCACAAAGGAACTTCATTCATCCTCTGAACTGTTGGGCCGAGAGTGGAACTCAGCCTGAGTGTCAATTCTGTATGACGCCATTGCGTAGATGGCTGCTTCGTGAGGTGTTTAGCGCCATATCCCGGACTATTCAACCAATTCAGAAGGTAATGTAACCTCCCCAAACCCAGAGTCAGAGGCTACGAGATAACTGGCGGGTTTATTCAAAACCCCCGGAGTATATTCACCGTGAGCTCGTTCTTGCAGGATCAAAGGGCCAAGGAACGACGTGTCTTATTTTTAGACTTTAGATCGGATCAAGTTGTACTAGCTGTACCAACCTGTCACCATAGCCCTGGTCTTCCTGTCTTTCTGTGAACTGTCGATGAGCGGTCTGAAGGTCAATAAACCCCAATAGGAGACCGCCTAGTTTATTCTCAGCTTGAACACAACATCAATGTTGTCCGTGCCACGTGTGGTCCGTGGAATCAGGATAACGGCTGAATTCGGACATACCCGAGCCTACAAGATAGCTCGACGCCACATGTGATTTGAAGTATAAGTAGGCGGGGATAAGGATCCAAAGTACCGGGGCCAGGTAGGTTACTGGAACGGTAACACGGTCTTGCCACGCCAAGGGGTCTAAAACAAGTTTAGCGGACTCAGACACACGAGTCCTTGAGCCAAGGTGGATCAGAACGGAGGGTTTCATCGAGTTTGCCGAATCCCAGACTGTTGGAACGAAGAAACGAAAGAATCCAGGGCCGCGAAATGTCCATACACACGTCCAGGCCGGGGATGGCCTCTGATTACACCACCTCGTACGACCCTCCTGAAACCTTCTCCCAGACCCAACTCTGAGAGCGTTCTAAAAGAGTTGGCTACCTGAGAAAGGCAGGTAGTTTGACGTGTCCAGAACAGCATCACGCGGCTGAAAGGCGGAGGTTGAATCATGGCTTTCAAATCAGATGGCTGATCACCGAGGATCCGTTGTACAGGCTGAGTGACACAGTGAGATCAGGCGTGATTTTCCCTCGTGGGCACACGGCCTGTATAAAGCAAAGAGAGACTGACGGTGATAAATCTCTTTTGATTCTGAGTTCCTGTGCTGAACATCGCTCGAAACATCAGAACTTTATATGAGATATGCAATATCCTCGAACACGATCATATCTGTCAAGGCTATAACACAGCAAACCTTTGCAAGATGAAGGTGGAAGATCAGTCTAGTCCCAAGGACGAGGATATTCTCAGCCAAACGCAAGATCCACTGGAAAGAAGGAGATTGCAGAACCGCCTTTCTCAAAGGAATCACCGTAAGATATTCCGAAAAGAGAAGATAGGTTTGGAATTGACAGAACTAGGTCGTAAGATCAGAGAACGCATTGCTAAGCTTCAAGAGCGCGTCATCGCCAACGAACTCAGAGCGGCAGCTGCTCTCAATGGATGGGATCAGGCGTATAATCCATCGCTCTTTCCAAGGCCTCACTCCACTTCCTCGGAAAATGAGCTCGGGTTTACCTCGCGAGATGTCTCGCCTTTAATCCCAGACCAACGTACTTCATTCATGCCGTCATATCCTTTCTTCGCGCACTCGTGGCCAAACGACTTCAATACATTCCCACCAAATGAATATCCTGGTGACCTATCCCAATTCACTGGAGTCAGTGAAGCAAGTCCAATATCTCCTACCACAAGCGCCCCAGCACAACTAAACCACAGCATGTCACCGCCAACTTCTAGTCTTAGCGAGACATACCGGGAAATGATGGACACACCGGAGACTTTGATAGACTCCTTGTCTACATCAGCGCCCAATCAGCCGCTGTACTACGTTGCGACTGGTCAGTACTCCAGCCACATGGTATGGAAGTTATTCTATAAATCAAGCAACTGACAAAAGACAGAAGCTGCATTGCCTCAAATAATTCAGGTCATCAATGCCATGTCTCCCGAATACAAAGTGATTGTGCTGGTTCCTCCAGAGTCTCCGGCATCGGCTGCTATGCCTTCGTTCCCTTCGCCTCTCTCTCTCTACGGTGCTAGTACTGGCGCTGGTCATAATGGGTTGGATCATGGTCCTGCAACACAGCAGCCCAACTCACAAAACATGGGTTGTCCGTGTTATCCTCATAATACCCACACTGCGCCTGCTGCGCAATCTGCTTCAAGGCCGTGGATGGGCGGTGGCTCATATGCACAAACTTGTACTTTGCACAAGACGGCAAATCCAGTCCCTCCAAGGGGGGCGTTTCCGGTTAGGATGCTATGAGTCTGTTGTGGCCGTGTACCAAGATAGAGGCGGTATGGTAGGGGCCGACAGTGATATATATACAAAGAGTGGGCATGGATAAATTGTGTATATATCATGATTTATACGATCTAGAGAACAATACTTACAGGTTTTACTGAGACGGAATATTGATAGAGCATATCTCAGACAATAGCGGACTAGAAGAGAGATACTATTAGGCTCACTGTGTCAATGGAGATACTTTGAGGCATAGATTGAACCAGAAGACACCTCCGAACGAGCAGAATTGAGGTAAAACATCGAATTATTCAACATTATCTTTTTACTTCACAGTTTCCCGTATTTTAGCGGCCCTTAGAGGTTGCCCAAAAGGTAAACAGGAAGAATCAAAGCTTGATGGAAGTACGACTGACCAGACACGGAAGTAATTCGGAGACCCCAGTCTTGAAATCTATTGGATATTGCATTGAAGACTTGTGTACTTGCTTCAATAGTCGGCAGATTCTCAAACATAAGCCAAGCATGCGAGTAAGAAAACGAGGGACCAAGTGCAGACAGAAACGAATGACAAAACAACATATATCAAAAGCCAAGACACATCAACATCTCAGTCACAGTGGATTCGCCACAGTTCCCGATCACAGTCACTGATATATCCAGTGCGAGTATGCAGCATGGCAAAGTTATCACTAATCAGCAAATCACCCTTCTCCCAACCAAAGCGCAGACAAACTCTATAGTCATATGTGATGCGATCCACAACCTTGACCAGATCATTATCGTCATTCTCGATCGAAACATCGCAGGTCGAGAATTTGGTCTTGGTTGAATCCCACGGCTGATGCCAACGTAGACATGGTAATCCAGAGATAGGATGCTTCACGATCAACGGCAGATTCTTGAGTTTCGCATCCCAGAATCCATCGTTATCCATAGCCCAGGTGATCTTTTCAAGGCGATCAGCAGACCACGGGAGAGGCAGGTACCGCCAAAACAGCCTGGAGCTCGCAAACAAGGTGTAACCATTGCCCCTGGGCGCAGTGGCAGGACAAGTGAAGAACTGATACCCCGGCGGGTGTTGGACTTTCGTCTTCTCACCCGTTTCTGGGTTGGTGATCTCGTCAAACTTGAACATCCCGTCGAAATGCATCGGCATAGCCTCGTTCGAAGTCACATTGTTACCCATCTTGTCAGAGCGTCCGTTGTCCCGTACCTTTTGGATTATTCCAAAGCTCCATTGGAGAATAGTTCCCAGTTCTTCGCCCTTCTTGACGTAGAGATCTTCCTCCAGAGTCTCGGAGAATCCACGCAGAACAACTGGTGACATGCTGTTTGACAGCTGGCGGACCTTTTTCATGGGGATGGAGCGGATCGACGGCGGAGGATTGACATTGTCGATATCGGCAGGCCGGATGATGAGTCCACAGGGATAAAGATGCTCAAATTTGACAGATAAGCCGTCCTCGGTCCAGTCGAAGAGAGATGACTTTCCGCGGAAGAAGTATGGTTTTCCGTTCTTATAAATGAGATCGTGCGTATCGCGTACGTCTTCGGCGTGGACCGTTCGATATGAACCATCCAGTCCGACAGCCACAGAAGAGTGCCAAGGTGTAAACCCCAGTGTTCCTCGAATTTGTGGAATAAGCGAGATAGAAAGCTTCTTCTCGCCCGCAGACTCGTGGATTGACAGTCGGACGTAGTCTTTGCGGTTGGCTTTGATGGCCGCCGCGAACATTTTGCCACGAATGATCATTTGCCGTGCCGTATCGGCAATCTGTGCTTGTCGAGCGCGTTTTGACATGGCTTTTGTCTCCTGGTGGGCTAGATCCTTGGTGAGGAATTTGATGTAGCCTCGATATGTCAGACAAGTATCATTGTCGGTTTTGATAGCCTCCGTCGCGTTGAAGCTCGGGTCAGCAAATCTGTACATCAATTCTCGGCGGAGACAACTAGCGTGAGCTAGATAGAAGGCCTTTGCGGCCTCTGGTGTTGAGGATTGAAACCATGGATGCTCGAGAAGTTCGAAAAGACGAATGAATTTCACATGATGGAGCTCTTTGTCGATGGCCATCTTTCGCAGGGTCTCTCCGTAGTCCCAAACGGTTTCATCGGAGACGCCCAGGGTATCTAGCGAATGTTAATATTGAAAATTTCTGAACGTACGTCTTCATGATTTCATTACCATTGTATACAAGCCCATCCGAGCTGATATAGACATCGGCCCCAGGGGCGTATACTTCACCGATATTTTGGCAAAGTCCATTCAAATGAGCCAAGGCCAATTCTTCACCAAAGTCGGGCATATTTCCCAGCACTTTACTGCTCGCATTGGGTGATTTGAAAGGAAATGCGGGCAAGATCATGCGGATTGGCTCTTGTTGGTCAATCTGCTCCAGAACAATTGGAACAAACGACTCAAAGCCCTTCCAGGAAATCCCCGACTTCTCAAAGTCAACACCATAACTTTCGATAATTTTCAATACTATCATAGCCATAGCTTCAGTTCCAGAGCCATTTGAGATCTCCGAGGCAATGGGTCCGTCGAGCACTTTTAGTTCGTGTTCGTTGATCCCATCGTCATTTGAGGTGATAGCCGCCGGATTGGCGCTGTCATATTCGGAAGACACAATCTCCATGTCCTCAGTCTCCATACCAGCTTCCTTATTGGGCATTCCATTCTTGAAGGGACCGATTTCATTCTCGGTAAGAGGGTAGTATGTAGTGGGAACAAGGTCCGCAGCCGGTGCCAAGGCGACCATAGTGACTTGAAGTGGAAGGTATGTTCCCAAGTGGGATACTCTGATCCAGTCACCGTTCTATCGGGAGAAGATATGAGAGAAATGCTTGATTGGCAAGTATGTATTGGTCTCACTTGAGTCCCGAGGAAATAGACAGGATGTGTTGTTTTATCCAGAACCAGATGCTGCTATATAACCAGCATCAGCTAGAACACTGACCTCTGGACAGGAAATTTGGAAAGTTCATCCCTCGTTCCGATGACTGTAACTCCTGATGCGGACTAAGATGTCAAGTCTTAGATTCAATCTAGGGCATCCCAGGCATGAATAGCCATCACTCTGTACCACTTGAGGGCATGGTTTCCTACTCTATTCCCATTAATGTGGTCAGCGTGGAGGGGATTTGTCAAAGAAACCTTTATCAACTTAGTAAAAGGCTGGAGGTTGAATACTGCCCGGCCGAATCTAAGAAGCTTAAACCCAGAAAGCTTCACTTATCCTTTTGTTGGTGTCAGCAAAAGTGGTGGAGAACTGAAAATGAGGTGACCTGAGGGATATTCCCAGAGTAAATGAGCATGGCCTCCATTATCCAATAAGTGTGATGACTAGGGATGCATCAAAGTTCCAGAGCCATTGGACAGGCCGAATGCTTGGGGCCTATATCTGTCAATGAGGCTACGCTTCCAAGGTTAGTCTCGGGATCCCCGGCCGCCCACTGCCAATGGTAGCAAAGGACGACAAACCTGTCTGGGTAATCCTATGTAGATTCAAGACACATGTAACCTTTGTGACTTGAATCGCCCAAAGCTGAGCGAAAAACTCGGTCTGATCCACAAGGTGGTATAGCAAGAAAGGATTCCAGCACAAGAGTCCAGCCGCCGATGAACTGTGAGAGTGTATGTAATATGTAAAATAACGAGCTCAGTGGTAAGATGGTTCAAGTTTCCCCAAGGATGAACCACCAAGGAATGTTTATTTGCGGAAATTGTACTTGTGACATCCTATTGGGTTTACAACGTGAGATGAAAATAGTACAGAGAAGCATATATTGCCTAATTGAACAAGGTCAACTACACGTGCTGTGATATGTGATACCTCTGCTGCGTTCAAATTTGATTCCACGCTAGTGCTTGACTATGTGGATTAATAACATCTTGATAATCATCTTGCAGCTCACTCTTTCAGCTCACGCCAATCATACTCCATCAGTCGAGCGATGAATGCCGCCATATCATGTGTTGTCAATTGACTAACAAGGTAATATGTGGCGTCTAAGCCCGAGCTTACCCCTCCCGCCGTAAGAAGCCGAACACTGCGTCCTTTTAACAGACCCGCATCAAGGTATCGCTTGTGCAGTACGGTCGTAGCAAGTTCGCCCGGGGAATTGGACTGAGCACAAATATCCCGAAGTTTGTCAAGAGCATGGTGATGGGTCGTCACAGTCATTCCACCCAGTAAACCTGCGGCCCCGAGCAGAAAGGAGCCGGTACAGACCGACAGCAAAATCCTGGGGCCTGTGAATTTATCTGCAGAAAGAGCTGCAAATTTGCGAATCAAATCGATCTCCGGTGTGTTTCTTTCCATTAATGGCTGTAAAACTGGCGGGGGGCCACCAGGGACGACCATGATATGAAACTCCGAAATCTGATCGACCGCATCTGGCAAAAGCAGGTCTGCGTGAACGGTGAGTGAACTTGCGGCACAAATGGTAGGGCTGCAAGCGACAGTTTTGATCTCGAACATTCTGTTGGGGTTTTCTGGGTTTTGGTTGTGCGAGACATGGGATAGGACTTCGATTGGGCCTGCAAAGTCGAGGATGTCTGCGCCTGGAAATAGAAGAACCGCGACTTTGTAGTACTTTTGAGGGGATTCAGAAGACATAGTTGCGATGGCAAATTGCAATCTGGTCTAGCAAGACGTACCTAAGTAGGAGTCGTCTGGCGAAAGCGTGGGTAGAATGAATAATAGCGGTGGTGATATTCCTAGAGCTGATTTTGGGTTTCGCTTGAAAGAGATTAGAAAAGCCGAGGTGAATTTTACCTTGAAGGGTTCTGACTCTGCTGACTCCGATACAAATAACTGGCCGACTTTGTACGACTTTGCTCTCCGCATTCACCGATTCGACGGTTGGAGGTTCTCGCAAGGTGTCCAATAGCATCGGTAAGCTGTCTCAGATGTTAGAGCAAGGAGTCCGGGGAAGTAAATGTCTCAAATTGAATAATTGCATGGGTAACCCAGGAAGATAAGATGTAAAACGATAGGAGTTTAAAACTCCATTGGGGTAGAATCATGAATTGTAGGTCAGAAGACAGAGATATCTGGAGTGCCTGAGGCCAAACAGTCCATTCAGACTGCTAGTTCGTACCTTCTCAGCGCCATTACTATTAATGTCATTCTCACTGTTATTTGACCTTCAATATATCCTAGTCTTCTGGTTATATCCACAACTGGTCTTGGTATATGCATAGATCCCGAAACGACCGCGCCCTGCACGACGTAGCGACTCTGCAGAATATATTGCAAGAACAGTCATGAATCATGTCAGAGTCATTTATCTCCTTTGTAGTTAAAAACAGAAGTCCCGATCTCGTCGACTTAGGGCTAATATTAGTCATATAATTCCCCAGGTCTCCGGGGATGTGGACACTCTGACTCCCCCGCCATCCAGGTGGGGAATGGAACTGAATGCACGGACCGTCTTCAGAGGAAGATTCACGTAGTTGTCGTATAGCTATGATGCGGTTCGTAGGGCTGCTCTAGTGGGAGGGGCGGGCTTCGGATTTGCATTTGTGAGTGCATCGGAGAACTACAGCTAGCACATTAGGTTGGAAGTATTACGATACTGTGATGAGATTCTATAAAAGTATACACATACTAAGCGTCCAACGGCGCATATCACACTTTGTCCATTCAACTCGTAAAAGATGCCTCCCCTTCAACAAATTTAAGGGCATAAGTTTCAAAAAATGACGACAATCATGAGATGGACCAAAAAGAGAAGACTCCTGCGCCACGCTGAAGGAAAAAAAAAACAAGTAGAAATTAAACGCTTTTCCAGGGGGCGTCCCCGATCGCTAGCCCCACAGGGGTGGATGAATATACTCTGATGCGCGATCAAGTATACTGGGCATTGACCATTCACCACTACCAGAGCTTTCTGGCGTAGGAGGCGGAAGAGAACCAACGCTAGGAGTCATGCTTGCCGACACAGGAGGAAGTGATCCCATGGAAGCGGAGGTCGGGTTGAGGTTAGGATGAGTGAGGTACGCGGGCGCACCAGTACGTCCCACTGAAGAACGCGTATTTGGATTCCCAAATGCGGCAAGGAGCTTTTGCAAAGCACGATGCGTTTTCGCGAGTGACTTTGCCCATTGCGTTTGGGTATCAGGGGGCATCCCAGCCGGAGAAGTTGGATCCACCACCGGAGCGATGGGCCCTGGGGGGTTTGTGGTGCCCGTGACCGGGTCGTAAGTGCCGAGGGTTTGGGGCGGCGAGGTCATATTGGCTACATTGGGAGATTCATTGGAACCATAGGCTCGCTCCGTGCTTGCTCTCTGGGCAATGATACCTTCGAGTGAATGGAGAAGATTCCACACATTCGGGTCCGCTTTCGCCTCGTCGATGACGGCAAGCAGGAATGCGGAGCTGATCGCCCGCTGCAAAGCAATCCAGGACCGAGCTGCGTGAGAGCTGATATTGTGCAATTCAATGTACGCTTCAACAGTAGTCATCAAATTCACCACGCAATTTTCGCGCATGCTCGCTGCGCTGGCGTCACTGACATCAGCCATTGGTTTGAGCGCTGGCCGGCAGAGCTCAGAGGCGAAATAAGAAGAATGCAGTTTCAACACAACTCGCTCGAGATGTTGCGTAGATGTGGAACAATTCCTTGCATCTCGCAAGTACGGTTGTGCCTCTACCATGATCTTCTGGATGCGTTCCTTAAAGACTTGTATGCTTTCCAAGCTTATTTGCGCGTGTGGGCTCAGCATACGAATGCGGACAACCTCTAGTGCAAGCGAAATGACTCGAGACAGAGTCTCAAAATAAGATAAATCACCAGGTTTTGAGTCGTCTCTGTAAGCGATATCTGGCTGGCTCACTGCAGTGGTAGATGGTCGATCGTAGGAAAGCGAAAAATGGCTGTCTTGCCATGCCATGGACCACCTATTTATGTTAGGGCCACATGCTTAGGTTATGAAAATAAAAAGAATTCCCTTACCAGACATGTCGTCGGCGATATCGTTCAGCTGACGAAAATCGACTTGACTCTACATGGAGACCGAGTGCCAAGCCCATGCGAAGAGTCATGCCAAGCAAGACATAAGAAATTCCGGGATTCATATTGTATGACAAGACGTTCCCTATCACAAGGAGAGTTTGAATTGCCTCAATTGTGGGCTGGGACAGGAAGTTTGTCATGCGGAGGCACTGGTAGGAGCAGCACACTGTTTGAAGTGTTAGCCAATGACTACATCAAATGCTTGGCGTGGATCACATACCATAAACCTGCGAGGTCAATTCCCTTTCCTTGCTGCCATAATCGGATGACTGACATCCAGAGGCAAGGATAGCAAACAATAGTCCCAGGTACGCAATGCTCACGCCGAAAGGCTTTTGTGCTTCGTCTGCATCGGCCATGTATTCTCCACCGAGAGATGTTCTTGTCGCCAAAAGAAGCTCCAGGGTGTTCTCAAACTCAAAGATGTCCTCTAAAACGGGATATATAGCTCCCGAAATGTCCCTGTAGTAGTAGAATAACCTGTAGCGACAAACGCTTGTTAGCACAAACAATCTCAATCGAAAGTTTGATTCGAAAAGACCACTCACTCTCTGCACTGTTGATCACTGGGAAGGGCGCTGCAGACAGCAGTGATATCAAATGTTGACATATCGGACGACCATAGATCAACAAATGGATAGGTCGCAGACTCATTATCCAGACCAAGCTTAGGGAGTATTCCTCCTTCCAAAAGTGCTTGAAGTTGATCAGACCCAGATTGGTTGTTGAGAATATAAGCCAGAACAGAGCGAGATCCCAAATGGACAGTGCCTTTGCCTAGAGTATTCGCAGCGTGTATGCCCTCGCGTTCTGGCGAGGCACACTTAGAACGGGAAGTCGCCTCGGGACTCTGTGCGCTGGCGGTGTCTCGGGAGGCTGGGAGCCCATCTTCCGCCCTCTCCAGCCCAACTCGAAGGGAGGAAATAGTGGATTCCATTTCTTGCAATCTGCTGCGCACATTATCCCATTCCTCGCGGGCGATTGAAACTCGACCACCACCTGCAGCAGGAATGTGAGGTCGGCTCGAGGTCGGCTCATGTTTTACTTCTGCTGGAGTTTCATCGTACGCATATGATGTCGAATATTCGGGTATGGGTGGAGTTGGAGCGCTGGGGGCAGCACTCTCATGAAAGGCCTGCGATCGCTTCTTGGAAGGGCGTTCATAGGAGCAAAGGTCTGCATGGTCGCGCTTAACACACCCGTCGCACGGCAGATTGCGATCGCATTTGACTTTGCGCGCATGGCATGGATAGCAGGCTTTGGGCTCACGGGCCTTGCGCTTTGTGCGGATGATCGCGTCTACCTGAGCCTGCGGCAAATCGGAGACCGCTCTATTCGGCGCAGAAGCCATGTCGGAGGCAACGGACGGCGAGAATGAAGTCGATGGCGGATAAGGCGATGTCATTCGGAATCAAAAAAAAACGGCTTCAGTGCAATATATCCTTAATCGGTCTCGAGGTTGTCTGGTGTCAGCCTATACAGCAGTGTTTCATTCGGTCATCGGCAGCATGGAAGTGGAGGACCGGAGCGATTTAGGAGTTTGACAGTGGTTTCAACACATTGGCGACAGGTACAGTTCCATAAATTCATTAGTTAAAGCAGAGTAGCATGTTAGGCAATGAAAGCTCGATTTGAAATTGCACCCGATTTGTTCAAAGAAGCTGGGATTAAGCGCCGGGGCAATGCTACAACGGCACGTGACGTGGGGCGTCCAAATGCGGAATTAAGCCCTACGTCAGCATTGTATACCCGCCAGGGCTTAGAACTTCTAAGCCTCAGGATTTTAAACCCCGGGAAGTATGGAATTTGCTAGAAAAAAAATTTCATTTTCCATGATTATGTACCTAATTATCTTAGGTAGTCATTATTGAACCCAAAGGCCCGAGGACTGATGTATCAGGCAAGAGGTTCAAACAATTGTAACTAATCAGTTAATAACTGTAACTTTATTCTTCCTTCCTGTTGAAAATACAGAAACAGCCCCCTAGGTGGCTCTCATTGCCAGGCACATTGTTGGCTCGTGATTCGGTACAAGCTGAACAGTGTGAGCTCCTCGTTGAGCGCCATAGACTCGCCCTCATTTCTCCAGCTCAAACTAGGGGCTAATTGATTGTCGTTAATTAGCTTGTGGCTTGTACTTACCGGTCTAATTGGGACTCAATCTGCAAAGCTTGTGGCATCCATTTCGCTCCCAGAGCCAGCTATCTCGATTTATGTGATGCAGGTTTCTGTCTTCGATGCTGTGGTCTATAGACCACTCCCACTATTGACAAAACATCAACCGCCTATGTCCTTTATGATTGGTCCTGGCGGACGACCAGATTTCACGGTAGGACCTTGCGCCCATATATATCATTTCCATACCCACTAATACTGTCCCTGTTTTGTAGGGGTTTTTTTCCCAACTTAAAAGCTCACCATAAATACACTGGTCGAATTCGCATACTCGGATCAAACCTTGCCAGCTTATTTCACTGCCAGGCTTTAGGATACGGATCAACCAGAGATTGAGGCTCTACAGGGTATTTGGCATCGCACTGCATAGCACTTACGACTTTAGTCCTATCGGCTCTTTTTGCTAGAAGAAAACTAAGGATCTACTCATGCAGAATATAATTTAGAATACAAGCCATTGTAAGCGCGTGTATTCTATTCCATTTTTCTCGTGTGGAACGGCACATTCTCCCGCGTAGGGAATTATATTGAACTCTTTAAACATGATCGGCAGACTATACCTAGGTAAGCGATTATTACGGGTCCCGCTCGGATGTATACAAGATATGATTGGTCTATTCTAATCAGTCTGGAATGATCTCGGGATATTCTACCGCATTTAGCGGGGACTCGGCAGAGTTTTGCAGATGTTCAGTGGGGTTGAGAGCTATACATCGATGATTGTAGCCATTTCCAGGAAATTCTTAGGCCCTTGTTAATAAAAGTTACCTAAGAACAACCCCTTATGATGATGATTATTTCGCCAAAACTAGAAACCGATTCTCCGATGCATTATTGGTCTGTTAGGGTCTTCTAGAATGGCTGAAGTCCCGCCTCCCTGATGGGGATCTTCGGTATACCCTGCCATAATAACGGGCTCGACGAGTGATTCAGTGGGGCACCGAGTACTTCAAGATAAATTGAGTTGGGCATGGAGGATTTATGTTGAGAGGATATCCGGAAGGATTCTGGCGTCGAAGGGGGATTATCCCGATTTTTATAGAAGTCAATGCGTAAAACACCGTTCTGATTCTTGTCGCTGGTTGAAATAAAGACAAAATAGTGGTTCAATAATAGGAGAGATCATTGAGATAACAATATTCTTCTGTCCTATGCAGCTCTGGGCATCTTTCGATGTCTAACGGGTGGGGCGGGTTCATTAGGACCAGGACGTGCTCGGGGCCTCAGCGCCCACCTGGATCCAAGGGCAGTTTTGCGAGAAACAGAGTCGGAGCTCTTCGAGTATCACCTGTGTCAGGTAAAGCGTCGCTGAGGTGGGTATTCGCAATCCACAAGCTGTCGTCGTCGCGCGGAGCTGACGCTGTATATAGCATTTGCCTCATGGGCCATCCAATCTGTTCACTCCGTTACTCCAACTCTACCTGGCATTGTACTCTGACCCATTTCGTCACCTTTTATCAGTATCCAGTATGGTAACTTCAAGTTCTACTAGCCCAGTCTGCTACCATCGGCCAATTCTGTTAAATGCCCCAAATACCCGGTTATATGCAGAAAACCACCCGATCGGATGGGTAATTTTACCCGTCGGACATCGGGTCCAGATAACCCACCTAAGCAGTATTGACTAGTGATTTTATCTATCTTCGCGCGTTTATCCTGTTTTATCATATTGAATTCAATCATCCATTATTGATACAGACAGATTTCTGTCAAATTCTACTGTGTTTAGCCCCATGGCCTGGGGTTCCGCAGTCGATCCTCCTTTATTTTGAAGATCACCCGAAAATCGTGACATCATGCCCCGGTGTCGTATAGGAACTTAAGCTCTGCGTACCACCTTGTTCCAGGGACGCGCATGGCAATCATATAAAATAACATCTGAATTGACCAAACGAGGATCTTCGGGGGGCATACTGTGCGAGTAAAATATCCATCGGGCGGGGGTTGTCCACCTGACGCAATGACTGCCAGTGAATAGGTCCGGGCCTGTGGATCTTTATGTTATTATGACTGTTTATCTAAACGGATCTCAAGGAGAGCTCACCCCTTTCATCCAAAATCTAGTTTTACCAGAATACTCGGCATTGAGAACCTCGAATTCATCCCAATTGAATGGCCTTCGCTCACACAATTGCACACCTTATATCGCTAGATTGTGGGCAATGGTTAGCCACAGTTGATTTGCTGTTTGACCAACAGCGAAGATTGAGAGAATGGTGGAATTTATTTATAGATGAAATGCAAACATGATGAACATGTAGGAATAAGACAGAACTTTCAAAAGGCTTCGTATCAAGGGCCCAAGAGGCTATATAAAGAAAAGCATATGGGCACAGTAGCATTAAAACAGCCATTGCTTTCATTTGCGGGTTTGTCTTCGACGGAACTTGGTTAGTTGGGGGATATCAAAGAAACAACTCAAGCAGGAAAATGTGGATTTCGCAGTATAAAACAAAGATGATCCCAGATTGCCAATATTCATTCATTTCTTGTTTTTTCAGGTGCGAATCGGTTAATTTTTTGCTGAGAAAAACAAAACTCGTGCACTGTAACAAGTTTGCGTATGATATGGGAAATATAGTAAATGGTCATAGAGCAAGCCTAAAAATTGATAGTGACAACCATCGGAAACATCATCACAGTTTAGACTTAAAGCTACTTGGGGCTGATATGGTAAGGCGTCTTTTCTGTGGTTATCCAGGCCAATGGGCAAGTCATGGGGTACCTGTGGACAAGGCACAAGGTCAATGAGTAGTCCCTCGCACCAACGAGTGAGTGGAAAATGCATGATTACATCGAACGATAATTGATGCCCTGGCAATGAATTTCAGAATGGAACGACATAACTATCTTGTGGCCCAAGGTTTGATGGCCTGAGGCTTTGCGGAACGGAAGATTCCCAGCCCCGGCTGACCAATTGAGAGTGACGTACCAGGTAGCTGCCAGTGTTTAGGTAGTGTTTAAGTCTGTCACCCAACTCAGCTCCGTTGACACTCACATCGTTTTGCTTCCCTCCACCTTGGACAAACCCCCATTTTTGCCATCACACCTGCTCTTAACTCCCCTCTCGGTTTTCTTTTCCAGCTTCGATCACCGAAACCCGCCAAACCAGCTCAAATATGGAGCATAACCCCCGCGGAGCACGATGAGGCTGTTTCTCAATTCTGTGCTATGACTGGAACTCCAGCTTCAGATGTAAGCTTTTTGCTGAACTTGTCTATAATGTGGTCACTGACTTTGAGTGCGTGATTGTCTAGGCTCAGGAATATCTTGCTGCCAATGGGTGGGACATCGAAGCTGCCGTCACAGAGTTCTTTGCGGAGCAAGACGAAGCATTGCAAGATAGCAACACTGGTGGCGAGCGACAACTAGGCACAGAAGGTAGCTCCGGAGCTCCTTCGGGGGGTAGAACTCTTGGGGGAGGTCCCGTACCAGCTTCATCCTCTGCCGCAGCTGAGTCCTCATCATCCGCCCGAGGCACTGCTCCCAAGAAAAGGTTTGCGACACTAGGAGACTTTGCTTCGGGAGGAGGAGGTGGCGGCGGTGATTCGTCCGATGGCAATGACACCGACGATCATGACCATGACTTCTTTACAGGTGGTGAAAAGTCTGGACTAGCTGTGCAGAACCCGGATGACTTGAAAAGGAAGATCCTCGAAAAGGCTCGCAAGTACGTTCTTTAGATATTGCCGGGTTGGATTAACCTAACTGACACTCAACCTTCAACAGAGCGCAGCCTCCTCCTTCAGACGACCCCCAGCCAAGGGAATCACACTTCACCGGCACTGCCCGCACACTCGGGGGTGATGATACGCCAAGTCAGGTTATTGAAAACCCCTCGGCGCCTACTCAACAGCTTGCCCAGCGTGTTCAGCGAACTCTTCATTTCTGGGCCGATGGTTTCTCCGTTGATGACGGTGAACTGTTTCGATCAGACGACCCCCGCAATGCAGAGATCTTGGACGGTATCCGCCAAGGCCGCGCTCCTCTGTCCATCATGAATGTTCAACCCGGCCAGGAGGTCGATGTGGAACTCAAGCAGCATGAAGAAAAGTACACCAAGCCCAAGCCGAAGTGGAAGCCTTTCTCGGGTTCTGGACAGCGCCTCGGTAGCCCGACCCCCAGTGTACGGAGCCAAGCCCCCACACCTTCGTCCTCCACGACTGCATCATCTGTCCAGGAGCCACCGAAGCCCACCGTGGACGAGTCAAAACCTACGGTTACCCTACAAATCCGTCTAGGAGATGGCACGCGGTTAACGTCTCGGTTCAATACCACCGCCACCATTGGCGATGTCTATGCATTCGTTGCTGCTGCTACCCCGGATGGCGCAAACCGCTCGTGGGTCTTGATGACGACTTTCCCCAGCACAGAGCTTAAGGACTGGGATGCCGTTCTTGGAGACATGCCCGATTTCAAACGTGGAGGTGTCGTTGTGCAGAAGTGGCAGTAAAATTCACTAATATTATCTTTCGTCTTGAGACTTTCCTTGGAGTGGTTCCAAAAAGCGAATACCAGTAAGGGGATTTGTATGGGTGAACGTTACATCACATGTCTGATATCGAAGGACCTCCATATTTACTACGTAGAGCAATGGCAACTCGCCAAACAAGCTCCGAATTCAAAATGAGTGACCAATCAAACCCAAGTCATGGATTGTTGTAGACCGAAGGTTAGTCAGAAGGCGATTGATAAGCGCCCGAATATCGGTCTCCCCACTCTTGAAATTCGTCATTGCGCTTTCAGTTGCTACAACCTTTCTTTTCTCCAAATTAAGCATACATTATACAATTATGCCTCTCGCTGGCGTGAAAAATGTTGTATTGGTACGTGCGCGTTTAATCCCTTGCAAGCGCTCATCGCGAAAAAAGAAGGCCATGCCCCTCATAGCTTATCGATAACGAGGGCACAGCTAGAAGCCATGAGCTAGAACATTTCAGCGCAATTTCTTGGACATGACTGACAAGCCATTCTGGGATATTAGGTCCTTTCCGGCAAAGGAGGTGTGGGCAAATCCTCCGTCACCCTCCAACTCGCCCTCGCGCTCTCGCTCCAAGGCAAATCCGTCGGAATCCTCGATATCGACCTGACAGGACCCTCAATGCCACGCCTAGTCGGACTCGAAGATGCAAAGATCACACAAGCACCAGGCGGATGGATGCCAGTACCAGTTCACAGGGCTGATCCCGCAGCGGAAACCGACGCCTCATCGTCCTCAACACAACCCAAACGTGGTTCCCTCCGCTGTATGTCCCTGGGCTTCCTCCTGCGCGATCGAGGCGACGCTGTAATCTGGCGCGGGCCAAAGAAAACAGCTATGATCCGCCAATTCCTATCAGATGTCTTCTGGGGCCCCACGGATTACCTGCTCATCGATACGCCTCCCGGAACGAGTGACGAGCACATTGCGCTGGCCGAGCAGCTTCTCACGCTATCCACCACAGACGTAGCTGCGGCTGCACAAACAGGCTTGCCTCGACTTGCTGGTGCGGTTCTTGTTACGACGCCGCAGGCTGTGGCGACATCGGACGTGCGCAAAGAGGCGAACTTCTGCGTTAAGACTAAAATTCCTGTGCTGGGGGTTATCGAGAATATGTCCGGATATTCTTGTCCCTGCTGTGGGGAGGTTAGCAATTTGTTCTCCAGTGGAGGAGGACAGGTGATGGCCCAGGAATTAGGTCTGCCATTTATGGGCAGCGTGCCTATTGATGTGAAATTCGGAGAATTGATTGAAGGGAAGATGGAGGCGGGGGATAGTGATGATGACGAGGATGATGAGGAGAGCTCAAAGACCCAACCACAAGACACTCCCGCTGAACCTGATAATCGGCCGCTCGTTGAACGATACCGGGATACCTGGTCTTATCCTCGATTTGAGGGATTCGCGCAGACCCTTATAAGTGGCATCGAGGGCCCGGTTGCCGTGTAGCAGTGTTGTTCATGGTGGAAAAGTGTTTTTGATTGTTTTCTAGCGACATCCATCTTTCCTGCTTTTATTTGCATTGCATCATATAGAAGGTGTTGGCAATTTTTGAATGTCAAATCATTCAATTGATGAATCAGTCTACACTTTGATCTTGAGCACGTGTTAGCTTCTCGCCCAAGAACTAATCTTCTTGCAAGAGATGCGATTCCCCCCGATCCTTGAGTCCCGAATTGCCAAGCTCGTTGAACACGTTCTTTTCCTCTCGAGAAGTGAGAGCGTCATCAAAGCCGGCTTATCTACCACGGGTACCTCTTCCCAAAGTATTGCGCCACAGAACCAAGGAGAAAGTAATTTTTCATTAGCCGTGGATATAATGTAAAGAAGCAGACTGCGTACTTTGTAAACAAGTATCCGAACAACCAAAAATCTCCCAAGTGGTATCCCGGGATATGGTCTTTTCTTTCACAAGCAAGTATTATTTCCTTTTCGGACTAATCTGGATGCCAATTCAGTGGCAATCCTGTAGCGAAAAGTCTTGTGGGAAAGCACGCGACCGCACAGCGCCCAGAGATTTGCAAGCAGCAATTACATGATGCCAAGGGTAGGCTGTGCAACCGTCGCAAGGAGCCCGACTTCCAAGTCTCTCGGCGCCCACGCTGAACCCACGTCAAGCTATATCAAGCGTGCAATCGCAGCTCAGCACGCAGCAACGTGCAGATATACCCATTATGACTGGCTTAATGGATTCGTAAAAAGTATATCATGACTAGAAAGCGTATTTAGTCCGCTCTTGGCGTCCGCTTCCAAGGCTGGGCGCCAACTCCCGCCGGCCTTTGGTCGTTAGAAAAGTTCGCTCGGCCATCAACCAATGAAAGTGTGTTCAAGTGCACGCTGTCAATGATATCTGTATTATGGGCTAGAAATGAAATCACCATGGCGCTCCATATGGACTTAGGCCAAGTTCAGCGGAAGGTTCTATCACAGACCGCACTTGGCAATGGTCGTGGCGAGTCCCCCAATCGTATAAGGGCACCGTAAATCCTAGACATCAATAGACAGCTCGAATCAATTCCCTCGTGCTCCAGATTCCCCTTGTCGTGTGGTCAAACACATCTCTTCGTCACCATGATCCCTCTAGTCACTGCGAAGTATGACTGGATCCTAGCAATTACCACCATCGCCTTCATCTTCAGTGCTTTCGGTAACGGTGCAAACGATGTCGCCAATGCATATGCCACCTCCGTTGCCGCCCGGACACTCAACATGGCCACGGCCGGTGTCCTAGCTATCTTCACCGAGTTCATTGGCGCAGTAGCCATGGGCAAACGAGTCACCGATACAATCAAGAACGGAATCATCGATATCAACCGCTTCGAGGGAAAGCCCGGTGCACTCATGCTGGCCATGGGCTGTGCCGAGATTGGCAGCGCTACCTGGTTGATGTTCGCCACTGGGATGGGCTGGCCTGTCTCGACGACGCAGACTATCGTCGGCGCCCTCGTTGGTGTTGGCTTTGCTTCCCAGGCTGATATCAACTGGGCCTGGACAAAGGGTAGTGTTTCTCAGGTTGCTGCTTCGTGGGGTATTGCCCCTCTCGTGGCCGGTGGATTCTCGGCTATCATCTTCGGTACTCTTAAGTACAGTGTCCTTGAACGGAACGATCCTTTGAAGTGCGGTATGCGTATGATCCCATGGTACCTTGCCACGACCGGAGCCATCCTCGCCCTCTTCATTGTTATCGAAGCTCCCACGGCACCCTCACTGGAGGAGTTCGGTGCTGGCAATGCAGCAGGCATTATCTTGGGTGTGTTCTTTGGCTGCCTCGCCATCGCCTATGTCTTCTTCATGCCGTACTTCAAGCGCCGTCTCATCCAAGGCGATGCCCGTGTGAAGTTCTACCACATCCCCCTCGGCCCCCTGCTTCTGAGATCAAACCCACCCCTATACTTCCCAGGAAAGGGTGACCAGGCCGTCATCAGCTACTACGAAGATGCTTACGGCGAAGTGCGAGCCGGTCAACAAGACGCAGCCAAGAAAAACATCACAACAAATGCAGATTCCATCACAGCCACGCCGGAAATTCCAGCAATGTCCCATCCTGAAACAATAGGGGATGACGAGGAGAAGGTCAGACCGGCAACCGAACCACGGAAGAAACATCTCGAACCAACTGAACGCTTCATCGACCCTGTCCGAGAACTATCCTGGACAAATCCCCAGAAAATCTATGGTTATCTCAAATACATGTTCCTCCAGGGTGTCACCCGTGATGTGGTTTCACACGACTCGGCTGAGCTGCGGGCAATCCACGCACGTGCTCACCGGTACGATGACCGTGTCGAACATCTCTGGACATACTGCCAAGTTGTATCGGCTATGATGATGTCGATTGCACATGGTTCGAATGACGTGGCCAACGCTGTTGGACCCTGGGCTGCTGTGTACAGCACATATCAGGCCGGCGTTGTCGAGACCAACGCACCCACGCCCGTCTGGTTCTTGATTGTGGCCGGTCTGCTGCTCGGTCTTGGATTCTGGTTCTTTGGATACCACATTGTTCGTGCGCTCGGAAACAAGATCACGCAGATGTCACCTACGCGAGGCTTTAGTGTTGAGCTGGGAGCAGCTATCGCTGTGCTTTTGGCTTCAAGACTTGGCTTGCCTGTTTCCACGACGCAGTGCTTGACTGGTGCCTCCATGGGAGTTGCTCTTATGAATTATGATCTTGGCGCTGTCAATTGGAAGCAACTTGGCTTTATCTTTGGTGGTTGGGTCTTGACTTTGCCTTGTGCCGGATTGGTTTCGGGACTGCTTTGTTTGATGGCGCTGAATGCTCCTCATCTGTAAAAAATTGATACACTCATGAATACCCCTTTCTGTGATTATAACCTGCCTGGGTTTTTAGGTGCTTTCTAATTAAAATTATACCATATACTCTACCCACTTTATTAACTCTAGTTTATATAAGACCCTTTGAAAGAATGTGCTTTTTTACCAATAAATATGCATTATTTTGTATTTATTTCTGTACCGACCAAGTCCTATGTAAGATTTGATACGAGTACCTTATTTTTACTTCTATAGAATCGATACTAATCGTGGCAAGCCCACCAACAATTACGGAGTATGTAGCGTCGTCGATGCAGTTTGGCACCTTTCTATACCTTTTCTACATGCTTGTATCACAACTTTGCATTTCAAGTCAGACTGCATTCAATCGTGTTCGCAATTTGTGGTCTTCAATTCTTTCTGATTCCATTACAAATTCAATAATTGAAGGGTTATCTGCAAGAATGGAAGACAAGTCCACATGGTCTTCTAGCCCAAATATGAAGAGAGTAGACAGCTTCACACTTTACTTCTGGTATTACTCCCATAATATCAATCTTGGCGAGACATCCTTTATCCTATAAGTGCAACATAGTTTCATGTGTACTGTTTCAATAGATTCAGAATACTGTACGATTCAATACCTTGTAAATATATACACATGTAGACATATTCGTCTTTCTTGTTGAGATAGCATGTTTTGGTTCCCGAAATTAGCATCTTTTGCCCTGAAATAAATATCTATCTCATTCTAAGTTATGTTTTATTAAAGCCGAAAGACTGAATTAGAAAAGAAAGATAAATGTAAGAAAGAGAAGACCATTTATCGCCGGATATGTTCAGCTTTGTGCAAAGGCGTTGTGAAATCTTGTATCGTCACGATCCAGTCGAACGACGGGTATCCTTCTAAACTCACAGAGGATGAATGCTCTATTTGGTGCGCTTGTAAATTTTGCCAAGGAAAGCCTCGAAGACTTCCTTCTTCAGACCCTTAGACTCATCGACAGCATTGATCTTCTCACGCAGCTCGCCAACAGCCTTCTCCTCGTACTCCTTGTAGATCTTCTCCAACTGAAGCTCGTTGAAGAGAGCCTTGACCTTGGCCTCCTCGGCAGCATCCTTGCGGCCGTAGGAAGCATCCAGGACCTTGCGCTGCTCGGGAGTGCAGCGCTGGATGGCCTGGTTAACGAGCCAAGAGCACTTGTTGTCCTGAATATCGGTACCGATCTTGCCAATGACGGATGGGTCTCCGAAGTTGTCAAGGTAGTCATCCTGGATCTGGAAGTACTGGCCCAGAGGAATGAGAATGTCGTGGGCCTGCTTGAGGTTTTCCTCGGTAGCAAGCTGCAGGTACATCAGAGCCAGAGCGATGGGCAGGTAGAAGCTATAGTAGGCGGTCTTGTAGGTGACAATGAACATGTACTTCTCCATGGAGAAGTTGTCGAGGTTGACGTTGTCCTCGGGGGCGGTGATGAGGTCACAAAGCTGACCAAGCTCGGTTTGCCAGGTGGTCTCGTGGAAGAGTTCGACAATGTCGATGTAGGCGGGGTGCGAGCGGAAGCGCTGCTTCAGGATGAGGTAGATACCGGCCTCCAGCATGAAGGCGTCGTTGATGGCGATCTGGCCGACACCGTCCTGGCGGTACCAGCAGGGCTGTCCACGGCGGGTAATAGAAGAATCCATCATATCATCGCTGACGAGGAAGAAAGCCTGGAGCAGCTCAGTCATCCAACCCAGGATGCTGAGGTGCTCGAATTGCTCCTCGGTCAGGGGCTGCTTCAGGAGAGCAATGCCGGTGTCAGGAACCGAGAGGCCACGGTTGAGCTTACCGCCGGGAACATTGACATTGAGGGACTATGGTGCACAATTAACGTGTCAGTCATGATATTTCATTAAGAACAATCAATCAAGACGGGTGGCATACCTTCTCGAACCACTCGAGCGCATTGTCGGGGAGATTGTAGCGCTTTGCGTGCGCAAGCATATCCTGGACCAATTTAGGGAAGATGGCCTCAAAGTCGGCGCGCTTAGTAGTAGAAGCCATGATGAGAGAGTTTGAGGTAAAATCGCCAATGATCTGACAAGAACGAAAACGTTCACAATAATTAGGGGACCATTCGCCCATGCCCCCGCGGAGGGACAATTTGCTAGGTTTGCAATGTTTGTACAGTTTGTTCTCGTATTGCTGTTTCTCCAGGCGCAACCCGACGACGATGTGGATTCTTCAAGGCCATTGAATGATCTTTCAGCTTGTTTTCGAATTTGCGAGCATTAATAGCGTGCCCGGAATCCTTGCTACTCTTCTTGTCTTTCTTTCGGGATACGCAGATTACTTTCCCATCCGTATCAACAACGCGATACTTTTATTTACACCACTGGACCTTTGCAAGTCGGGATTGAACTGCTGTGGTGGTCAGCTTCTTTCAACTAAAAGAAGCATGAGACTGAATTGTTGCAAAACGTCTTGATACACTTAGAGCTGCATCGGCGCCACAACAGCGGTGTTTGAACGTTCTGCCTCGGAATACCTCCGCCTACTTGCGACAAAGACGCCCGCCATGGAAGAACCTACAGATGATGGAATCCGGGAGCTCATGTACCAGCTGGAAAATGCTGCAATAAAATGCTCCGAGCGTTGCCTTTACCAATCAGCAAAATGGTACGGCTTATAAGCTTCATTCGAATTGGCCTGACGTGCTAATGATGTTGACCAACTCAGGGCAGCCGAAATGCTCGATTCCCTCCGGCCTTTAGATCACGAAGACACCGACCTCGAGTCTCCGATGGAGATTTCAGAACCTCTTCCATCAGCAACAAATCCGTATCTCAAAGTGGACGACCCAGTAGAAGCTGCCCTTGAAACGCAAGAGTCCTATAAATACCTGCTCGCCAAATCCTACTTCGATACCCGGGAATATGACCGATGTGCGGCCGTGTTCCTCCCTCCGACAACACCGCCCGTTCCTTTGTCGGTTACCTCACCTAACTCCAAGCCGAGACCACCGCGGACTTCGCACAAGGGCAAGGACAAGGCTTCACCGTTCCAAAGCTCAAAGACCCAAAAGACCCAAATACAGCAAAATCCATATCCAAAACTCAGCCAGAAATCGCTCTTCCTCGCCTTATACGCAAAATACTTGGCCGGAGAAAAGCGCAAGGAAGAGGAAACGGAGATGGTGTTAGGTCCAGCAGACGGTGGGATGGCTGTCAATCGAGAGTTGTCGGGTCTTGCCAGAGGTTTAGATGGATGGCTATCTGAACGAACTGCAAAAGGGTTGGATGATCGAGGGCAGGGATGGCTAGAGTATCTCTATGCTGTTGTCTTGTTAAAAGGACGGAATGAGGAGCTGGCGAAGAAATGGCTCATTCGCTGTGTGCATCAAAACCCTTACCATTGGGGTGCCTGGCAGGAACTGAACGACCTTCTGGGAAGCACAGAAGACGTAAGTTATCCCCATCAGTACTTCCTTCCCTCTGTACTAATTTTCCCAGTTGAAACAAATTCTCGAACTCCTGCCGCAAAACGTTATGAGTTTAATATTCTACGTCTACTGCAGCCAGGAGCTGTATCAGGCCACAGAAGACACATATAGGTCACTCTCCGAGCTACAGTCAATGTTCCCAGAGAGCGCATTCCTCAAAACGCAGCACGCATTGTTATTATATCACTCGAAAGGTAACTACCCCAGCTCCAACGCAACACGCGATTTATCCGTGGTCTAATATCATTCAGACTTCGAGGAAGCATCCCATATTTTCGAAGGTATTTTGGCCACATCACCCCACCGCTTAGACAGTCTAGACCACTATTCGAACATTCTTTACGTGATGGACCAGCGACCTCAACTTGCATTCGTCGCTCAAGTCGCAACCGCCACCGACAAATTCCGCCCAGAAACGTGCTGTGTCGTGGGTAACTACTACTCATTGAAATCCGAGCATGAGAAGGCAGTGATGTACTTCCGACGTGCACTCACCCTCGACCGAAACTTCTTATCTGCATGGACCCTCATGGGCCATGAATACATCGAGATGAAGAATACTCACACCGCAATCGAGTCGTACCGTCGGGCTGTCGATGTCAATCGCAAGGATTACCGCGCCTGGTACGGTCTCGGGCAGGCCTACGAAGTCTTAGATATGTCTTTCTACGCCCTGTTTTACTACCAACGCGCCGCAGCACTACGTCCATATGACCCAAAAATGTGGCAGGCAGTCGGATCGTGCTACGCAAAGATGGGCCGGGTGGAACAGAGTATTCAAGCTCTCAAGCGTGCATTGGTCGCTGGATCATTACAACCAGATGATGGCGGACAAGCGGGTCCCGGCGCAAACGCTGGCTCTGGAAGTCGCAAGATCCTTGACCCAGAAACTCTGCACCAGATTGCTACACTGTACGAGCGTCTGGGCGACGAAGAAGAGGCCGCTGCATACATGGAACTCACTCTTCAACAAGAATCCGGCGCTCCTGTCAATGAGAATGTTGATGACGGCTCCTCTGCCTCGGAGCATGACATTCAAAGTGATGCCGAGATCGAGCATTCGGGAGACGAAGATCCTGATTTGTCCCAACGACATCGTCGTAATCGCAAGCCTCGCGTAAAGGCTGAATCATTTGCGATGCAAAACGATGACTCCATTGTCAGTGAGACGTGGAATGGTACTGGTGTTACAGCAACTACATCGAAGGCACGGCTGTGGTTAGCACAATATGCGTCACGGAACGGTGATCTTGATCGTGCGGACCAGCTGGCTAGCGAATTGTGTCAGGATGGGATTGAAGTGGAGGAGGCCAAGGCGTTGATGAGGGACGTACGGGCGAGAAGGGAGGGTGCGCCCTAATTGCATCGGTTAATTGAGATATGGATGGATTATCATGACGGCGAACCATTTTACTGGTCTTTATGAATACTAGCTATGATTGATTGCAACGCTCATGTTCACCTTGTAGAAGCAAGGCCAGCATTACCGATTGCTGTTTATATATATTAAAGGGGTCACAGCCAGTATGATTTTCATTCGTAAAGAAAAGGGGTATCAATCATATAAAACATGAGCGAGTGGTTCGATCGAGATATACTCGCCCAACACAGCAATAGCTGTCTCATCAAAGGTCATCTCGATCCATGGGGTCCTTGGCCCAGAGTGCGGAGGCTCTGATATCACCTTTGCCATGTCATAACAATGTTGATTCGACTCAGGGCAGAGATTCTCTCTTCCGATGGATAAACCATCAGATCGCTTGCTGAGATTCCATGAAACACAGCCATAGAAATGATCACGTCCAATAACTGTCCACGTGTCACGCAGGCAGAAACGAAGGTCACCGGGCCGTAGATCACGTTCCAACATGCTCGAGCCCAAAAAGAATATGCTTCCCATGGAGGGGAGCGAGCTTGTCACAGTATGGACAAAACTAGAAAGCGTTGTCGCGAGACGGCGCATTTCTTCGCCTAACCGAGTTGCTTTGGGATCAAACAGGATAATGCCAAACCGTGTCCCCTGTGATGCAGCATGGGGATTCGATTGTTGGAGGTAAGAACCAAATTCATCCGAGCAGAGACACCGAACAAATTTATCCAAATCACAAGATTCGCGATCTTTGTTGGGCTGTTCATCAATTTGGGGAAGTGTAAAGCTTCCCAATGAGGTTTCGGGCGTCCATATAGGGATAGTTGTTAGAGGAGATTGGGGTGATATCTTGCGTTTCTGTTTGGATGATGTGGACACCAACAGCTTGCTCGAAATCCATTGCTGCGCGGAGATGGAAGTGGCTGTCCGTAAAAAGCTCGAAACTTCCTGCGAAGCAATCTTTTCATCCTTCTGGCTGGAGTGTTGACGAGACGACAGGTTCACGTTCTCCACGAGTATATTGGTCTCAAGAACAGGATTTTGGTCTTTAGTGGGAAGTGTTGTCTCATCGATGTAGATTAGAGGGGACATTGGAGGGTCATTATATGATGGCTCATGGTTGCCCTTCCCTGTTGAATCTTCACGCGGCCAATCCATCAATGGACATGCATTCATCAAGATTTCTCCAGAAGAAGTGTTAGCGTGGGGAACCTGGGATGGCGGCGAATTTATCTCCTCGTCGGTGTCTGAACAAGTCGCTTCTGGACTTGGAGATCGCACAATGTACTGATCAAGTCCACTTGCAGCCTTGAGGCGTTTTGACCATCTCTCGCGTTCTTCCAGTTCATCCGCAGGCACAGCCCGGGCATCCTCCGCGGCAAGCTCCAGTTCCTGAAAAGATGTACATTCTTCAAGGGTCCGGTCCGAATGTATCTTCAAAATCCGAGGAAATCGAAGTGTGAAGTATCTAGCCCCAGACGGCTTTTCAAATCCACTGCCCAGCATCTCGACGACAAACGGATTTTTGAATAATGTGGTTGCAACGGTAAGTTTGTTGTGCCCGTACTCAACTGCAAAGTCTTCAAATGATTCAGGTTCACATGCATAGAATTCGCCCATTTGATTGAGCGTTTGCATGGTCTGAATGCTCATACAGTGTCGGCTAATCATATCAACCACTCGAAAATGCGGTAAAGAATCGCCTTGTTTGACACGTTCCTTGTTCAGAAGACATCCAACATAAAAGTGAGTCCATTTCAGCTTTTTTATTCGTCTCAGATCAGGAGCATCCTGCGCGTTGTAGCTAGCTCCGATCAATGCCAGGTCTAATGTGTCTCCAAGACCGGGTATATAATCTTTCTTGAGTTTGATCCATCGGCCAAACATATGATCCGCACCAGTGGTGTACATCGGAAAATAAGGCTCGTCAGAAGCTTTCAAGACATACCCCTCCCAACGTCGAGTAATTGCTTTCTCGAAGGACCTTTCGAGTCGATGATAGCTATCAATCCGGTTGAAGTCTAGAACTTCCTGATGGACGAGGTCCGCTCGGCCAGGAATGGTCTTTACCACTTTCTGTAAAAGTAGTCTTCGTTCCCGATGAGGCTTAGCAAGGCATACGTCATTATCAAGGAGGAGGATGTCAAAGAACATGATCATCAAATGTTCAAACGGTTGCGGCCTGTGTCAATCAGCAAAATAGTACATACTTTAGAAGGAATAGTCATTTACGGAGAATCATTATCAACACCAATTAGGGTGCCAGATCGTGGTATAAACCTCCGGATTTTGTTGAAGTCCATCAGTTCACTGTTTTGGTCATTCCATACGAGCAGTTCTCCCTCAACGATACAGCGGCGCGCAAATTTGCACTCGGGTAATCCAGTGCGAAGCGATTCTTCTATCACAGGTATGATCTTATCTTTATCTGCGGTCGAATCCTTGCCACTTTTGGAGAAGATCTGAATGGGTGTATACTTGTTAGAGAGATCGATGTGGATCTGACAGTATTCACCATCGTATTTCCGTTCAATGCTCATTCGACGACCGTTGACCATCTGATGGCAATGTTTGATACTCCGGGCTTTGTAATAATCAGGGCGTCCCACCTTGATACCAGGACGAGGGCGCATATGTTGTAGAGCAATGGTGGCAAGACTTCTGGCTGTTTGGGGATTTGGGTTTGGAGGGAATTGGTTTATTGGGTCGGAAGCGAGTATCTCCAACGCACCTTCAAAGGAGTTCTGAAGCTGGAGCAATTGCGGCATAAGAAAGTGAAATCTCTTCAGGGTATACTTTTCTGGAAAAATAACGGGAGAGTAGCTTTTGAGGATCATGCGAGTGAGCCATTTGGCGTCACGGCTACTTGTTCGACGGTACAGTTTTGATAGGATTTCATCAACATTCACAACTGTACGATTCCGGCGGGCATTAGGCCCAGAGAAGCGACAACGTGAGGCAATCATAACCATGGCGCGATCGATTTCTTCTACCGACAACTCCTGGCCGGCAGGAATGTAATTCTCGGCTTGCCTCATGACAATTTCGACACACCCTCCAAGATCAGGACCACCAGGACTTTGCCATCTGTTAAGTTCGGAAAGTCGCGATGATCCCAACCCCAAGCAGCGGCCAATGACTCTTGATAGCTGCAATACTTGCAGCCAGTATACTCGGTCCGTTCGTTTTTCTGGGAACATGCACGAAAGCAGCGCTACACGGTCTGTTTCGACATGATGGATAGTCCGCTCATGTCGAGAGAACCACTGGGCGACTGTTCTAATGTCTGGATTATCGTTCCTGGCCGCCGTGCAGGCCTTGGCCGTTTTGCTGTCGTCCAGGCTGGACAGCAGATCACACAAGAGGGTGAATTTAAAGCCCATGGCCCATATTCACGTGAGTTACCCAGTAAATCAGCATACAACCGTGAATAATCTGAGGTATAGCCAAGTCGATCAAAACTCGAAACTCTTGAGGTGGAGACGTGACCGAACGCGAAAAGATGAAAGAGCGATGACACGTGAGCACGTGACCACTTTAGCCCCATTTATAGAACTATACGGAGTAAATTAGGTGACAATGTAAAGAGAGGTGAATTCTTGACATTTGAGGGGTTATAATAAGGTATGAAAGTGTACAAATAGCTCTGGTTCGGTATCAACTACCAATTATAAAACATCTTACTCGATCCATTGAGTAGTAGATAAACCATGTGTGACAATTTGATGCGCTAGGTCTTCATGTCGAGGAATCATTTCAAAAAGCAACTCGGTAAATTCTAGAGACAGATATCTCCGTGAATCAAGCGCGACAGATCCAATCCCTTCTGGATATATCCCATTATCTCTAAAGTCATTCAGCTAGATTTTGCCATCAGAATCCAGGATCAAGTTGCGAGGTGCGATATTGTCGTGCATCATAAATGGATCCCAACCAATTCCACTTCTTCTCCTGCCTTCCCACCGAGTTGAGATTTACCATCTAGCGTGAATCCCTCCCAGCCCGTGTGGTAGAAATATACCAGGCTTATAATGAGAGCATCTATATACATGATACCCCATCACGAACAAGGACTAGATGCTTTCTTTGATTTTGCAGAAAAATGCGAGTCTCACGCCGGGGGATTGCTCACCAAAGAGCAGAGGTTTTATAGGGAATCTCCAGAATCAATCAAGACCATTGTGAGGGAAATACTTGCTGGAACATTTGGAGCCCAAGCTGCCCAGACTCTTCCTCCGATCCATCTCGCCATCATGTTTAGGTTCTGCCCTTGTTGGTGCAACCATTCTCAAAAACTGTTCAACGAACCCGAGATATCCCCAGGATTGGCGTTGACAGCTGGAGGAACTCGCCAACTACTAGAGAAAATTGAAGGAATACTTAGAACTGATGCTATGTTGAAGGTGCAGCGTTCATAGAATAATCCGAGAATCGAGATTTCTGGGAAGCTTGAGCTTTTTGACCCAATACGCTCTCTTAACTGCCTTAAACCACACGAACCCGCTGCTCCCACCACACCCACACCCACAGGAGGCTGTGCCCTTGACCTAAGGTATGTACTATTCGTTTCTCACATTGTATGAAAAAGACCTGCCTATTTTGTTTATAAAATTCGTTAACTCCGCCAGGTCTGGACCGGCGAGCTTATGCTGCGCTCCTGTGACTACAAGATATGTTGATTTAATCTATGAATAAGCAGGGTATTTATACCCTACCCGGCAAACAACCTATGCGGTTTGCCAACGAACAACCAATGGGACATGCGATCATCCAATAACTGGAGTATGATGAATGATACTATACATCTAGATAAACCTATATCGTACCAAATCTCTAACTTGGGATATTTAAGTCTACTAATTCTTTATTCTATTCATAGCAGTAATAAAAACGGAGCAAAGATACCTAGGAAGAGACATCGAAAAAGGATTAACGCCTTTGCAATTAGCGCTGTTGATGATCTTCTCGCATGTCTTGGATATCCTATCTTTGATCATATAATCATTTGCCTTGTTGTCTACAATGCCATTACAAGCGAACATCCGGAAGGCACAATCACCAGCAATTCAATAGCATCATTGGTCACATAGGTGTGGTCACGTAGGTGTTACGCCGAATCTAGAAGTATACGAAACCAGAAAGGCGCTGGAGGCTACCAAATGATTCTAAGTAATTTGAGAATTAATCGAGTCACAGCTTGTCCCTCTATCTTCATCCAACTCGTCACACGTCTTCCTTGCCCCTGTGAACGACAACAACCGAGTCAAGGCCTTGGGCCTTGGGGTCCGAGCCAGATCGTTGACTCGGTGAATCCGTATGCGCTAATTCATCCAGCGGAGCATCTTGACTAGAACTTCCTGTCGCTGTCTCCGTCTGCGGCAAGGCACACGATGGCCTTGCTCGTCGATTCCTTCTGTATCGACGCCTGAAATATAGGAACAGGCTAACGAAAAGCAGGATCATGCCAAGCGTACAACCAACGCTGATTCCAGCCATCGTAGCCTTTGAATAAGTGTGCGGCTGCGTGCTATTGCTGCTCCTGGGGCGTATACTAGTACTCGTGCGAGTTCCATCCGCAAAAGTGTCGATTGCAGTCGAACCAGAGGCATTTCCGGTGTATGCGCCATCTGTTTGAAACATCTTAGCTCGGCAATAACAGCACAGTTCGAATGATCTTACCTTTGATCCGGGATGGATGGTCACCACTCAAGAATCCATTTCCCGCGACCGAGTGAACGGGCAGTAACATCTCAAGGTGCGAAGACACAAAGGTGTGTGAGATGGTAAATACGGAAGAGGCTGCGGGAGAAGAAAAACAGGGTCCGGGACCATAGACATATTGTACATGTGCTTGGCCCAACCTGGTATAGCGCTGACTTTTGTGAAGCTATTTTTTAATTAAAATAAGCCCGATAACGAACCCCTATATTTTGATCCATAGTGACAGTCCATTTACGGAGTATATGATGATAAGATGTTGAATGCCGAGGTCTATTGAGAATGTACATACTATTCCAACTAAGGTGGAGGCTCTCCATCTGAACCCTAACTACGGGTTTACGGATGTTCGCCTACGTATAGTTCTATATCACTTTGTTCAAAAAGCGATAGCACAGTTGTCTTTGACAGGACTGTTTCTCTCCTGTTTGAAAACGCCAGAAGACCGATAACGAAATAAGTGCTACGGGGAAGGTGGGTCGCCTCTAGCGTACAATGGACAATGGCGCTAATATACGATCTGACCATTCACAGATGTTAGCTTGAGCCCTGGAGACACCGAGTTATGTCAGCCATGCTTGTAGCTATGATCGCCATGGACTCGCGAAGGCTGTACAGAACGAGTGGAGACTGAATACTTGGTGAATGGTCAGGATTCACGGCAGGCTTTTGGAAAAGCAGCGCAGTGGTTAAAGCGAACTGGCTTAATGTTGAAGGGCTGAGATGAGTGCAGAGATAAAGTTTCACACCCCTACGGAGTAACGTAGTTGGTAAATAGGTTACATTGCAAGGGTCACCAGTTGGCTTGGCGTCGTACTATGCTTCAACCTAATCGCGATATAAGAAGTAAGCGGAACTTGGTTTGCGCGACTAACCGCACGCCTCAGCTTGGGCGTAGGCATTGCGCCACTTAATAATTGTTACGTGTGGGAGGCTATCCCATCAGGAAGTCGAATGTGGTGTGGTGGGAAATCAAGTATACGAGCTCTACTAGCATAGTTATACATCAGACAATTGTGGGTGTTTTATTGTGACAGTAAGTTTGTGGTAGAAGTTGAAAGAACAGATTTGAGCCCAAGACCAAGCCAGTTCAAACCTGAAGATGGCTTTGAAGAGTATGTATTCGCCGAACACCGAGCCATTTGGATGAAAAAAGGACGCCAGATGATAAAAAAAAGAGAAGCATCAAGCCCTCTCTCTTCAGAGAATACCTTGCTTTTGCAAATCCAAGTAGATCCTTTCGGGCATAACGTTGCCCTCTGCATCCTCCATCTGAACGACATTCTCACGTGAATCACGCTCCTTCTTGCGATCCTTCTCGAGCTGCTCCCAAAGCGCCATGGCCTCGTTAATACTGGTGATCTCACGGAAGAGATTGGTGTTTGATGTGATGCCGAGGCACTTCAATCCGTGGACGTGGAGATTTTCAGAGAAATGTTTGTCAAATGCTCGTCGACCCATGTAGGTGTAGTTTCCACAAATCTCGCACTGGTATTCAACACCGAGTCCATGGAGCTTGTAGAGCCAGAACGGAATAGGTTTTCCGTCCCATGCCAGTGGCAATTTCAATGGGTTGTAAACAATCTCCTCGTCCTCTTCCTCTGATTCTTCGCCGGCACGAGGTTCGGGACCAGTGTGATCGAGGCCAGCCTGCACAGCTTCCCATTCCATTTGACGTTCACGTTCAGTCATACCCTGTCGGCGCTCAACATTGATTTTGGTCGCTTGGCGCTCCTCGTGTAGAACGTTCGTCAAGGATCGAATTTGGTGTTCGCGTCGTGCAACTTCGCGCTCCTTTAGGCTGTGCGCCAAAGACGCAACTTCGGATGAAGATGGCTTCGAATCGGATGTGCCTGCTGCTTTGCGGGCTTCTGCCGCTCGGATGTGTTTCTTGCCGGTCAAGTGGCTCCGGTGCACGTTCTCGTTCTTGAATTCCTTCTCGCAATCTGCACACCAAATGCCCTCGCCAGTTCCTTCGGTTGCTGGGCCAGATTTACCATTCTTGGACTTTTCTTCTGTCCAACCCGGAACCTCCTTCGCAGCCCATTGCTTCTCGAATTCCTGGTCAAAGCTGGCGAAAAGCTCGTCCAAGGGTTGCAGTGGCTGAACTCTCTTGATAAAACTTTCCAGATAGCTAGCAAGCTCGCTCACATAGCTGAAGTAACGATCGGAGATCTTGTCTTTCCGCTTAATTGGCATGACCGGCGGTGTGAAGATGTCGAAGATGTCCAGATATTGGACGTATGACAAGCGCTTAACTCCAGGAAGATTCAGGTAATCTTCGTGAAGAATTGTAAGATCCAGGTACTGTCCAAATCCTTCTTCGCCAGTGAACATATTATCGATTGCGGTGCGGGAAGCCTCTCCTTCGGCGACCTGACGGCGGTTGTATGCTTGCTCGAGGTTCTCAATCGGTTCGTTCGGGTAGCGCTTGTGGTGCTCTTTGATTTCCCCCAGGTGCTTGTAAAACTCCTCGAATTGGTCGCCTGTTGAGATAGACTGCACTTCCTTCTCCCGCAATCCATCAGCATCCTGGTAGATCTCCAGTAGTCGCTTGGACTGGCTCTCGATTCTCTCTAGGAACTGGGCGATTTCATGGTCGCGAGCTAACCGACCTCGGGCCTAAATAATTGGTGTGTTAGAAAACATGACTGACATTGGTCGGCGGTATACTCACATTTCGGGGCTCCTCCGCCACGCGATCAGCAATAGCCTGTTCCAGCCGTTCTAGATCCTCATGGATAAACCTTTGATCTTCGAGCAACATATTTTCAATATGACTGCTACGTAAGAACTTTTCTTCTTTGGCGCGCAGACAGTGGTGACAAAGTCTCGTGGCAATCGCAAAAAGCGTTGGCAATTGGCAGCTCCAACTTGCGGGAAGGTCATGTGACCCGAACCTTTCCACCGCGAAAAGTTGAGCCGGTTGACCTCACTTACTTCTAAGGCTTCACTCTTCGTGAATCCCAATATTGTTTATTATCTGCCGTTGAAATAATCACATTTACATCATGGCGGACGGAATCGACAGACGCGCCGACGGTATGTGGTTCCAACCTTGGACATGAATCATGCTAACAGCAACTAGAGCGCATGGAGTTCAACACCTCCAAGGAGGTGACTGTCGCGCCGACCTTCGAGGACATGCACTTGAAGGAAAGCTTGCTTCGCGGAATTTACGCTTACGGATACGAATCGCCTTCGGCTGTCCAATCCCGTGCGATTGTTCAAATCTGCAAAGGTCGCGACACCATTGCCCAGGCCCAGTCCGGTACTGGTAAAACCGCCACATTCGCGATCAGTACCTTGCAGGTCATTGATACTGTTGTGCGCGAGACCCAAGGTACACATCTCCCCTGTCCAAACTGATCACATCAAATCCTAACCACGATCCGGTCTGTAACAGCTCTGGTCCTCTCCCCGACCCGTGAACTCGCAACCCAAATTCAATCCGTCGTTATGGCCCTCGGTGATTACATGAACGTTCAGTGCCACGCTTGCATTGGAGGAACCAACGTTGGTGAAGATATCCGTAAACTCGACTACGGCCAACACGTTGTCTCCGGAACTCCTGGTCGTGTGGCCGATATGATCCGTCGCCGCAACCTGCGCACACGTCATATTAAGATGCTCGTTCTCGATGAAGCCGATGAGCTCCTGAATCGCGGTTTCCGTGAGCAGATTTACGATGTTTACCGCTATCTGCCCCCCGCGACGCAAGTCGTCGTGGTCTCTGCCACCCTCCCATACGATGTCCTGGACATGACCACAAAATTCATGACTGATCCCGTCCGTGTCTTGGTCAAGCGTGACGAGTTGACACTGGAGGGTATCAAGCAATACTTCATTGCTGTTGAGAAGGAGGAATGGAAGTTCGACACACTTTGCGATTTGTACGATACCTTGACTATCACCCAGGCCGTTATCTTCTGCAACACCCGCCGAAAGGTCGACTGGCTTGCCGACAAGATGCGTGAGGCCAACTTTACCGTCTCCAGTATGCACGGCGAGATGCCTCAGAAGGAGCGTGACAGTATTATGCAAGACTTCCGTCAAGGCAATTCTCGTGTCCTTATTTCTACTGATGTCTGGGCCCGTGGTATCGATGTTCAGCAAGTCTCTCTTGTTATCAACTACGACCTGCCTACCAACCGCGAGAACTATATTCACCGTATTGGTCGATCTGGACGATTCGGCCGCAAGGGTGTGGCCATCAACTTTGTCACCAGCGATGATGTCCGTATCCTTCGCGACATCGAGTTGTACTACTCGACTCAAATTGATGAGATGCCAATGAACGGTAAGCCAATCCGCTACCATTTTCTAATTGTTATGCTAATGATCTTATTCCAGTTGCGGATTTGCTTTCATAATCTCATTCTCTGGTATTGTGATTGTAACATCTTTTCTTACGCCAAAAGCGACTTGGCCTCATCCCTTCTGGAGCCTTCTGCAAGTGCGCTTGCATTTTTTTATTGAATATGCCTCGGAATCTGGCACGATGGGTTTGAGGGAAATGAAAGGCCAGCTCTAGCGTGGAGGAAAGGGAAAATAACATATTTCAGTAAGTCAAATCACTGCCATTCACTTGACACGAAATGCTAATAATTTGGGATAGTTTTCAAGAATGCCAACCGATTTGCACGCCCCAGGAGGTGTTTACGATTTTGCTTATTTCAAAATTTCGGGCCTCCAGCCCAAGTAGCAGGGTCTTTTTTTCTTCATGCTTGGAGTTTCTTCTTTTACTTTACTTTTTGACACTAGGAATCATGAATGATGGAATCAGCTTTACTTTCATATTTACTTCTTGGTCTCAAGTATTTCCCTGGTCTGGGGACATGAATATGAATCAGTAGTGAAGAAAAAAGATTAGAGTGAGAGGTACTTACACGAAAGGTCGGGGTGAGATGCAATATGTCAAACTGGGCCTCAACAACTCCATTACTATATGGCTACGCTGGTTAGTTCCTACTGGATGGAAGTTCTACATCGAAAAGAGTTATATAAATAGTAGATTTGATTCAATCAAGGGGACTTGCAACAAAACATTCAACCCGAGACCAAGAAAGCCCCCCAAAAGTAAAACTCAGAACTGGGCCAACCAGAAACGGACAGAACATATATACTCCTCGGAACCCAGAAAGAAGATATGGACCAACGCCAGCTCCCTGTATTGAAAGAAATAGAGGCTAACTGCAAAGTAGACAGCATAAGGAGTGAAAGGGGGACTCGAACGATGTATATGCGCAAGACAGCATGATGAGAATATGTCGGTCAGTTGATGAGGGAGAAGAACAAGAAAACATTGCAAGACAGCAGGTTTATCGTCTTTCAATCCCAAGCTCCGAGTATGTTCCCTCCATCAGATACGGTATCGTGAGGAACCTAAATAAAGACAGGCAACAAGCATGACCAAAATTGGAGTTGGGGGAGTCATTTTCCATTTGCAGACCATGGATGTCAGAAAGTAGATGTTGTCCTCAATGCGCTAGTCCGTGTAACCCCATTTGAGGGTATACCACTGCGTTGAACTGGTCCTGCTGGACGGGATCGATTACTGTCTCGAGACCAACTATAAGTTTGAGTTAGCAGCGTTGTTCAACGTGAGACGAGGACAGGAGTGATTCTTACATCCTTACTACACTATCATCGCCTGCTGATGCGAACATTCCCGGATCTGCTGGGTTCCATGATATTGAGTTAACGCATCCTGAGATATGGCCTTCCAGGATCTCTACGATGTTGCCGTTTTCTTTGTGCCAGATGTAGACTTTCGAGTCTGCAGATAGTTAGTAACAATTCCAGAAGTGAGGTGTTGAGATATTTACCTTCACTTCCGCTGACGACAAAGTTCTCGGCTGCTCCACCGAACGTGCTGCGAATCACGAACTCGCCTTGCTTCTGTCCCTTGAATTGACGGACAACAGCAGTGGTTTCCATGTCAACTAATTGGATCTCGCCCTCGGCCAGGTTTATAAGCATATGCCGCGAGTCTCTGCTGATAGCAACCGAGGTCGGTTTGCTCGGAAGTGGGAGACAGTAGTCTTCCTCGTATGTAAGCATGTTGTACACATGGACCTTCGCTTCGGTGTCGGCAGCGACAAGGCGTCGTCCGTCAGCGCTAATAGCACAATCCTGTACACGGAATCCGCCTTTCCACGTGTATAAAGATTGGCCACGCATGCTCCAGTGACGGAGCTGTGATTCAGCATCGAGAGAGGCTGTCACAAAAGATTCACCATCTGCCGCCCAGGCAGCTGCAGTCACCGGTTGACGGTGGTGATTGATGGTGAGCAGGCAACGACCGCTCTAAACCATGCAAAGCCCAAGTTAGCATATGATTATAGATCTACATCAGATTGTTGAATTAATTACCTCAACACTCCATACGCGTGCCTTCTTGTCTTGCGAGCAAGTAATTAGTTTGGAGTCATCTGGACTCCAACTGGCAAACGCAACGCCATCCTCGTGTTCCGTCAATCTGTGGATAACACTAAAATCGGTTGTGTTGTAGATGAGCACGTTATGGTCCTTGCCTGCAGTGACCAGCTTGGAGCCATCGTGAGAAAATTCGCAATACCACACTTCATCTGAGTGATGTGTCAAGTCCACTGAGACGTCCAATGGGAAGTCGTTTCGGTCGCACATGTGGTCAGAGTAGAGCGACGGAGGTTCCGCGGTATTGTGATAAAAGCATTTGTTGATTTGAGTCTGCTTGACTTGATCTAGTAGCACGGCCAGGCGATGCTGCGGGATCATCACGGAAGGAGATATAGATTCTGCGGCTGAATTAGCAACCCGGTTACACCACATTGGGTATTAGATTGGGCTCACTTGACAATTCGCCAAGCAGTCGTTCGCGAGACGAGCTAACGGAGCCATCCCATCCCGTTTGAGCATGTAAGACCTCGGTCGAGCACATAAGAAGACTGGCCAAAATAACTGGTAAGCAAATCGAGTTTTGGAAATTCCTATAGATCGGCAATACCTTGATAGCGCATGAAGTCGCTCAACATCAAAGTTCAAGGGCGTCAGTTCTTGCCGAAGGACGTTGAGCGCCGCAGCTAGATCACGCGCTTCTAGCAACTCGAGGAATTTCTGTTGCCGGAGATAGAATAGCATCTCGTTCCTATCGGCCTCCTCTGTTAATATCAGAGTTTCTTCTTGTGGAGATTTCCGATCGACATGTTGTGATCCGGCATTTCGAAACGATTGTATCAAGATTCTCTCGGCTTCTGGCCATCTTCCGCCTAACACCGCACTCCGGAACGTTGCAACCCCTGACGTTTCCAGTTCATACCCGCTCTCCGAGCTTAACAGTGCTGCCGACCCATTATAACCCAACTCATATAGACTCTGTATCAAAATTCGCGTCACCTCCTCCTTGTTGTGGCCGTAGTAGGTAGAAGACTGGGGTGGCCTTTTGGAGCCATTTGTATGAGAGCTCCCGTTGGTTGCTGCTTGCCCATTCAGACCCGTCTTCCTCGACGTCGATGCAAGTGATTCATTCGAGGAGTCTGGGATGCCATTTTCTGTTGATATTCCATCGGGACGCATGATTACCAGGCGCCTGCGCTTGGGGGAAGGAGGTCGGCCGTCCGGTCGGCCAAGAAGGCTGGGATAACCCTGGGGTGCAGTCTCACGTGCTATTCGTGGAAAGTGTCCGGTCCCCGCCGATGAGGGACCAAGTATATCCGGGCTGCTCGAAAGGCGGCGGCGACGGTTGGTCCGAGGGGTAGATGAACTGGGTGGTTGAGATGCGGCGGACAGGAATTCTGACGTTGGGGAGCCGGGATTGCCTACCGAGGCGGGAGCTGTGATGGGTAAAGGAGGATCAGGGTGGTCGGAGGTGATAAAGGGGTTATGCGGTGATGAATTTTGAGCCAGTTCGACTATATCTCTAGATCTGCCCAATCCCCTGGCTCTTTGGAAGAACCAGGTGAGCAGACCTCAAGCGGTGGCGGGTGTCCGATAAGTAATCGCCGGGAGCTCCGTTGGAGAGGGGCGATGCAGTTGTCACAGGGTCAAATGGATAGTCACTAGCTTAAGCTGATAGGCACAGATGTAAAAAATGATCAAAGAGCTGTAGATCTTGAGAAATCACGCGGTTGTGTTCTCTTTGAGTTGGGAACTGGTGGATGGTTGGGGCTTATCGGAGAGAGGAGAGAAAGAGAGAGATAAAGAGACGGACCAGTCAACCTCGAACGGCAATGAAAGTCCGAATCTCGAATATAGGATTAAATACCGACTGTCAAATGTCAAATGTCAAATGTGAGATGTGAAATGGCTTTAAGTAAAGGAAAAACAGGATTGGGTCGTTGGGTAGCCCAGGTAGGATAAGAAGGACCCGACGATCTACATTGTAGCACTTCTACTATGTACTCCCTTGCTACATGTATGTATGAGAAATTCGCTATTTTACACGAGTATGTATGTAGAATTAGAAATCCACACCGACGATGACGTTTTAGCATCCTACCTTGTGCTGTGAGGGTATACGGAGTGGAGTTTGTACAACTATATCTATAAAGCTGTTAGAGGTGGTGTTTAGCAAGATGCCTAAAATTATAGTGAAATAAAGCAATCATGAGGGTTTCCAATGGTAGAATATTTGAAATGGGATTATGGCTGGGATCCTATGCACTGAGGGCCAATGCGGCTCCCAGGAACTGCCCGTGATATGATAGTATATTATCAAGCTTGGAGTGACCGGAAGAAAACTTCTTATCCTCATGATTAAAAGTACTAAGAGTCAGAAGTATGAGACTACAGAAGCAAGGTAGCCTTGACAAACTTGATTAAGAGGAAGTTGGTGCTCCAATGTCACTATTTACTTCACTTCTAAGATGCCTTTATATGTAGTCTACAGCTTAATGGTGAGTTCTAGAGGTGGATTAAGAACTTATAGGCTGGTATATTCCGGACTATCCCTGCATGGACAGCCAAGTAGATAAGAAACTCTCATGCCGCAATCTCAACAACCAACTTCGTACAACTCACCCCCCGGAGGACAATATCCAACCCAGCATTAATAGCCCCCAGCCCCTTTCCCACGACCCTTGGCTCCGGACTGGGCCTGATAACCCCGTTGGCTAGATTCTCTCTCAGCCATGTCCCCATCCAATATTGAAACTGGGCCAACCTCTCCCCTTCATTCATCGACGGCAGCACAAAGATGGTTTCCACCCCGCTCACCACGTCTGCGTCAGCAGGAATTACCGGTGCTGATCCAATCTTTGCCTTCTGGTCTTCTTTTCCTTGGTTATCCCCAATGAAGGCTTTGAGGGCGGCTTGACATGACGCCAGCTGCCCTGTGGCAAGAAAGCAGTGCCGAATAACTAGACCGTCTTCTCTGGCCGCCGAAACAATATTATCCACAACCTGCGGATCTTTGTAATCAAAGACGCGATCCGCGCCTAGGGAGGTTATGTACTTCAGATTCGCCGCACCGGCCGTGGCGTACACAGCGGCGAAAGAAGAGTGGCGATCTTCCCGCAGCACCCTGGCGCTTTGCACACCCATCGTTCCAACGCTAGAGGAAGCACCCCAGACCAGTAAGGCGTCTCTCTTCTGTTTCTTATTTTTGTGAGTTCCTCCGCTAGGATTGGAGCTGACTGGGGCCGCCGAAACGGAAGAAGAAGAAGAAGAAGAAGATGATGATGATGATGATGATGATGATGATGATGAAGAAGTGGCTTCTCCGACCCGTGAAATACCCATAATATCCCACGCATTGAGAGGTACCTCAACGGCGACTGGCAAGGTTGCCGCTTGGTTCCAAGACACACCCTCTGGAAGAGGCAGGGCGTGTTGCCAGGGGACAAGGCACCGCTCTTGAAAGGCGCCGTAGTCAGGATCGCAGGACCTCCAGAAGGAGGCGGCGTATGCCGCGACACGGGTGATCCCTGGTCGGAAATAAGGTCCTGGTCTCTCGTCGGTAGCACTGATAGGGACGTTGTCGCCGACCTCAAGGACTAGCCCTGATATGTCGAAGCCAATGACCGTGGGGTAGGTGGATATGAAGAGGCCTTGATCACGCATGTGGCCATCTGCCGGGTTCAGGGCTACGGACTTGACCTCTATTAGGAGTTCGTTTGGGCCTGGCTTTGGGGTAGGCCGTGTTTGGAGCTCGAAGGGCTCTCCTTTTGCGAGGGAGACGGCGGCAAGGTGGGTGGCCATTTTGGGGAGCTCAAGTAAAGAATTTTGATGTGTAGAAATTTATGTGGACCAGCTCTGGTATTCAAAGCTTCTTGGGATATCAGGGAATACTGTTCTTCTTATACATTATGCTATCATTCCAAGTTAATTCAGCCCGCCCAACGTGATCTTGTGTTTATAGATGGCGGGCGGATTCAGGGCAGAATTAGCCAATCAGAGACATCTGCATCCGAGAAAAAGCTAGCGCGGAAGGTAGAATATCCCAAAGAGGGTTAGCGTATGGGGCTTATAGGAGCTGTCGTTGGACGATGACCGCCTCCCATCTCTTACATATCACTCTGGCGTTGAAATCCCACCGAACTCGGGAAAATCCCTCACAGCTACGCTGCACAGGGCATTGCATAACCATCTAACCAGGCATGGCTTCGACTTTTTCAGAGGTGCGGGGGTGTAGGACCCTGCGGAGATCGAGATTTGGCTGCCGAAATTGTAAGCTTCGAAAACTCAAGGTAGGTGGCTCTAGGCTTTCAATTAACACTGCGCTTGGCTGAATATCTTTGGCCTATTAGTGTGACGAAGGCAGGCCACATTGCATGAGATGTAGTTCATTCGGGGTATTATGCAACTTTATGTCTAACATCCCCGACCTCCAGCCTATCACCGCTGATACGAGGCGGGCATTGTTGGTTCGAGGAAAAGCAAAGCTTCACCCCCCTCCTACCAATGCTGTCTGGACATCTGAGGCATCGACCTCCTATCAATTGAACGCAAAGTGTCAAGATTTTATAACTCGATATCTTGGGAGAAGTCTCATTACTCCAGACGACCCTAATATGAGACAAGTCAATCGCAGGCTCCTGGAACTAGCCTTCGCCGTAAGTTTTATTACATCAATTCTGTCTCAGCAGACAAACTGGAACCCGGATTTATGCATCATGGGTCTGCGCTCGGCTAAAATATGATTTACAGTACCCTTTCTTAATGCACGCCTCTCTAGCTGTGGCGCTTACATATGACCGCCATCTGAATGGCTCCTTAAACTCTCATCGCACTCTAGAAGAGTGTTATCACTGGTCCCAAAGCACAGTTCTCTTGAACAAGCGGTTAAGGGAACCCATTGAAACGAAAGACAAGGATCCCATCTGGGGTACTGCAGCTGCTCTAGCTGTCTTAACCTTTTCATCCCCTGATGCACGCACACCGGAACAGGCCTGGCCTCTAAAATCCTCAGACTCCTCAGATTTAGACTGGGTGCGTATGAGCAAGGGTAAAATGTCATTGTGGCACACGGTTAATCCACTACGACCGGACAGCCTTTTCTGCGTTATGGCGGCTACCTACGCTCAGATGGATTCGCCATTGCCAGAAGGAGGTATAGAGGGTATACCAAAGGCCTTGGCTGCCGTGTGTAGCCTCGAAGAATCATCTACGGCGGAAAATAATCCGTATTTCCATGCTGCCCATGCAGTATCCCGAATCCTGGGTCTCCCGGATAGCCAGGTCACAATAGGTCTAACTGAAATATTTACGCGGAGCATCCATGGTCCTTTTAAAGAATTGCTCCGAAAAAAGGACCCTGCAGCGCTAGTGTTGATCTATCTATGGTACTGCAAAGCAAGTCGCAGTATATGGTGGATTGACCTTAGGGCTAGAGTGGAATGTCCTTCTATTTGCTTGTATCTACGACTATGTCATACAGAGAATGATGCTGTACGGTCATTCCTTCCAGGAGGAGCTCTCGCCAATATGTTTAATTAGCGTCGAGTTTTTCCCTTCAATTGTTAGTACAGATTACTGCTACAGTGGTTTCTCCGGTCTCAATTACTGAATAAACTTTACATGCCACTATCAGACTCCTTTTACGTCCGCTCTATACTATAGCTTCTAACATAACTAGGATATTATCAATGTGCTTGAACCCGGTTACTCAATCTTGGGATTTCTGGTAATGGAACACTCTGCCTCTTAGAGAATTGTTGCTCAATCATAAAGTGCAGCTAGCCCATATTTATCTTCCTCTCTGCCTTACTATTGATCCCCTGCAAGTCGCAGGGGATCACACAACATGGAGACGGAGTCACCTGACCCCATCGGTCAAGTATCAGGAATGAATTCCAAGGAATCGTCACATGGCTCCCACGTGAGCATGGCGGTACACATAGTCGGAGATTCCCCTGAATCCCCTCTTCTTTTGGCAAGAATTAGTCTTGGCACACAAAGACAATACAATTCCATTCCTCTCCAAGTCATTGTATCTTACCCGGTTGACAGGCCTTACACCTGAAAACTGTATACTCTTACATATACAGGGTTAAATCTAAGTAGTATACTCCTTCTGGTTGCCATTCTGCTACCTCCGACGAGGGAGGCATCCGGATAGCATTAGCATCTACTAAGCCTTTTGAGACCTGCATCGACACGAGTTCCATACTCGCGAGCCTGTCGGGATAGTGTAAGGTTTATCAGACCTGAGGTCCGACGATGGTCCGATACCCGATCGGGTGGTAATCTTGCTATATGCGACCGGTCGTTGTACTCGGTATTTGACACATAGTTCAGTAAAGAATTGAAGAGACTAAACAGGTGAAACTGACTTCGAGCGCGTCTGTACTTCAAAATGTTTAGCGAACGGTAAAAATATTCATTTCGGTGGGCACCAATTTCTAAGGGAGAGAGAATAAAGAAGCAAGGTAGTCTATACGATAGATTTGAAAAAATATATAAAAGGGAAGGCCCTCCATCCATCTCAAAGGTATCCGTTTGGGAGAGCATTATCAGCTAGTTTCAGCAATGTCTTCCTCTAAGCCAGAAAGCAAAAGGTGTCGCAAAACAACACGGTACGAGAAATCAGACATTTGCTTGCAGAGTTACGAAGGACGAATCATACTAATTATTAGAAAAAAATTACTTTGGACGATAACTAAATTATGATCAGCTTACAGTGCAATCAAGATAGCCTAGAGTGAACAACGGTGTCTGGTGAAAAGAGCCGTGGTATCATCATCGCTGTGACAATAATAGGGCGTCGAGCTAGGCAGCTACGCGGCTAAGCTTGAACATGATGTCGAGAAGGGAAGATGAAAACTGACCGTGCTCCATATAAGCACGCAGTTACTGTGTGCCCTTGCAGCTGGTGCAGTAATTGAGAGTGACATGACAGGAATTTGACATATATGCGGTTCCGCATTTGTTGACCTTGTCATTTACCTTCAGGTACTCAACACTAGTAAAATTGTTAGAGTGAGTTCAGAGACATTCATAGGGGTATTGACTTACGCAGCCTTAATCTGCCGTCCAGTCATTCCAAACCCATAGTCATCGTTATCGCATGTATACATAGCCGCACAACCGGCTTGGCCTAGCGCTGCAACTATGACCATGCCACTTTTGATATCCGCTGTGTAGGATGTGTAGGACGTATAGACCGTGTCGTCTACATACTGCATATACGCTCTGTCGCAGGCATCGTCGACACTGCGGCATTGGATCGAGCCCTTGTTGTTACCGCTGGTCTGGCTTGGCGACGCAGTTTGCAGTGTCGTGGGGTTGCCCGCACCCTGCGTGGCAAGATCTGCAACGATCTGCGACGGATAAGAGAGTATTTCACCATTTGGGTTGGTGGTAATGAAAGACACGGGCGTTACTGCAGGCGCAGTTAGGGTGGTTATCGTTTCGGGAGCCGAGTGACTGCTTGTCCCAGAAGTGCTACCCGGCGTAGAGGAGGTTGTGTCTGGGGCAGGCGTAGAGGAGGTTCTGTTTAGAGCAGGTGTAGAGGAGGTTTTATCTGGGGCAGGCGCAGAGGAGGTTGTATCTGGGGCAGGCGTAGAGGAGGTTTTGTCTGGGGCAGGCGTAGAGGAGGTTCTGTTTGGGGCAGGCGTAGAGGAGGTTGTGTCTGGGGCAGGTGTAGAGGTTGTGTCTGGGAAATCAGGTATAGGATCCATGAGCGTAGCGAATGGGCTAGCCTTCACCGCAATAGTACAAGCAGCCGGCGTCGTGGTTGCTAAAGTAGACGAAATGGATGGTGTGACATTACAACCTGTTGCCACAGATGTACTCGTAGTGCAGCTATTGCTGTACAACCGTGTTCCAGAGCGTGTACTTGTAGCCACAGGTGTGCAAGATACCCAGTTATTCGTCACTGTTTTGGTGGTGCACTCTGTGGTAGCAGATGTGGTGGTAGATGAAGGCTGAGAGGCTGAAGATTCCGGCTCAGGGGTAGGAAGCTTATCGTTACCAATAGTAATGGTTGGCCAGTCCATCATTGGGGGATCCGGGGGTGGAGGGTATATCCCCGGGATAGGGCCTATTCGCGCCCGAGTTAGTTATAGTGCTGGTGGAATTTGCTTTCAAAGGAACTTACCAATGCCCCAAGCAAAGATTCCACCTCCCCCACAGAACCAGCAATGCCAAAAGAAGGCAACTGCAGTATGGTGGCCATCTTTATCCGTTGTCTCGATGAGTGTGTTTTTTTGTTACACCGGTCACTGTGCTCACAGAGGATGTAGAGAGGGATGTAATAATAATAATAGGAAGGGTGGTGGATTCTGATGACCCACTGCTTCCGGGAGGATTTATTGAGCTAGAGCCTCCAGAGGTAGAAGAGGAAGATGATCCAGATGTAGAGGATCCGGATGTAGATGATATCGATGTCGTTGAACCCGATTTAGATATTCCGGGGATAGATGTGTCAGAGCTAAAGCCTACTAACGATGATATTCCCGTAGAGGACCCAGTGGGCGCTTTAGACCCGGGGGTGCCAGAAGGCGTAGTGGTAAGTCTTCCAGTGCCAATTACGGGAGTCGATGTCACCGGCTCAAAGGAAGTCACCGGCTTAGAGGAAGAGCGGGGAACATTTGTTAACCTGCTAGTAGACGAGCCGCGACTTGGGGAGCTTGCACTAAAATAACTAGAAGTCCCAACAGATTTTGTTGGTTTTACCGTAGAGGAAAATGGGATTGGAACCGAAGTCGGGGTATTGGTTGAGAGATAGATTCCCGAACAGGAGGAACCAGTGCCACTGCAAGGAGTTGAGATTGAACCCCTTGATGAGGAGCTACCTTTAGGAATCGCAGTGGCCCTAAGTAGAAGCAGTCCAAAGACGAAAGCCCTAAGTTGCATCATTGCAAACCTCAAGACGCAGCAGATACTTAGTAGACTGAAACAGAGAAGGGACCGTCTTGTTTACTATAAATATTCTTACTCCCCAGTATATGTCCTTTATGCTGGTTCTCTGATTCGACTAAAACTGAGGAAGTAACGATAACATTATTATAAGGCGATGAAGGAGAGCCCGGATAGTCACTGGGCTTCTAGAGACGATAATGATATTTGCTACTTGCTTCAGAGTTAACGGAAGCATGATGACTATGATGTTAATCACCGTCACTCAGACTCCACCAACATTGATATAAATGTGCCTAGCAATCTTTCAGTCAAGAATCCAACCAACGCATAATTACAGAACTACATAATGCCCAACCACTCATATACAGTGAAAGTTTCAACTGCACTCTACAGATGTGATCACTCTCTGAATAATGCTTTGGATATTTTGCCTTCTTATAGGGTGGGATGATATCTATTCTACCAGCAAAATGATACGCTGCATATAATCCAATTGTATTCATCATTTGCTTCTCCAAGTTCGCGTAAATAACAATAGAAGAAAACCGTCCCGTATGAACTAGAGTTATATTTCAGAGGTGCCATGAGTCGAAAAATGCGCATTCATCGCGTAATGACCTAGCATGAAGTCGTCAGAAAGCCATCCACCCGATTTGAAAGCCTGATACCACCTTGACTGTCACATCTATAGCAAGCAGTCGGGTCATAACTTGGATTAAAAAAAATGCAAGGTTAGAGTGATAAAAGCGGATGGGAAAAGAAGGCTACTTATCGTTTTTTTTTTTGCTATAATATAAAATGTACCTTTTGCTATACAGGCGGAATATACGGGTGAAGAATATTCGGGTGGGCGAATATCCGCCCCAAGTGCCCTCTTCAATAGAGCGGCGAGTCGCCCATGCCCGAACCGTGGGCACTAGGTAAACACGACCTTACATATGCTGTTGTATGTTTTCATTTTTCTTTTGTCCTCTACAGCCAAATGACGAGCGGATTGGTAGTCGGGCTGCAAATGTTGAATAAATCCTAATTCAGATTGTGGGGGATCTTCCAGCAGGAGTGTACCAATTGCCTACTGTTGAGATTACTATGGAGATACAAATATCAGCAGTGGGAAAATCAAGAAGAAGAAGAAGAAGAAGAAAAAAAAAAACTGATAATCTATCTATGAAGAGAAGACTCTTTATAAAGCCTGATTATCTATGGAAGAAATGACAAACCAGCAAAGGCTCAGTCTGTATGACACAAAGAGACATCCCATCTATGGGGATTCTCCAACATATGCGTTAGATGGCGACGATAGTGTCACACTGCATCAACAGCGCTAATCTTGAATCCGTAGGACCTGGAGATTCTTGGCATGAAACAATGCCACATCAAGGTTAGCATTGAAACGATCCCGGAGGGATGCCAATTACTGCGATTGACTGGGATTATCAACATGAAAGAAGCCTGACCTGCTCTAAGTTTCCTAGGGCAGGAGTATTTGCATTAATCACTGATCTATAAGACTGAGTGTTAGGGGGCAGAAATGGTATCCTTGCTCCGTTTAGAAATATCCACTGTCACTGCTCTATATCTCTCTCTAAGTTTGCCACAGATCGATACGATGTATAATCGTTAACCCTTTTTAATGGGGCCACGGTTGGCTCTGAGACACTGACCATGGTCAGTAAATTAGATATGAGTGATCTGTCCGTCGGTGGTGAAGTTCGAAGCCCCATGCAGGACGCCAGGATGGCCCTTGAGAGTCTGAAGCTTTGAGCTCTAGGTTTCCTTAATCTGTTACAGCTGTCATATCAGATTTTACAAGGTTTCTTTCAATATATCTTCGAAGTTCGGAGGCAAATAAAATTGCTGCGTAGAAGAATAGCTTAGACACTCTTCCTCATCTGCTTGATCTGTTACAGCCTGTTGCCCTCGGAAGATCGCAATCTGTGCGGCCGTCCACTTTTTAATTTCCTAATATAAGGGAGACATCTGCGCCAGCGTCGAGAAACATTCGGAGAATCTCACAATGGCCGCATTCTACCGCTGCCGAAAGCGCCGTATGCCCATTATAGTATGAACCTTTAGCATTCATATCAGCTCCTACATTTAACAGTTGACGGAATATCCGGCGGTGACCTCCAAAAGCTGCGCCTTAAAGGGCTATAACAACTTTATACCTTGCAGCGGAGGTATTCACGTAGGTATATAAGAGAATTTCAACGATATCAATATGCCCTTCTAATACAGCAGCTTAAAGTACTATGCGACCTCCATTCTTAGAGGGAGGCGTATCAATATCTGTGCCTTACTCAAGCAGTCATCGTAGTAGCTTGACACGGCCTCTCTCGACGGTGGCTTATAGGGCAGTTCGACCCGTATTGATATCTGCACCCACAGAGACTAAGCGGGCGACGATATTCATATACCCCGCTCCAGAGGCCAGCACTGCCGCTGATCTGCCACCGTTGTTTCCCCAAGGCGCGTTAACGTCTGCTCCTGCCACTGATGGTATTTCAACCACGGCGAGCTACCCGTTACAAGAGAAGGCTAAAAGGGCTGTCTGCCCATAGTAACCTTTAGGAGGCTCATTGGGGTCCATTGGTTGTGCATCTTGGGGCATGTGTTGTGGTACTTTCGTGCCGCCCAGTGACGTATATATTGTAAGAAAATACACATTGACTCTGGGGAGGATTCTTATCTGGTTAAAGCGGCATCGATACCTTGTGCGAATTAAATGAAACCCCAATCAGAAGCCAGATAACCTTTATGCATTTGGAGAAATACCATTTTTATTACCGGCGGCTTACGTGCATTAGCGTGTGGACTTACTCTGGCACGGGAGAGTAGTTGAAAATAATGTATGAGCGAAGCGGCTAATGGCTTACAAGGAAAATAGTGAAATGATGCATGAACGCAGATTGCATTTACATTACCCAGAGGTATTGATGAGCAACCCCTCTTTCAAGTTAGATACATGTATAGGTTTCTAATATACGGCTACCTGCCGGCCCTGTGATAAAATGGCAAAGTCCATGCCAGTTCCAGTCCGATCTCAATGCTCCGAAAATAATCTATTCTCCAGCAGCCTCTAGCGCCGCGCATCCTAGACTTACTCACTATGACGGCGGTGTCGAGATCCTCAGAAGACTGGGATAGCAATGATGACAAGCACAGTGATTCCATTTCTTCATCCACTGGCTTGTTGAATGAACTTACCTCTAAATCCCGAGTGGCCTCCTTGCGGAAATACATCGACCTTCGCTTGATATTTGAAGGATTTCTGGTGTTTTCTCTATTTATCACTTTGGTGTCTATTACACACAGTCCAGAGGAATCGAATTCGGCTAAGGAAAGAAAGTACGGACCGACCCGTAAGTATCCCTTGGATTAGACATCAAGTATCTGCTCAGCTGTTGATCTCTAATATCTTTACGACAGTACCGCGGAGAGATGTCATTTTTGGTAATACGGCGGGGCTTGGACCGGAACTCGATTACGATGATCCTGAGATGTTGCGGAATGCTACACGTATGCGAGAGATTCATAGAAACTGGCACAGCCTATTCCCGCGTGAGTTTTTCCAGGTTGGGCACTGGTATCTCGACTCCGCGACTGATATTATTTCTTTTCCTTCTCATAGCGGGTCGTGGATATATCACGGTTTCGGAAAATGAGGAGTTTAATGTCCTTCATCCCCCATTCAAGATGGATCATGTGTTCGACGAAGGCGATCACTACGAAGGATACATTATGGCGGTCTATCACCAGCTACACTGTTTGGTAAGTCTGCGCTGAGCGATAAATTATATACCCCACTGACCTACGATCGAAGTCTATTATTATGACTGCTATGGGAACCTCGCGGGAAGAATGGGCGATGCTTGAGACGGAAAAGCTTGAGCACCGTGCTCACTGCGTGGAATATCTTCGACAGAGCATTTTATGTTCGGCAGATACAACTTTGGAAGGTGAGACTGGGGCGTGGGCAAAAAGTACAGGCTGGGGTCAGACACATTCTTGTGTGGACTTGGATGCTTTGACGGCGTATGCCAATGAGCACGCGATTTGGAATCTTACAGAGAGATTGCTACCGGACAGCTTTGATCCTCTCAAAGTTACTAATTCTGCTGACAACCATCAGCAATAAATTTGTTGGCTTGTCACACTTAGGAGATTTGGCTTCCCGCAACAATGCAAAATCAATAGAAATGTATGCTAAGCAAATATTCAATTTTTCAAAGAATGATTAAGACGAGATAAAACCGCGAGCCAAAATCCTAGTTTATATGATGTGGTAGTTAGTCTATGTTGTTTCCTACTTAGCTACACATGGTGTTGGCAAATAGTGGGTGATAGACTTTACGCCGCATCATATTCATTGCGATTTAGTTCAAATCATAGTTATTCGTCCTCGGGATGAATACAAGAAAGGAGAAAAGAAAATCCCACACCAGGTGCATGACCACATGCGTAGCTTATTCCCCGAATGTGACATTCTATGTGTTCATTTGGTGGTCAGAAAGTTTGAAGACATAGTATAGTGACTTAATCTGGTACTCACCGTATCCCTTGCGCTCGTAATCAGTCACAGCCTCCTCGGCGACAGGACCAGCAGCCATCGCTCACTTTCCGTAGTCGGTCACAGCCTCCTCGGCGACAGGACCAGCAGCCATCGCCCGCTTTCCATAGTCAGTCACAGCCTCCTCGGCGACGGGGCCGGCAGCCATCGCTCTCTTTCCGTAGTCAGTCACAGCCTCCTCGGCGACAGGACCAGCAGCCATCGCTCGCTTTCCATAGTCAGTCACAGCCTCCTCGGCAACAGGACCAGCAGCCATCGCTCGCTTTCCATAGTCAGTCACAGCCTCCTCGGCGACAGGACCAGCAGCCATCGCTCGCTTTCCATAGTCAGTCACAGCCTCCTCGGCGACGGGGCCGGCAGCCATGGCGCGAGGTATCGACAATCCCATTGTCTGGGACGCACCGATTGAAAGCAACATCAGTGTAGTGAGGAACTTCATATTGGGAGTATGGGCGAGTTTAGGATATTTCTGCGATGGGCAATATCGTATGGCAATAATAGCAACAATGCGTGACTAGGTAGGAAACAAAGACTTTATATCACCAACGATTTACATGGTATTCCTGTTTTCATACACCGATACGCAAAGTTCGACTAAGGATACAAGACGGCAGAGTTTCATGAATTTTTACATTTTGGACCCTAATGCAAGTGTTTACTGTATTGCTAGAGAAGCCAATGACTCGTAGGAATCATAACAAGGAGCGGCCTGATTAGAACTTTTGGTTTTTCAAGTCTCACCTGCATATTCCCAGAGCCGATGTAACCCTAACTAAGATACCGAATATGTAGTCACTGATAAAATAGGTATAGTAAGTAATATCAAAGAACATTGGTCCATGTATAGTATGTTTGGGGGGCGAGTGTTTTGTAGAAATTCAACCCATGACAGTAATCCTTGAATAAGCTCAAACGAAGGGTCTAAATCTACTTTTTATTGTCCCCGCTTCTATTGATGTGGTAATGTAATTGAGCATTATCTGTACGAATTTTGCGCGTCGCTCTTTGACTGGTCCATTCAATAGCCCATTTTGGTTATCTATCAATTTGCGCTATCAACAATCTATTCACCCCTGCTCTCCCCAATAAGACATTCTCTGGCAAAAGATCTCCCGGCTACCAACTTCACAGGGGGTGTGACCTGCAATATGGAATACCAGAGGTCGCGATGGTGGTAGAATTTATCCCCCTTGGCCATTGCATAATTAATCTGGTGCAGTGTAATGTATGCTCGTAGCTGTACACATCATCATCCAAGTGTCGGTGTTCAATGATAGCGGAATGCAATCGTCGCCACAAGTAGAGGCAATGCATTATGTGATAATCATTGTCCGGATAGACAGCTTCAAACTCGCCGGCGAGGACGGCATCCCGAGAGACTTCCTTGGTATGCTCCCGGTCAGCGTACCACTTGAAATTGACCTCCTCGAGCATTTCGCCCAAGACGCCCTCGTTGAAACAATTTGGGGAGTACCATCGCGAGGCCATGACGTCGAAGTGGCAGCCCAGACGTTTGGCCTCAGTCCAGTGCGTACCGCATTTAGCTTCTCCTGTCTCGGCGTCGAAGACAAAGTGGCCATCCACACCCACCTCTGGTGGTCTTAAGGTCGCGTTGGCGATTGCGTTGGCTACCAGCTGGACGGTAGGATTGAAGACGCTAGCAATTCCAGCCCCAACGACCATTCCAATTAAGAGACATACCCAATAGGTAAGCCTGTGGGAACGGATTTTTGAACGAAATTTCGTGGTTTCAGTCTCTGATCCATTCTCGGAGTCCAAGGCAGAGTATTCTGTTGAAGCCATGGGACCGTGGAAATTAAAAACTGGGTTGTAAACAGTATTGCAGAGATAATCTCAAAAACTGGGTAGAATGTCAAAAGTGGGCGCACATGAATTTTCAGCTAGTTGTGGGTTTGGAATTAGCTTTGAATGTCTTGTACATTGATATTAGATACTAGAGATACCCCGCTGTTCTCTAGATATGTAATTTCAAGGGATGAAAATTACAATTACCAAGTAACTTAGGGGCTGTGGCGCTAGATCAAATGTATATATCTTCCTAAATACCGTCCTTGGACTGGCCTTCCCCATCTTTCCGAATAATCACGGTGTATCTGGAAGAAACAATCAGGTCCCGGGACAGATTCTCTAAGGCACATTTGGAATAAATCCAGTCTTTGCTTTCTATATCCTCCATGCACTTCTTTGAAGGAGGCGATGGGCAGATGCTCGGCCTTGACCAGCGGTCAAAATCCACCCAGGCGAGGCGCACGCTACTAGCCACCTCTCTCACTGTTACCAAGTCTTGCCTTCTCTACTCGCTAGCCATCTGGGGCGCCTTCACAATCATTGCGAATCCGTTGCAGGCAATTGAAATTCCTTTTAAAGGCCGAATCTCCTCCAACATTGAGCCAAGCGGATGTGACTGTGGAGAGTCCGTCGCAGAGGCAATATCCCGCGGTTGCCGATTTGACGGCCTCGCAATGGCCTGGCTTCCGGAGCATTGTCGCGACGATGAATTAGCAGAAGAATTCAACACAATGGGAGACGGTCCTAATGGAACTTGGATATACTACGCCGATCGGGAACGTACTATTCAGATTGACCCTAACGAGGTGGCGGCCTTTGGAGATCGGCCTGAGGTTTTGGTCCATATGAGCGTCCAGTGGCACACCATCCATTGCATCTTTTATTGGCGAAAGCAGTTCCGGACACGATCCAATGGCAAGATCGTGGAGCCCAGGTCTGATTCTGAACATCACATCAAGCACTGTGGAGAGATTTTCTTGTCACCAGGATCGGGGACGAAATCGGGGGTGGCTCTGAATACGAACATAGAATAGTTGCGGCGTAGGCCGTACATGTTGTATAATACATGTTCCATACAAAGATGGGTGTATTGAGAAAGCTGATGCACATCTTTGACCGGAGTTCCGGTTGTCGATCATATTGTAAGATAAGCACTAGATCTAAGCACTACTGTAAAATACGCTAAAATGGGGAATACCCGTCTGGCTCGGACCTTCTTGTTTTGTATTCTTCGTGAGCGTCTAGTTATGCGGCATTCTCATTTTTTCCCAACTGCTAGCTGCCCAAGTAGATAAGACTTTGCTGACGTTACATTGCATTTGAGACATGGAGATTAGTTCTACCCGCCTTAAGTTTCATTTATCGTTTATGCTTGGTAGTCATATTTCTTGAGAATTTGAGCGCAAGCCCCTACATGTACAATTTCAGTCGAAAGCAATGTGGTCGTATCACCGGGCAAAAGGCGACAATGAAGAGGGTGACCTTGGATTGCATCTTATATCCGGCCCCTGTGATATGATGAAGGGGGCGAGTGCATTTTCTTCGGGTACAATCGAAAGTCTTCTGAGCCAGTGGGTGAGAAGCATAGTCGACGGGGGTTCTCTCCATAACTCCAGTCTCTTGCTTTCTATCCATGAAGGCGAACAGTTCAAGTTGTGGCTCACACAAATTTCCGATGACTCAAATATGACGTTTGAGAACATGGTTGACCGTATAACGGACTTCATCTCACAATCTGACTTCCAATCGGTCTGCTTCACATTCCAACTAGACTTGGATAAGGAAAACATTTCTACCCCGCCTGATGTCTATCTACTTTCCATCTTGAATATTTCAGCCTGTGACCGGTCTTATGCTCCAGCAATTAGCTGGTTAGCTACACCACAGGTACTTCGTACACATGTGATGAAAAAGCTGCGTCAAGTTTCTCCATGGTTTTTTCCTCTTTCGCTTCTGGTCATGGTGCTATTAATGAGCATTGGAATTTTGACCAGCGTTTGGATCACACCTGGTGGCTTGCACTCCGACAATAGTGAGGCTGACTTTTGGCTCACATGGAACACCAGCCAAAGCATCGGCCTCAAACATCAACTCCAATTCACCAAGCCATGGGCTCGTTTTGTGGAATATTTTGACGAGGAAACAATCCGTCAACCATGGTTTATCCGGCTTGATGACCAATCGATGGTAGCGCCTGACCTGATTGATGATACGGAGCTGAAGTATCAGCGATGGTTTCGCGAACGGTATCCGGAAATAGAGAAGATCAAGCTTAACGGAGACTATCTCAACGAGTCCTTTTGGTCAAATCCATATTCGGTTAAGGTTCTAACCGATCCTCTCTTTCATCCTGCACATTGTCTCCTCGCTCTGAGGAGGTACTGGATTGCAAGAGAGACTGGTCGACATGTCTGCCCTCGAGACATTGATTATAAACATATCCAGCATTGTTTGGATTCATTAGATGATATTTTCTTCGTTGATCCCAAGAAAGGGCCGGTTGTGACGCTTGAAGATTCGGATAACGGAATGCCATGGCTTGTAAATGCCTGTTTCTAGTTATTCATCATATAAATGAGGATAGTTGTTACGTGCCAGATCAATCAAGAAGAAAGAGTGCATTCAACTAGAAAAGCAAAGATGGGGAGGAAGAATAGAGATAGAGAGAGAGCAAGTGGTGAATCCCAGGGGATCTTATAGCAGAGCTATCTTAGCAAGGAAACAAACTCTTTCCTAATTGGGAAGGGTACTATTACCCGAATAGGCATAGTAACAAAGGGAGAACAAAGAAACAAAGAACAAAGAAACAAAGAACAAAGAAACAAAGAACAAAGAAACAAAGAACAAAGAAACAAAGAACAAAGAAAGCAAACGAAAGCATATAATCACGTAGATCGTGACAATAGTCACCATTGGTAGACTAATTTTACCATAAGATAGTTATGTCCCGAGCATTACGATAATTAAACTTTAGCACGATCGGCAGGGGTCCTACGGTACTTATAGTGGTCTCGGCACTATAATTGAGTTATTAAGATAGTCCAACCATTTAGGGAATCTTTATTCATGTACTTAGTTAAAAAGAAAAGAGTAATCTTAATCTATAGTCATCTCTCCTACGATAACTATGCTATCTACTATTAACACTATACTATTTGAAAGGACACTAGTATAGACCTCATTGAGTGTAGTCCAAGTGGCTAGTGGGAATTTTTATAAAGTTTCTTTTTCTTTGTATACTAGTGGCGAATTTCCTAAAACAAATCCCAATCGCCTCGACTATAGGCCGTTCTTCGATCCCACTGTCTATCCCTCTTAAAACCCACTGGAGAAAAGCCATATATGTTCTAATATCCTATTGGATAATGGCCTATAGATATAAACTCATAAAACTAAGGATATAGGTATCGTTTAACGATTTGCTTCTCTACTCCTAGAGCTAAGACGCACTCGTGGAAAATAAGCAGCTTCTAACTATAACTAGATTCTATTCGTGGTAGCACTACTCGCTGGATTGCATTATTACTATACTCCCCGAAATCTATAACATTAGCCATATATTTCAAGATTAGGTCTGCTTAGTACATATCTTGCTCGTGATAAATCAACGCTGGAATGATAAAAGCGGAAGGGAAAGGAACGGTACTTGTAGCTTTTTTAGTTATAATAGGAAATATACCCTTTGCTATACGGACTGAATATCCGTCCTGGGTGCCCTGAATATAGCGGCGAGCCGCCCATGCCCGAGCCGTGAGCGCTATGTGACCACCTTAGACATGCGGTAGTATGTTTTTGTGTTATTTTATTTTTTTGATTCATTAGGAAATCCCCTCTTGCCATATGGTCACATCACTATACCTGTATTTCAAATCACAGTTTAAATTTCCTTCAAACTTGAGTTATCCTTTTGTCCAACTAAGTAGAATACGTGATATTGGGGAACATTTACACATTAGCAGCTATCACTCTATTTACGTGCTGCTCACGTACCTTCCTCGTGCCCTATAAACCATATAATTTTTTTGGGTTCAAAGTGTTAACTTTAAAAGGACTTAGTTAGAGATTAAGTATACGTCAAGTTCGTTGCACGGCCACACATACCCTTATAGAACTTCTGAAATGGCCGTGGATTTTTCCCCTTTCTTTGGTGGCTCATTACATGGGCCTCTTTGGAACAGTCAACTGCTTCTAAACCGAATGGGTCTCGGGGTGGAAGCAGAAATTGAGATAAATTTGGCATACAGTGACAGAGAAGAGACTTCATCTAAATAAAAGATTCTTTAATTTCGTCAACTACATTGAATACAAAAATGAAAGATGACAAGAATGTCGTTGCGCCAATAGAACCATATTGTTGATCAGGAGCAGGCCTGACAACATGATAGGGACTATCGTATAACTGAATAGTATAAACTCCTAAACTCGCTGCAGCTAGGTAGTTATGAAGACCCGATTAGAGAGAACTAGTCACTCTCAACTAAGTACTCGCAACCAGCACCACAGGCTCGCCATTGGAGAGAGTGATGCAGATTTGTCCACCATCATTGGCGATGATTGTCCCTTGCAATACATTTATTATTATAGTGAGGCAATTATATACATGTAGTTATATAGAACAGTGTAATTTTGATCAAAACGGTCTACTATTCTTGAACATATTACGTTTGTGTGATTGCCCATTATAGAATAACCATACATTGTTGTACACATTTCTATCACTCTCCAAAGCAAACACACGGATAACAACAATAATAATACAACTTTCTCTGGCGAAATTACACAGACCCCGGGTGCAATGAGGCTGCTGTGATGACCAGTTTCCCGTGGCTGTTGGTAAAAACGAATGTCCCCTTTCTTGGCGCTTCTGCTTCTAAAGATATCACCGAACGTGGGGGTGATGAACTGCAGTGTTTCTTCAGGCTACACCCGCATATACGCCAACTCCGGTACTCAACGGTCAACCTACTTCGTCCGCTAAGCCTATTGTGGCAGAGTTCTGTGAGGGCAAGTCTTCGCCCTGCTGTAATGTGTCCTGTCTCGGCCGACTGGTTTTACGTGAGTGTGATACGGAATTCAACACCCCTTGTATGGGAGCAGCTAGAAACTGTATATCAAGTGGGAAATTTTTATTGTATCTTTTGCTGTACGGGCTGAATATTCAGGTGGGTGGATATCAGCCCTGAATAGAGTGGCGAGCCGCCCATGCCGGAACTGTGAGCGCTAGGTGACCACAGTCATACACATGCTGTTGTATGTTTTTTATTTTTTGAAACTGCCCTTGCCGCCCTACCGTTCAGTCCCTCCAGCCGTTCACCTGAATGCCCTAATCACCACGCCTGCACGCCCCTGAACCGCTGACCCCTCCTATACTGATTTTTTCCTACAGGCGTTATGTTTTTTTGATCATAATTGGCTACTTTGAAACGCGTACGGCACGGCACATATGTGCGAATGCTCCAAAGAGAATGACAATTTGCTGGGGCCATTAACACTAGTTAGCTTCCGATGACGTCATTGTTGGAATGCTAAGGCCGACCACCTGGAAATCGGAGGAATTCTGGATTATGGCCAACATAGCATAGACATGTTGATGTTGACACGAAGGTTGCAATCCTTTTCCACGTTCTCGTTCGTCTGTTCCATGCTTTCTCCTCTCTACCCGTATAGCACTTTCGCCGTTTCCATCTTTTTCGATATCATCCACTTTTACCCGCAAGCATAATAATGTTACTGCAAGAGGGTTCTTCCGTCTAGAAAGTTCTACCATGTCAATGATGCTTACACCTGGATATACATTGCCACGCATATATGCTGTCGATTACCACTTTGTTACATAATTCGGGAAAAGCTGGCAGGTGTAAATGAGGTTTCCATATGACGGCATGATGATGATACTAGTCATACAGATATATAATCGCTTCTTCCATACCACTAGCCTCCAAGGTCCTTTTCAATCACGCAATCAATACTACGAACACCACTACCACTAAACTACCCAACTTAATCCACATATTTTATCATGGGTTGCGGCTGCGGGTCTACTTGCAACTGCACTGGCGGTGCCCAGTCCTGCTCTTGTGGCGACAAGTGTGACTGCAAGGGCTGCGGAGTATGTGACATCCCAGGTTATTTCAGGTGCAAAGGCTAACCCACCAATCTTAGAAGTAAACCATTTCTTCACGACTCCTACTCTTAATACGACGACACTCTTTCGTCAAGGTGGACGACGAATATGGTGATGATGCGATGAGATTAATGAGGTTTTTTGAGCAACCAATGGTTCTAGAGATAACATTGGATCCCTCGAATCAACATCTTATTCCAAATCTTGTCCCCGACATGTAGACCTTATCATTTCTCTTTCAACACTGCCTCGGAAGCTTTAAGCGCTCCCGTGATGGTAAAACATATAAATGGCGATAACGCATACATGATCTAAATATAGTCAGCGAAATGTCGTTTCTCCGTAAACTTATTACTACACACCGTCAACGTCTTCGCAATAACCATCTTTTCTAGCTCAGACGCCTGCGCCAATTCTGCCAACCCCGAAATCACCAGCGCCGGTGGACCGGCAGGCATCAGCATCATACTAAACCAAAGCATTGGATCATCCCCAAGGAGACTAGTCCTCTTAGCTAGTCCGTAAATCAGTGAAATACTCAGTGCCGGCCAGACCACCAAACGAACGACAAAGATCGTCGTGATAGCTTTGGCAGGAATCCGGGCCGAATTTCCTTCTGCAACCATCCGCTCAAATGTAATACCAAGCTTACATCCAACCATGAAGACTTGCAGCGTTGTAAATAGCCCACCGATGTTGTCGACACTTGCAGTCAGCCACGCATTGAATATCCCACCATCTTCCTCGTCAAAGAAAAAAGCTCGGTGTAACGAGGGCACTAGGCCCAGCACCGTACCGAGAATCGTGCAGAGTATTGCTACGTCCGCGAATGGAGACTCGAATGGTGCCAGGAGTTCGTGCTTGACTCGGTGAGGGAATAAGGAGCCGAGCCAGTGCATCGGTCGCCGGATCAGGTTCCCGGTCGATATTCGGACTTGTTGGGCGCGCTGTGGGAGTAGTGAGGTTTCTTCACTGAGTCGCTCGTCTTCCGCTAGTATGCTTGCGGTGTGATTTCGCTCTTCTGATTCAAGATTATCTCCGCGATCTTGTAACATCTTCGGTCCGACGATATACGCGATGGTCTTGCTGATTACGCCGCAAACAAGGAAGTAACTCTGAGCACGGTCGATTGCTGACGATGTGGACTCGCCATGAGGTAGGATCAGTTTCAGACTTCCTACACTCTCGAGGGAATGGAGAAGTAGCAAGGGTAGAGACGTGGTGTTGTTGAAAGCGCAAGTCGGTATAACCCATTGAGGTAGGCCAAGCAGACGGGATAAGAAATGCGCAATGCCAATCGATGCTGATGTGTAGAGGACTGACCAGACTAGGAACAGGAGATAGACATGATAAGTCAGTTATGCTAGGTTCATCAAGGGTTGTCATGATATACTTATGACTGGAATATAGTTCATCGCTGTCCCGAGATGAAGCTGTTCGCCTAGATGCACGATAAGTAGTGCCGGTAGGAGGATTTTCACGCCTAATCCCAACATGTCATTGATTGTAGTCTCGTGGATCAATTGGAGCCGACGAGCAGCAAACCCGTAGCACATTGTTAATAGTACGGAAACACAGGCTTGTAATGCACCCAGGAAGGGTACCACTAACCCTTCGTTGGGCATTTTGGATTCAAATATTGTTGAGACCACAAGGCTCAGAGAGTCAGGAGGGAGAGAGTTGTATTGAGAAAGGGGCAAACTCCGGAACTATCTAACTAACGTATTCGGTAAGCGAGTGACGCATGCAAGTCGAGTGACGCAGTTCGATACACATAGTAAATGGGATAAATTACATCTTGATATCTCAATAACAGTGGCGTATAGAGGCGTTTCCTTGTAGGTTAATGGTTTTTATGTAATACCCAACCTTAATACAGAGTTTAGAGGGTTTTTGTAGCTTGGTGATGAAAATATATGTATTTCTAACTTAGAGCGATATAATTTTTGACACTACAATATTGCAACTTCTTTTTTCCTTGAACTTGGTATATATCCTTCAAAAATCCTTATCGACATCTATCGAGTAAATATGGAATCAAACACATTGTTATTGAGATATAAGGTTTCAATATCGTCAAATATAGAGGTCATTAAACGACCGTCCTTATATCATTTTTACCGAGAAGTAAATATTCGGCCTTCGGGGGAGTCCACTACCGAGTACACGGGGAAGTCCCCGTGGGGTGCTTTAAGCTACAAGACAGGGATAGCAGCCCTAATTTTCTGCCCTACATCACGTTATACTTCAAGTCGATTTCCATAACAACTCAATGCTGTTTTCTAAATGCCTGAAATACTAGAATTCAAACAAATATATAGAAAAAACAATCCTCTAACATTTAGCCATTCAAACGATGTGGGGGGCCTCGGGTAATCGGTCGGAGGAAGACCGAGATGTCCCCTCTTCAGCGTAAACAACATAAAGAACATTGAAACACCTTTTGATCTTCAACTATTATACACATCTTCTCATTCTTCAATAATGTCTTCCGTCACACTTCGCTCGGCCCTGGAAACCACCCCAGTGGCGTACGGCTTCTGGTTGACGTATGTTTATCCCCCGCATTCGGAGGGGCAGCTCCCCGCTGCATTTCATTCCAACCTCGAAGCTCGATCCAGCATGGGGGGGAAAGAGAGAACAACTGAACTAACGGACCTCATACAGCCTCCCCAGCGCCCCTGTCGCAAAGACCATCCTCCGTCGCAGCCCCGAGTTCACGGAAGGCGGATTCAGCTGGGTCCTAGTTGACGCCGAGCATGGATTGATTAACGACACCCATTATTATGAGGTTCGTCCTTCAACCGGTCACTATAGCTGGGTTCAGTTATTAACAAATACACTTAGCTCACTAATGCCGTCGGCCACGAAGGCGCTAGCCCTATTATCCGTGTGCCATGGCCCGAAGAGTGGATGATCAAGCGTGCTCTTGATGCTGGCGCTCACGGAATTATGACCCCTATGTGTCACTCTGCAGTATGTGTAACCAACCATTGGCTTATTTGTTAATTCCCTCGGACCTATACTAGATGCTAACCTATGCTTTTCTGTCAATAGGAGGACGCTGCTAAGGTCGTCAGCTATTGCAAGTACCCCCCTGTCGGAGTCCGTGGATACGGACCCATGTTCACACCGCATTCATTCCCCGGCGTGAAGCCTTCTGAGTACGATGAGAAGACACACGACGAAGTGCTGGTTATTGTGCAGATTGAGTCGCGGCCCGGTGTTGAGAATGTAGAGGAGATTGCCAAGGTCGATGGACTTGATGTTTTGTTTATTGGTGAGATTGGACATTTCTGTTGACTGTGGAATTTGCTAACCTTTCTTTGCAGGACCCTTCGACCTCGCTAAGCAGATGCGTGTCACCCGCGGTGGTGAGGAGCATGAGGCTGCTATTCAGCGTGTTCTGGATGCTGCTAGATCTGCTGGAAAGAAGGCTGCTATCTTCTGTATGTGTTGTCTTTGCTGGTTTCACTTGCGATTGTGTCTAACGTGATTTCCAGGCTCCGATGGTGATGACGCTCTTCGTCGCGCACAGCAGGGCTTTGATATGGTTTCCATCACTACTGATGTCGCTGTCATCGGTGACGGCATGCTCAACCAATTAGAGAAGGCTAAGGGCAGTTCTAAGGTCCAAGCAAAGCGGGACGGTTATTGAAATGTCTCGGTGTTGTATTGATTATGTGTACAAAGAAGTGACGCAATGAATTCAACTATATTATCATTCAGAGCTCGCATCATGTTGGCTTGATCACTGCTTCGCCATCCTCACTCTGTAGGCACCCGGTGTCACCGACTTGACAGTTCCAGTTTCCTCGACATCAAAAACGAAGAGTGAGGTAGCTATACCGCCCCAAGTCAACTGGTCCAGCATAGTCCAGTCGTTGAAATCATAGAAAGAAGAGAACAGACTTGATGAGGAACCCACTCCAGGATGCTGGCCCTGAGTAACTGTGTATCCCCGCAAAGCGAGTTCCCCACTGGCCTTCTCGGAAACAATAGACGGCACAAGTCTTGAGCCGATACCACCAAAGAGTCTCGGCACTAACGCCGTGATATCCGTGCCATTGCTAATCCACGAAGTGATATTCAAACCAGGCGCGGGATCGGTAGGTGGCACAACAGTGAGTGTCAATGACGAATTCAAGTCTTCGGCTTTGTATGCTCCGGCGAAATTATGCCCCGCTTCTGCTGCGGCTTGCGCCATAAGCGCTGGAATGATGGCATTAGTGATAAGGTCAATGGCTAAGAGGACCTCGCTGCTGCGGCTGGGTTGCGTGCTGGCGCTGAGGAGAGTGAAGCCAGCGTTGAAGTCGGGTATCACGACCACGATGCCACCATAGTATCCGGAGTCTCCGAGTTTGGTGTACAGGTCGGTGACTACGCCTGATCCTGCGTGGACGAATCGATAAATCTCCCACGGTGAGCCGACCGAGTAGCGTAGACTCGAAGTGTGAGTGACGGGTTTCATCCATTCCCGTGTCTTTTCGGAGGGGAGGAGGGTGGAATTTAGGAGGGCGACACCGAGCTTGGAGAGGTCGTTGGTTGTCGAGAATAGCCCACCGGAGGGGTTTGTAGCGCCTCCATCTGGTGTGAATTGTGTGTCAAGCTCCTCCGAGAGAACGGAACGGGGGGCGCGTGGAGTTGGCAGGCGGAGACGAGTAAGTGGACTTCAACCCCAGGGGCTCGAAGATTGAATCATTATACCATTTATCCATGGTCTTCCCTGTGAGATTTGAGATTGCGAGACCGAGGAAGATATAACCACCGTTCGCATACTCGGGGCTTTGCCAGGGAAGGAAAACTGGCGGCCTTGGGGCGTGGGACACATCCCAAGAAACTGGGTTACAGCCCATGGTCTGTTCGCCCAAGCATGATGGCCATAGCGACAAGTTGCTCTCGTTCAGGAGTGGAAGACCGTAGAAATTTGGATCAGTCAAGGCAGGTTCATCAGAGCCTTCGATATACTTGTATAGAGCAAAGGTTTGTAGGAAGTCTTCGGTGGCACCGTGTGGTATGCCGCTCATCTGACCCGCAAGGGATTTGAGGGTGATCTTGTCCCATTGAACATCATAGACAAGCCGGGACTTGTTGTGTTGATTCTGAACATGCTCAGCCAAGAATGGGAAGATGTCGGTGATTGGACGGTCCCAGTCCCGGGGCTTCAGCTCTATAAGCCCAGCAAGAACAGTAAAGAGTTTCGATACACTGGCAATCTTGTAGATGCTGTTTCCATCCACCTTCCTCGCTCCAACCGGGGAGTTTGCAACTTCCTTGGCGGTGTGGTGGATTTGAAGATCCTTTGCTTTCGGGTCAAGTGTGGAAAACAACCCAGCAGAGAATGTGAGGTTCTTCAGTGCAGACACCGGACTCGTTTGGTCGGCATGGTTATCGGCGAGGACAGTGTTGAGTTGGGAAGTCAGGTTCTTCCAGCTGGCGGCGACCAGACTGCGGCTGCTGGACAAGTCCCTGGGAGGAGGATATGACGGCCCTAGAAGATTGGCAAAAGTTATTGGGAGGGAAACCAAGCCGGCGAACACATAATTAGGTAGCCGCATGGTGTCTTTGAAAAGATTGGTTCAAATATTCAATTGGAAGTAAATGTCGATTGACTTGACTGAAATTTCAACCAGTGCTGCACACTGGCCTGGCCTTATATCTCCTCCAAACTGCGGTATAATCAAGTGTGACGTTTATTCTCTGCGATACAAGGCTGTGTCATTCTTCGGCCGTGCTGTCCTACTTGGGGGCCATCAGGGAGGATTGTCGATCTACCGGTGCATCCGTGTCAACCGAGCAACCACAATAACAACAATTGGCTCGTCGGATTTCGCCTAGATACTATGTATAGTGCAGATCCCTCGTATGATATCTCGATTCGATCTGATGTACTCCGTACCGCTCTTCTGATTCTGGTTCAAGGCAGCTGTCGGGGGCAGTGACGCGACGCACAGCTCCAGTTCGCTGCGTTGAACCATTTCTAGAAATTCTGGTTGGTGATCCTCGAGGCGGTGTTATCAATGTTAAATTTGTCTTTCGATGGTCAACAATACGAACCAAAGCCACTTATGAAGACTAAACCCGATCGGGTGGCATGCGGCGCTCCTTTTCTTGGCATCAAGTATCCTATCCTTGTACATGATTGATTATACTTGAGACTCACACATCAAATTGGTAAGATGGCCGAGTTGGTCTAAGGCGCCAGGTTAAGGTATACCTTGACTCCACAACTAGCAATAGTTTCCTGGTCTCGCAAGAGGCGTGGGTTCGAATCCCACTCTTATCATACTGGTTCCAGACATCTTCTGATGTCTACTTTTTTTTATTTAATGAATGTATCTTAGAGAAATTATCTGACGCGCAACTCTTTGTATGATCATGAAATGGTATATTACGTGATAAGTGCACATTTTAAGACTTTATATTCTAATTAATAAGGCTGTAAGGCTAATTCTCTTATCCTTCACTCTTGAATCTGCCAGGTTTCCCTGCCGGGACGGATCAACCTGGGGATCCGGGATGTAAATGGAAGAACTCACGTGAGTGGCGTTCTAGTTTGACGATGGCAATTGTAATAGACAAGTACGAAAGGGTTCTAATGATGATTACTGAACTGGGAGATCATTTTAAAGGGATCATAAGCTAAAAATATAAAAGTGGAAGTCAACGACGGGGGTCCACAATCACTGGACCTCCACAGCGTTGTTCCAGGTTGAAAATATATATCTTAACTTCAACTATATATATAGGGGATTGATATATCCACCCCCCCCTTGGATAATCTCACCCCCCCATGCCTGATTTTGGCCTGATTTTTGCGTCTGCCCTAACCATGAGGCATCAACTGACCGCTTTTCTCGCCGCCTTCTGGTCAACTTCTGAGAATTCAGAGTCCCTCCGTGGTACCTACCCTTACTATGTAAACTACTAGCAAAACTAAGTCACTCCGTAGTTAACAGGAAACGAAAATTTCAATAATGGCTAACGCCCAGTTGATTTATCAATTCTGGCTTCCAGCTTGGAGTTTATCATTCTCAACCCATTTTTCATCGCATTTGTGTCCTCAAAAAGCCTCAATATCATCAACATGTTAGGCCTCACATACCTCTTACTATTAAGGAAAATGTAGACAGTTATGTAAAGCCTTCTATGACATTCAGCCCTTATTTTCTGAGTAAAATAAGGTCTTTTTTACTATGTAAACCAGAATTCAAAACTGCAGTTTGGGCTGGCAGAATTAGGCCGGCAGAATATAGAGATGCCTTATAGTTAGGGCAGATGAATTATATAAGCGGAGAATCAGGCCAAATTTCAGGCAGAGGGGGGTGAGATTATCCAGGGGGGGTGGATATATCAATCCCCTATATATATTCGTTTCATCAATAATTTATATCATGTAGATAGTCGGTCAAATAATCAATTAAACTAATATATAGTACATTGCTCTCTTACTTTACGCAAGTAAAGGGCCCGGAGAGCATATATCTGGCTACTAATTACGGTGGTAGGAGCCAAGGTGCTGTAGTAACGAGTCAGCGCCTGTTCGGTTTCAACTCGAATATCTTAGAGATGGGAACAATTGAAGTACTCAAGCGAAGATATATACATAGCACATCCCAAATCAAGCTCCAACCACGAAGAGCTGCGAAGAAACCGTTCTCACCGCAAAGATAAATCCCATACTTAACGTAACTACTACAGTAAAAGCCCCCAGAAGACCTAAATGCGCCAGACTTTCGATCCCGGATCTTTCAAATTTTGTGCTTCTTCGCTGCCCGAGACGGGTGGTGCGAGTGAGAGTAGGCACATATTTGAACTCAAACCGCGACTCCTCCCCAAGACCCGTTTTCTCATCGAGGATTAGCTTGTAAAAGCGTCTGCGGCGGAGCTAGGAAAGTTATCCGTTAGAAAAGTTCAAAAATGATGGATAATTCACATACCGAAATCATCATCCTGTCGAGGAAATATATCTTTGGCACGATATATGAAATACCCATAACCCAGAAACAATATCCCCAGATCAACATCCGATAGTATAAATTAGGCCGAGGGATATCAAGCTCATCGGCGAGTTGATCTCCATTGAGTAGTCGACTCATCGCCTCCATGAACTCCTTGGATGCAAAAGCCGGGGCTGTATTCTCCAGACCAATAATGATATTCTTCGCAAGAATCTTTCCGGTCTCGGTGGGATCGATCTCGGACACCAGAAGGGACTCCATCATAGCACGAGCTTTCGATGTGCTCGCAAAGGGATCCGTCGGTGTGCCCATATAATATGCGACTAGTCTCCACAACGCGATGTAGTCTTCGGTCTCTTGCTGACTGAGGTAGATGCCTTGTCGCGGAAGACCCATCCATATCACCGAGCTACAGAATGTGTTGATTGTCCCAATGCAGTCTAAATCGTTAACCGGTGTTCCGTATTTATTGACATCGTAGTATTCTGGATTCTGATCTACCAGACTTAGGATCCTCTTGCGGACAGAGGAATGAAGTAGTCGCACACGAACACATGAGATGTGGCCGTCTCCGCCCGGTCTCATGCCTTCCATCGAATTGTTGACCTGAAGTATATGCTGAAGCGTCTCGAGTAATCGTCGACGTACCACCTTGGCTCCGAACCCACCTGTTCGCGAAAGGGTTTCGACGACTCGCGTTGCTCCCCTAGATAAAGATCAGTTTTTGGCTGACACTCATTTTCTTGAAGTGGAAAGATGCTCTGACATTCCACCAAGTAAACTTTCAAAGTTGAGCTATTGATGAGGTCAGTCCTTTTCCTTAAACATACTTGTATTGACCACTCACAACATTAAGAATAGGAAGGCCATATCGGAAGAACGCATCCTGGGCCCGTTGAATTTGATCCCAGTCAACCCATTCCGGAACTGTGTTGATCTCAGCCCAGAGCTCGTTAAGCTTTGGATCCTCCCCCGCATGATCCCTCAGTAAGCCATAAAGATCCTTTTTGAAAGGCCGTTTATCGGCGCCATCATCGGAGGGAATTTTGTTCAAGCGCTCCACACATTCGTCAACCAGGGAATCGCAGCTGTATACCAACGGCTTGAGGTCATCGGCAGAGGAGTGGAGGTCAGTCCAATGAAAGGAATAATCCCAGTAGTGGCACTCGGTACTATTTATGGGATTCTTCAACACCATGATTGCGGTGGACTCATAGTACAGTTCGAATATTATTTGTGTATTTATAAGAGGTTTCTTCAACGGCTTTGTATGCCGTGGTCCACGGTTATGAGGAGAGGGGTTAGGACATGTGAAGCCATTTTAGCCACTAAGATTACCCCGGATTTGTACTGTTAATGTTGATTGGATGATATCTAGAAGTTCTCACATGTCAGGTTCTTTGACTCTTTAAGACATTATCTGATTGGTCTACAAACACTATTTGGGATCGGCAATGTATATGGTACACCTATCGAGTACATTTCTGGCCTAGCACATAATATTCCCCCTGTACCGGCTCTTCCTCCAACCCTAGCTCCCCCAGCAGTCGCATAATGTTCCCAACCACCCTGGAATCCTGATATACCACGTATTCCATCCCCTTGAACTGGTAGTTGCGTCGTGCGTTGTGTTTTAAAAGGCATCGCACTAACCGTGGATATCCCCACTTAGTGGCCATATGTAGCGGCGGGCCTCTTCTTCCGACCACGTTTGGGTCGGCCCCTGCATTCAATAGCAACATCGCGATCTCCTCTTCTCCATTTTCAATGGCTCTATGAAGTGGAGTACGTGAGACTTCACCCCCGTCAGGATCCGCACCATGACCCAGTAAGAGCCCAACCATTGCTAGTCTTTTCTCGACAGGACAGTCTTGCAGTGCAATGAACAGCGGTGTCTTGTGCCACTCCGTAGTCTGTCTCGCCAGAGAAGATCCTTCCCGAGATAGAAGCCATTGCAAAGAATCCAGCATCCCGTTCTCGACAGCCTGATAGAAAGATTGAAACCAGAGTAGTTTCATATCCGACCGCGTCCAATCAATATGTTTCTCTAACACCGCAACCATCTCAAATTTGCCGATTCGCAGTGCCCCCAGCACAGCCGTGCGCAGTTCACAGGACAGACTCTGTTCACGTCGTGCCGCACGCTCGCTCAACAGCGTAACCCACGTCTCCAGCACCTCCTTATCCCCTCGCCGTGCAGCCACAGCCAAACCACATGTGCTCTCATAATGCCATGCTGACTTGCCCGTGTACATTGTCACACATCCATGCTCCACCAGGGTGCGGATGACCTCTCGCGTACCCTCTTTGTATGCCAGATCCACTGGCACTAAGCCAAGATTCTGATCCCAAAGCCCACTGCAATTACGCCGATCAAGTAAAGCCTGCAGCTCCACATGATCCCCGCGGTAGATCGCGCTGGCGATGAGTGCTTCATCCAGAGTCGTTTCCGTGGACTCCTGGCTCTGTCTGGAGGGCACCAGGAATGCCCCATATCCTTCAAAACGCAATGAGGATGAGGGATAATGGAGTTTTGCCATAGGCTTAAGATGCCCGGGACGGTGAAGTCCATATAGAGCCTCAGGATCATATACACTATGAATAATAGCATCGATCATCTTGTCGATGATAGTATGTTGCCCTTGGACGCTCATGCACGCGACACGAGGCAGTGCAAGGATGTCCTGAATCAAATACGAGAAAATACATGGTCGGGTGCAGTGCTCTTCAATCAAGTACCAAAGGTATTTTCGCTTGTAAGGAAATTTGTGCCAGGATGTGAAGAGGGACTTCTTATTCTCTAGATGCGCACTCGCTGGCCATAGTACATCATTGAAGAGACCTAGACAGGGTTAATGTGGGAGACGAGATGTCACTACGGGAAACCCACTGTTGATTAGTCTGGATCGTAGAATGTCCTGGTAGGACAGGCTCTGGACTGCTTCCTTGAGGATGAGCTCGAGAATCTCGAGAGGAACTCGCATTTTGATGAAGAATGTCTTAAACCAAAGACCTAGACTATAAATGAAGTAGAGGTCAGAGGTCTGGGTCCGATCGCTCCTGGGTCATTTGGTCCGCGCTAGCTTGGGCTGCCCGCCCTCAGGCAGACTTGGTAAATTATGGGCCCCAGATGATCAGTGAGTTGGGAACATTAGTGTGCTTATTGACTGGTATTGTCTTTGAGCCCAAACTCTGCATTTTGAGAATTGTACTAATGGCTTTAAATGTTGACTTTGATCCTTTGTGCTCATTCTACAACCTTTGATCCTTTCAGGTTTCATTGCTTCCCATTTGAATAATGACTTGGTCAAGAACTAGCTGTTTAGGATAGAATATAAAGACTGCGGCTTTCGCTCATAGACAATGCTTTCGCGCAGTTTTCAAACCCCTACCAGAGAATACTAGCCATGGAGCTAAGGCCGACCATCAAGTTCAAGCTGAATGGGGTATCTAAATCCGGGGCTGATATCGATACCTTGGAACTCCAAGCTTGCTATCGCGCTCTCGACAACCTGCGGAGCTTATTGTTTCAAGTGCCGATGCTAGATCTTCTGGAAGGTCAAATCGATCAAGGAAACCGCTATTTTGAATCGTTGATTCGGGCCTCTCGAGGGGGATTCCGAGAATGCAGAACATATATGAAAGTAACGGGGGTCTCGGCGACAGAGATGAGTGCGATCTGCAGCCGCTGGCAACTCTCCCAGCCCCTTGATAAGATGGCACGAAGCTTCATATTCCCAACGCACCCAGAGAACTATGTGGTTATGCATTCGCCAGGAGCCCCCGCCAGAAGTGGGCCAGACTGTGGGGTGGAGCTGATGGGGGAGCATATGGCCAAGATTCAATTTGTTGATCTCACCGACAGCGGAGATATTCCCATGTGGATGGTGGAGGAGCGAGAGGATGAGTATGAAAGGGCGGAGTACTTGGTCGCGAAACTTGACAGTGGGAGCAACTTCTTCTATATCTTGAACGAATTCATGGATACTGAGGGTGGTTGTAAGATCAAGCTACGGGCCTTTTTCCCGTCTGCTTCACCTTGGTCATTGGTCAATGGACATGCGGAACATCTTGCGGTCGAGTTTCGAAATCTGCTCCAGATGGTTTATGGGGCAATAGAGGAGCTGGAAGACAGCTATTGACCTTTTTTGCGACCGAGATAGACATCGTCATCGACAACCACCGGTACTAAATATCATGGGTTATTCCCGACCGTCAGTTTTGTTTCTCAAATAGTGTTCTTCAATGCAAGCATTATTGGATTGATTTTCATGACTGTTCCAAGGTCACTGTGGAGTAGATGCAGTCGAGCTCATCGGACTTGTAAGATGAACCAGACAATCAGTGATTTGAGTATTTCTCAAAAGCCGAGGGGAAGAAAGAACCAAATGGAAGAATTTTCACCAGGCCGTAGAGCGTAGACCGTATGATAAGAAAAAGCCACAGGTATTACAAGCCAAGCTGAAAGATCGGCTTGCATGACCGCGATTCGGTCCGCGGGGAAGAGACCGAGGATTGGACGAGAAGAGCAGGGGGACTCCACGGGGTCTAATAATCGAAATTCATTTCCAACTCCTGTTTGTAATCTAAAGCGAATGCTAGGCCTGGGAAGACCTCGATTGAAAGCGCGGGCATCGTTGTTGGATCTGATAACCAAGCATACGTTGACACAGCCATCACCGCCCGCCGAGCTGCCACCGCTTCCAGACTCGCCCTCCTCAACTACCTCCTCCCACTCTGTGTCTCCCCATTCCACACAGGCTTCTTCTTCCATTATGACTTCAGACGATTCTGAGAACCATGGCTCGATCTTTTCGGTCTCCGGCCCTGTCGTCGTGGCCGAGAACATGATCGGTTGTGCCATGTACGAGTTGGTAGGCAGCCCCAGCTACATCGTGGAGAACCCCAGATACTGACCGCATAGTGTCGTGTCGGCCATGACATGCTTGTCGGTGAGGTAATTCGCATTGAGAAAGATAAGGCCACGATTCAGGTCTACGAGGAAACAGGTAGAGCTCCGCAGCCCCCCAAACCTGTATGATTTCATCATACCCCCCAAAGAGCTATGCTGACCAATGTCATCTTTGAATAACAGCTGGTTTGACTGTCGGAGACCCGGTGACGAGGACAGGAAAGCCCCTTTCAGTCGAGCTGGGCCCCGGTCTGATGGAGACGATCTACGACGGTATTCAGCGACCCCTCAAAGCCATCGCCGACCAATCGAAGAGTATCTACATTCCCCGTGGTATTTCGGTAAACGCCTTGGACCGTGAGCGAAAGTGGGAATACAAGCCTACTACCTTCAAGGTCGGCGACCACATCACTGGTGGTGACATCTGGGGTTCCGTGTTCGAGAACAGTCTGGTGAACGACCACAAGATCCTGCTGCCTCCTCGTGCACGGGGTACCATTACTCGGATTGCTCCTGCTGGCAGCTACACTGTCGAGGAGAAGCTACTCGAGGTGGAGTTCGATGGTAAGAAGTCCGAGTTCGGTATGATGCAGACCTGGCCCGTCCGTGTTCCCCGACCGGTTAGCGACAGACTGTCCGCCGATGCACCCTTCATCGTCGGCCAGAGAGTGTTGGATGCTCTCTTCCCCAGTGTTCAGGGTGGTACCGTCTGCATTCCTGGTGCCTTCGGATGTGGAAAGACAGTCATTTCCCAGAGTGTGTCCAAGTTCTCGAACAGTGATATCATCGTCTATGTTGGCTGCGGTGAGCGTGGTAACGAGATGGCTGAAGTCTTGATGGATTTCCCCGAGGTACATGCTCTCCACAAACCCACTGCGTTACCATTTTACTGACTGCCCTTCTTTCGCAGCTCTCTATTACCGTCGACGGCCGCAAGGAGCCTATCATGAAGCGTACCTGCCTGATCGCCAACACCTCCAACATGCCCGTCGCCGCCCGTGAGGCTTCTATCTACACCGGTATCACTATCGCCGAATACTTCCGTGACCAGGGCAAGAACGTGGCTATGATGGCCGACTCCAGTTCCCGTTGGGCCGAGGCTCTACGTGAGATTTCAGGTCGTCTCGGTGAGATGCCTGCTGATCAGGGTTTCCCCGCGTACCTGGGAGCCAAGCTGGCCTCTTTCTACGAGCGTGCTGGCAAGAGCAGTGCTCTGGGTAGCCCCGAGCGCGTGGGCAGTGTCAGCATCGTCGGCGCTGTCAGCCCACCCGGTGGTGATTTCTCTGATCCAGTCACTAGCAGTACCCTGGGTATTGTCCAGGTGTTCTGGGGTCTTGACAAGAAGCTGGCGCAGCGCAAGCACTTCCCTTCCGTCAACACCTCCATCTCCTACAGCAAGTACAACACAGTTTTGGATAAATACTACGAGAAGGACCACCCCGAATTCCCTCGTCTGCGCGACCAGATTCGTGAGCTTTTGGCCAAGTCCGAGGAACTGGACCAGGTGGTCCAGCTTGTCGGTAAGGCGGCGCTAGGTGATTCGGATAAAATCACGCTGGACGTGGCCGGCTTGCTCAAGGACGACTTCCTCCAGCAGAACGGATACAGTGACTACGATCAGTTCTGCCCCTTGTGGAAGACTGAGTACATGATGAAGGCGTTTATGGGCTACCACAACGAGGCCCAGAAGGCCATTGCTCAGGGTCAGAACTGGAACAAGGTCCGTGAGGCTACTGCTGATCTCCAGAGTGCTTTGCGCGGCATGAAGTTCGAGGTTCCGGAGGACGAGGCGGAGATCTCAGCCAAGTACGAGAAGATCCTCCAGTCTATGACTGAGCGATTTGCCTCTGTTTCGGACGAGTGAAAGTGACATCTTAGCTTAGCATGTATTTTCCTTTAGATGTTTGTTTGAGCACATTCCCCTGTAGTTATTGTGTCCAACTCGGGTTTTTTTTCATTTTGGTACCTTCATCGTTGTATAACTTCCAGATGTACATGTGGCTTGTACGCGTCAGGCGGCACAAGATTTGCACATATGACCAGAAATTGTGGCTATTAGGTTCTTTGACTAGAAATCCTCGTATTCCTTTAGAATATTCAACAGTACTATGTTATAGTGAACGGTTGGATTCCCTGGAGCCTACGTAGGCAGCCCTGGAGAGACCGCTCTGGACGCCACTACATCACCGCCTTCGAGTCCACCAAACAATCCACTTGCATCGTACACCTCCCTACGGTTGTGCTTTATTCAACTTCTCTGTTGTGTCCCGTTTTTCTTGTCTTTTCGTTTCTTGCCTAGAAGCAGTTTTTATATCCCAAATCGCCAGTCATGGCAAGCCCAACGTCCAGCCACTCGTGCGCAAACCCCTGTCCCTCTCCGATGCGGTCTGGCTAATCTCCGTGCAGCATAAACGTCAATGACCCCAGCTTGATTTCCCTAGTTAACAAGCTCCAAGATGTCTTTTCCACAGTCGGTGTATGTATACCTGCTCCAAGGTCACTGTTCAATTGTGATTCCAGGGGCACCACGTGTGCTAACACCGCCGCTCGCTTTAGGTCCAAAATCCTATCGATTTGCCCCAAATCGCCGTTGTCGGATCACAGTCCAGTGGAAAGAGTTCAGTGCTAGAAAATATCGTTGGCCGGGATTTGTATGTTGGTTGTTTTTAGGAGCTTGCGCGGCCCCCGTCCACAGCTCCAATGGCGGGGCATGCGACACAATGTCAACAATAATTGCTAACTAGTTTTCGCCTTGCAGCTTGCCTCGTGGCTCTGGAATCGTGACTCGGAGACCCCTTATCCTGCAACTGATCAACAAAACCACCACAACGAATGGTGAGACTAAGCTGGAGACAACAGACAGCGAGTCCAACGTGAACGAGTATGGTGAATTCCTGCACCTCCCCGGGGAGAAGTTCTACGATTTCAACAAGATTCGGGATGAGATCGTGCGCGAAACAGAAACCAAGGTTGGAAAGAATGCTGGAATCTCGCCCTCCCCGATCAACCTGCGTATCTACTCCCCCAACGTCTTGACCTTGACCCTCGTCGATTTGCCTGGTTTGACCAAGGTGCCCGTCGGAGATCAGCCGAAGGATATTGAGAGGCAGATTCGTGATATGGTTCTCAAGTATATCAGCAAGCCGAACGCAATCATCCTAGCCGTCACTTCGGCCAACCAGGATCTTGCCAACTCCGATGGTTTGAAGCTGGCGCGTGAGGTGGATCCGGAGGGTCAGCGCACCATCGGTGTGTTGAGTAAGGTCGATCTGATGGACGACGGAACCGATGTGGTGGATATTCTCGCTGGACGAATTATCCCCCTGCGCCTGGGTTATGTGCCAGTGGTCAACCGTGGCCAGCGTGACATCGAGAACAAGAAACTCATTGCCTATGCCCTGGAGAACGAGAAGAACTTCTTCGAGAACCACAAAGCGTACCGGAATAAGGCTTCCTACTGCGGTACGCCATATCTGGCACGCAAACTGAACTTGGTACGGGTTGACCCCCAATCATCTCGGAGACCTTTGAACTAACGGACATCCTCTTATTAGATCCTTATGATGCACATCAAGCAGACCCTCCCCGACATCAAGGCCCGCATTTCCGCCTCCCTTCAGAAATACACCGCAGAGCTAAGTCAACTAGGTGACTCTATGCTCGGCAACAGCGCCAACATTATCCTGAACATCATCACCGAATTCAGCAACGAATATCGTACAGTCTTGGAGGGAAATAACCAAGAGCTGTCCAGCATTGAGCTGTCCGGTGGTGCTCGTATTTCCTTTGTGTTCCACGAACTCTACTCCAACGGTATCAAGGCTGTCGATCCCTTTGACATCGTTAAGGACATTGACATCCGGACCATCCTTTACAACTCGTCTGGTTCCTCACCCGCACTATTTGTCGGAACCACCGCCTTCGAGTTGATTGTCAAGCAACAGATCAGGCGCCTGGAAGAGCCCAGCTTGAAATGTATCTCGCTGGTTTACGACGAGTTGGTGCGCATTCTGAGCCAGCTCTTGACCAAGCAGCTGTTCCGCCGCTACCCCATGCTGAAGGAGAAGTTCCATGCCGTCGTCATTTCCTTCTTCAAGAAGTGCCTTGAGCCCACCAACAAGCTGGTCAAGGACTTGATCAACATGGAATCCACCTATGTGAATACCGGCCATCCCGACTTCCTGAACGGACACCGCGCCATGACTATCGTCAACGAACGTCAATCAGCCGCCAAGCCTACACAGGTCGACCCCAAGACCGGCAAGCCTCTCCTCCCCGCCCGTGCCCAGAGCCCCTCGCTCGACACAACCGGTGAGGCCAATAACCAGAGTGGGTTCTTCGGCAGCTTCTGGGCTTCCAAGAACAAGAAGAAGATGGCCCTCATGGAAGCTCCTCCCCCAACTCTCAAGGCTTCAGCCAGTCTGTCCGAACGTGAAGCCACCGAGGTCGAGGTCATCAGTAAGTAAACCAGCTCATGTAAATTCCTTGTAGCACTTGACTAACACCCACACAGAACTCCTGATTACCTCCTACTTTAACATTGTCAAACGCACAATGATCGACATGGTCCCCAAGGCGGTTATGTACACCCTGGTCCAGTATGTCTCTTCCTAACAAACACCACACCCCAATGAGTATGCTAACGAATGCTTCCCCTAGATTCACCAAGGATGAGATGCAACGCGAACTCCTGGAGAACATGTACCGCACCAACGAGTTCGACGAACTCCTCAAGGAGAGCGATTACACAACCCGCCGACGAAAGGAATGCCAACAGATGGTCGAGAGCCTGGGTCGCGCCAGCGAAATTGTCAGCCAAGTCCAGTGATGAAATAGTGGACTTGGTCGTCAGACGATTCGTACACAAAGGAAAACCTCACCCATTGACTGCTGCATGATTGAGCTATCGCGTTGGCGGAGTTGGGCTCGCATCTCTTTTATGATTTTTCCAACACCCTCCGAATATCTTGACTATACTCCGTACTTGCGTTACCGTTCCTAGCATCCTTTGGTTAGCGACTTGTCCCGTTGGTCCTTGTTTAGATGTTGGTCTCGGTGGGTTTGGTTCGGATTTCGGATTCGCGTCCTTGGTGATCGTCTTTGGTTTTGATATGAGGGAGTGTCCTTTGCTTCATCCTGTCATGTGTTTGTCTTTTTTTTCGTTTTTCCCAATTTGAGAGCTCTATACCGTTTCCTTTCTCATTACTTGGTCTGTTGTCTGTGTTCGCGGACTTCATGCCATGGACGCCCGGATGATTGTATCAATTAATGATTCTGTCTCTGCTTTATGACTTAGCTTAGAATTCAGATTTGACTTTTCAATTTATTCGGTCATTTACTGCGTAGATCCGATGATATCTACAATAAATGATCTAGTTTAGGGGCGGTATCTTTGGCATTGAGATGTGGTTCAGGTGCCTGCAATGTACTCGGAAGGATAGTCACCCATGCGGCCATGACAGGGGACTTTAACGATTTGCATATTTGATTGACTTGATATAATAGAGAAGAGTACATATTTTGTATCCTGCTGGCTATAATAGTCACAAGGCAAAAAGGATATCCAAAAAAAAAATACGAAAAAGACACTTGAAAAAGCATTGTAGAAGAATCCTATAAAATCATCTGAGAGTAACACGCCGAGGTCACATGAATGGCAGACAATTTTGTATTAAGCATGCTAATTTCTTAATGTTTTCTTCCTTTGATCTGTTTTTCTACCGAGAATAAAGATCACGAGCAGCAAAATGCAGATCAATACTACTTTTCTACCTGTGACGGGATGTCAGAAAGTGGTTATGAAGATGGTGATGTCCTCTGTCTTTGACTTCTGCATATTTCAAGTGGCAGAGGTGCTCTAAATACATAAAACTGGAAAGCACTTCCAGTAGATACAAAACAGATCCAACCTCCCAAGGAAATGTCGACAGTCACATCGAGGTTGATGATGTCCATTGAAGCAAAGTTCGAGCGGGGATTTAAAGACTTAGCAGAGTCGCTTGCAAGGTGCAAGTGTTGGATAATGCAAACAAAACCCTTGAATCCTCCCATTGAAACAAAATTCATTCACACATTCCCCGAATCCTCCCATATTCTCCATATATATCCTTCTAAGCCACATGTGGCGACTATGAGATGCGACAATTGTAGCGAAGTCAAGTCCATGCTGGACCATATTGTCTTTCGAGGTGATGTGCTTCCATTCAATGATTCCATGACCCTCTTGCCAATAGTCTCTTCAGGGGTGTGGATGATGCCTGGACTTGTTGCCTTTTTGCCGTATGTGTATTTCATTTTTTCATTTTTTCGGTTGTTGTTTTGCGGCTTTTGTGGGTTGTGGCTGTCCTGTTGGAACCTGCTAGCTGTGCGAGGTTGCAAGTCCACAATGATGAATAGTGTTGTGGTCAGAGTGTGTCTTTGTATTTCTTTTTGTTTTGATCTGTGCCTTCAACTTGGATTTGTCAGTCTCGGTGTCTTCAATGGGGAACTATTTTGAAGGCATACCATTGCCATGAGTCTGATTATGATGAATTTGTCTTCGAGCAACTGTCTCGTGTGCATGGAGCAAGGTTGAAAATGACAGAGAGATTGAATTCGAGGCCTTGAAGTCACGAAGTTGTCAGAGTTGGTGGTTAATCATGAGTAGCTTGGGCAGAAGAGCTCAATGATTGGTGCCCGTGTTTCAGTGTGCCAACCCAGTCCAGTGGGAAGTGCTCAGCAGTAAAGAGTAAAATTTGATGTTGATTGTTGTCATGTTGATGAAAGTAACAAGTGTTGAGATTCTGTGTCTCGGGTGTGGGATCGTTGGTACCATTTCATCAAAGGTTGTTGTTGTATTTGTTGGGATTTGATGTGACCTGAAGTTGGAGGGAGGTACTGAGAGATTGGTGGTTGCTGAGTGGCGAGAAAACACTGGGGGATGTGCGCTGATTTTTCCATACTGCAATCATGCGAGACCGTTCTTGTCAGCCTTCACTACCTGTTCGCGACTCGCTAGGGCAACAGTGATATACGAAAGTCATTCGCAGTGGACAGCCCTGATATGCCAGAATCCGAGGATAATGGTTCTTCATTGCTGTCACAGTCCCAGGTACTAGAAATATGGATCCCTTGATTCATACCCCTCAACACACCGCCTGTTGGCATTGAGAGGTATGGTGTCAGAAGATGTATTTTTAGCGGTCTCGTGGTGACTGTCGAAGACAATAGTTCTTCATGTTGCCACAGTGCCAGGTACCAGAAACCGGGATCCCCTGATCATACAACTCAACCTGTTGGTGCTGAGAAGTATGGTGTCAGAGGATTGTATTTCTAGCTCGCCTGGCGACTGTCGAGGAAGGTAGTGAGGCACGGGGTGGTCTGGTCTGCAAGAGTGTAGTAGGTTGACGGGTTGCCACACTGGACTGGGTGGTGGGATGCAATGACCGTGTGGGATGTGGGATCTTTTGAACGGTGAATCGAATTGAGCAGCAAGTTGTTCGAATGCTCGGTAATCTCATGGGTGGATGATGGATGACTGGTGATTGGTGACTGGACATGTTAGCACTGGCAAAAGAGTGTCACAAGGTGAAAAATAAAAATAAACTGTCATGTTATTGCATACCTCTTGATTCTGGAGGAATCATGAGCTCTGCTAGCTGGGCCATGGTGGAATTGGAAAGTGTCGAAATACTCTGGAGTCAACAGGGAACTATGGCTTTGGAAGTCAGCCTTGAAGCTCCAGAGATGATATTTGTGATCTCACCAAATCTGTTTCTCTTGCGAAGATCCAACCCAATTTTCCATCCCTTCTCCTTGTTCCTTCCTGTTCCTTCTATCAATGCAAATCCGTCTTTCCTTTTCCCTTTGTGTTCCTTTTCCTTCGTTTTCATTTTGCTTGTTGATGTTGATGTTGGTCTTTTGTTTCTTTTTTTCTTTTTGAGCTCGGTATCGGGGATTTTTCACAGGCGTTTAATTCAAAGGTAAAGGAGGTTTGTTGAGCAGAGGTATATTGTCAGGAGAATGAGACCGATGGATGACCTTGAGCTGGAGCTCCAATGTTGTGGTGGCAACCAGGAGGAAGCCAGGAGGCGTTGCCCTGTTTCACTTTTGTGGGCATGACAGAAGAGACAAATTCTAGAAGGTAGCCTAGATGACTGTGATGGAAGACACCGAGGTGCACCCACGTCAGCCAATGGACTGACGCGTAAGACCTTTTGCTCTTCATTGCAGAGCAGAAGGAACGGAGAGGGGGGTATTCTGATGCTAGAGTTCTTACCTGAATGCCGCAAACCACAGTGTGTACTGATGTTTGTGGTGGTAGATTGCAGGTGGCAATATGCAGATAAAAGACCATTGAGGTGAAGAGACTGTCTCAAGAAGCAGGTCTGAGGGAAAGTCTGCCCAAGTGTTGGAACAGATGAGTGATCTTGTGACATGTCTGATACCTTTAGCTTTGTTCAATGATGGGTTGGAAGTATGATAGAGGGTGATGTGGTGATATAACAATGTTGATAAAAGGCCAAGGGGGTAACAGAGTGATGAAGGATGACGAAGGATGATGGGACAAGGTTGATGACAGGCCAAAGAGGTGATAGCATGTTGGAGAGGTAGTGGGCAGTCAAGGCGGGGTGATGGAGAAGGAATATACTCACAATGTGCAGAAGGAATGCAAGACGAAAGTCCAGAGTGGTGAAGCCCATGTGGTGTTGGGTCTATGAGACAAGTACATGTAGTTTAGTGACTGAAGGGTGGTGACACGTGACAGGTAGTAGGGGGACTTACCAGAATGGACATGCTGGAACACATGGGTAGATATTGACGTGACAGACGTGACAGAGTGGACCAGGTATTGATGAGACCCAAGGTAATGATGAAAGATACTTGGGGGTGATGGAAACCCTGATGGAAGAGGGGGTTGATGAAGTGAATATTAGGAGGATGGGAAGTTGAAGAAAGAAGAAAGAAGAAGATGAGCAATTCGGGGGAGGGGGGTATTTATAGGTTGGAGAATAGGTAGGAGACTGACCGTTTAGGAAGGTGCCTGCCTGTTAGGGAAGGAAAAATGGGAGACAATGGGAAACCACCACCCTCAATGCGCACCTATCTCGAGGGATTTATGCGGACTTGGTAAGGTACATGCGAAGCCGTCACCTACGTAGTGAGTACCCCCGCAGGAGACAAGAACTGTGGCTTGCAACCCAGTATTAGAGGTAAATGAAAGCAATCTGTGAATGAAAACTGAAGCTATCACTGGTAAGATATTTTAATTGTGATACAGCTGTATCCTGTACCCTAGGGTCATGTTTGTCTAGTCTCCTGGGGCTCAGTCTCATCTGCAGTTCCCATCGAGACACTTAGGATTCCCAGAGTGCAGAGACCACCAATAAAACCCAGAAGACACCGTATTGTCTACTAGTTAAATACAAGACATTAAGCCAAATTTAAATCTATATGAACTTAGAAATGAGCGACATAATTTGTGAAGTAAATTTATTCCGGGATCTATAAAGCTGCTATAGAGTTGGAGATAAGCTTTCGACGCTAGACTGTATTAAGAATAGCGTAACTGCCCGTCATACGACTAGCCGAGAGTGCCGACCTCGGGAGGTCTCCTGGAAGCCTAATAGACATAGTTCTTACTACCGTTTTTACTATCCCATTTCATCTTATGGTCGACATGGAGAGGTTAGAAGACGCAAATCAAGAGACGAAATTGCAAACAGAAAATGCCATCAAGACAGGACGCCTCAAGATCGCATGGTTATAATGGCCCCAAAAAGTAAAAAATAAACCGTAGAATTGACTAATGCCTACTCCTGCTTGGTATGCGCATAAGCATAGTGCCAATGCTCGCTACTCAGGTCCTGTCGCACTTTATAGTTCTTCTCCGAGGTCGCAATAACCTCGGTATCCAAATCGGCAACGACGAATCCCTCCTCAGTCCCCATCTTGGCAATCGGCCCCGTAAGGGGAAGTGTAATCTGCGACATGCCCAAAAAATCCTCCTCCGGCCCCGTAGCGTTGGAGAAGACAATACCACAGGTATTCTCGAAGCAGCGGGATGTAATGATCGAGTCGACGAACAGGGCTTCACAATCCGGGTTATACGCGCGCGCTTCGGGGGAGGCATCGTGGGGGGTCCCTGGTAGCGGTTTCAGTTAGATCAGATAACACCTACAAGTACAGGATAGAAAGAGGTCAACACACAGTATGTAGGCACGATCACAATCTGCGCCCCATCACGGATCAATTCCCGGAATGCCGGGGGAAATGCTAGATCCCAGCAGATCAGCATTCCCACACGACCGATCGGTGTGTCTATTGCCGTATGAGGTTCGGAGCCTGAGGTGAGGTAGGGCCGTTCCGGATACCAGATGTTCTTTTTGTTGTAGGAGCCGAGCACAGTACCATCATTTGAGATGAAGAATGCTGTGTTGTAGAAGATGATTGATTGGTCGGGCCTGGTGTGCTTTTCGATCATTGAACCCGGTACGATGCAGATTTGCAGTTCCTTGGCCAGACTTTGGTACTTTGATAGGTACTGGGGGGATTCGCTAGCTTGGACTGCCCAACGGGGGTCTGTGGGGACCATGCCGCTGAGATGGTATCTGATTAACTTGAATCAGCAAATGTTCCTCCATCTCGGGAGCTATTAAGTGCTGGTGGACAGGTCTGGTGTCACATTTCTTACTCTGGAAGAACGGCTAGCTCGGCGCCTTGGGCAGCGGCCTCACGGATGTAGTTGCATGCCTTCGTGTGATTGTACTCGACATCAAGCTCCTGGGAGAATGTAAGTAAATCCAATGGCAATGAGACCACACGTCATCAGTGGTTCGAAGATTGAGCACGGCCTAATGCGATGCACCCACCTTGATATGCCATTGAATGGTGGCAATGCGATGCGTGGCGGCCATGGTATTTCAATTGTACAAGTACGAGAAGCTGATAATGAAGAGAAGAAAGAAAGACGGGGAATTGATTACTAGGTTTATCAACTGGTTACCCCAACATGAAGTTGGAGAATTTGGGGTCGATGAACAGTGTAACCCCAACCCACTCCGATCAACCCTCTATCCAACGAGGAATTAGCATATCCAATACAAGAATGGTCAACTGTAAAATCACGAAATATAGAATACGTTCCGGTGAAAAAAATTTAATATACCCGAACTGATCATTCCATTCATCCATGGGTGTAGGTAACATATAATGTCATGATGTCATCTAGCATTATGCTTGTATATGGCCTCAAAAACTAATATTATATTCTCAATAACTATGTAATATAACAAAAGAGGTAAGCCGATATGAGGAAGACGACTTCCAAATAACACCGAACTCCTCTGGACCAAACATCGGCGAGATAGCAGGGGTCCACGGGGTATATAGTACGAAGAACAAGATGAGTATTGTCAAATGAGATGGCATAAAATGTCTCCAAAAGCAGGTGGAGAACGCCAGTGTTGGGGATACAGAAACAAGCACCTCAAATGGAAGTCAAGACAGCATTTTCCCCTGAAAACCCCAAATTCAATATTCCCCGCGTATGTTGTAGCGCTTGACGGTAGCGGGCATAGCAGGCGCCCATAACCTGGAGATCGACGTGGGAATAATTTTTGGAGTAGTCACAACCTCGAGGGTCCGGAAACAAATGGAGCCAGGAAAGAGGAGGAATAGGAGTTGCACAGAGTCGAACAGCCTCGAGGGAACTATCGTGTTGGTCTTATAGTACAGTAGCAAGTACTAGGTACTTGGAGACTCACGTTTCGAAGTAGTACCCAGTAGGTATACACTACTTGGGCGAGTAGAGTCAGAGACAATCCAAGATTTTACCGAATCGGCGTGCCCCGAGCTCCAAAGGCAGATTCATTATCAATTAACCTCAAGTCCTAATCTATGCAAATCCCAATCTATGCAAATCCCAATCTATGCAAATCCCAATCTATGCAAATCAGCCAACCGCGAATCCCACCGAACCGACTCCCAGTCCCACGAATCCCCTACCAACCCATAGCTATCCCACTCTCCATCCGGCTTGCGCGCATTGAGTGCCCAATACCCCCAGTCGGCATCAGCAGCCTCCAAAAATCGCATCAGATGACTCCAGTAGTTCTGGTCACTAACTGACAGTTCACCAGCGGCCCCAAGCTCCCCGACCCAGACAGGGGCAATATCCTCGAACAATAGGTAAGCCTAATTCTTATTCATCGCTGCCGCAAATCCCGAATACGAGCGGTTGAAAAATGGGTACAAATGACCCCAGCCAGACCATTTGTACACATGCGCCGAGTACACCACTTGAGCCGGTCGACTCAACTTTATCGGTCGCGACCGCACGCCTGACAGGTCGTTCGCTGATGAGATCCCTTCCACTATCATCAGCCAGTAGGGATTGATTGCGAATAATCGTTCCAAGACCTTCTCGGCCGCTGTCGCCCAGTCATCCCAGTTCAATGTACCCCAGATCCCGCGGGGCTCATTTCGCAGGTCCGCACCCAGGACAAGCGGGTTCTTTGCTAACGGGCTCATCACCGTCTCCCAGTTACGAATCCATTTGTCTTCACTTTGGAGAATACGGCAGAAGCACCCTCCTGCCAGCCAGTCATTATACCAAATGATGTCACAGGGGTTAATACCGCAGCACCATGTGGCCTGCGTAGTGTGGTTGTTCACAATGACAAGCAATCCAGCCGCTGTCAGGCTTTTCACTACGGAGTGGTAGACATCTAACGCTCGTGGTTTTCCATTTGTGGCTGTCAGGAATAGAGCTGGGTTGGCTGCAATCAATGATGAATTTACCACGGAACCCCGGTCGACAATCTCATCTGCATAAGGGAGGCGGACACTGTTGAATCCTAGGCGGCGGATCAACTGGGCAATCTCGTCTCGATGTCGCACATCCAGGCCATATGGAATGAAATTGATATTGCTGGCTCCGTACCAGTTTATGCTAGCTAGTTTGAGCGACTCACCATCGGCGTCCCGGATATGTCGGCCGTGGGTTTTGAACGGGGACGTGAAATTTGTCGTGGCCGGGGATACAGTTATGTCTGATTTGACTTCTGTCGCATGCCAACTATCTGTTGTCGTCTTGGAATAGGTGACTTGTAGAATAACAAGCCCAAGCCCTGCCAACACCCATCCCATGCGCGGCTTTGTGATTATACTTGGAAAGGATCTCATAATGGATTATTCCGTTCGAGAAAGCCATTGAGATGTAAGTAGGATTGGCAGACAAGATCGAACTAGCGCAGTTTCCGGCACGGGTTCCCGAGCGAAGATGATGTTCGTCTCAATGATGCGTGTGGTAGGCGCGGAAGTTAGTGATCACCCACGGAAAAAAATACAAGATATTACACACCATATCAAATACTCATATAGTCTTCCCTTTCCTCTCCTCATTCATAGTTATTTATACTAATACAAACAGTATCTCTCATCATTTCATACTAGATATCTCCCGGTAGTATTTTCAAATACATGAACGGTTGTTCCCGCTCTATATCATTATAGGCGATACGAATAGCTCCGTTCAATACAATTTGGCTAGATTTAATGATTACTTGGCTGGGATGCCCGGGGATGCTTAGATTATGCAGCACAGGATCCCAAGGCTCCATACCTTAGCACTCTATGGCATCATAAATTTCAAAAAAGAACAGTACAGCCTCGTTGCCATTAACATCCCCATCGCCGCGAAATCCTGTTCCGGGGTCCCAGATTGGCGACTTGGTTGGGTTCTCCCAGTCGAGAGTACAGTGCCAGTACGTTAGATGACCAATGTATCCGCATTCTTGTCCAAGGGTCATCTCATTGGCATGGATGAAGTAGCAACATCAGGGTAGGAAGGGGAAGGCATCAGAACTGCCATTATGTCGCCCACGACGAAAGTCATTGATAATCAACGCAATAAAATAAAATAAAACTAACGTAACGCTCAGTGAGTGCGACAAGGCAATTAGGCAATAATGTGAATGCATCTTAGATAGCAACTTGTTCAACCATCTTACAGCCTCAATGTAGCTAACCTGCTTGGAGCGAGACAACTATCACATCTAGAATGTCAGCCCAATATTACCGCTAAGCAAGGAGTATTTTGAATAACAATGAATCGGCGCAGACATAGGAGATCATTCGAGGCAGGACCACCCAGAGAGATGAAAGTGAACAAAACAACCGAATTTGAACTTTCGTCTCACCTTGACCCTATGGCTGATATTAATCCCTCAAGTCATGATCGGCATCGACTCAGTCGCTGCTATTGGGGCTGTAAAGTGGGGTCTTTTGTCCCCCACAGAGTTCCCATGAGAGATCGATCCATCCCAATGGCTTTGTCCATCTGATCAAGTCTGATAGCAAGCGCTGTCGATCTTGTTGCCCAGAACGCTTGGCCCGTGTTGCCTTCTGATCAGGGGCCAAGGTGTAGCCGACAATATTCAGATCCAGGTGTAAAGGGGGTCTTCCTTGTCGTCTACAGAATCCCACCTAGTGTGACCAAATGACCATTCAGTTTTCCACCAAATCCTTTGCCTCCTCAGCCTAAGCGTCATGATTGGTTTAGGCCTATCCAAGCCCATACCCCACGGGGGCTGTGCTGTGATTGCTGCTAAAGACAGAAATGGTGACTGCGCTGGTAGCGATGAATATTCGGATGTCCTGGCTTGTCATGCACATCATGAGGTCGTTGCTGATGTCTGCCTCGATTATCCCTCGGAGGGAGGCAATTGCAATGATGGTGTCGCTAGCTCGGGTCCGACATGTATCAATGGTAACCTCTGTACTAGAGATCTACACAACGAAACTGAAAGTGGGGAGGTATTTCTCGGGGACTATAGCCGAATGGGCTGCAACTTTGATGGTCAGAGGTTTCAGTCTACACGAGGCGATATATATGTACTAGGAAGTATTCTTGAGGTGTTTTGTGTTTTCTCTCTATTCCCTACAGCTCCACAAGATGTTTTCCTTCCTCTTAGATAGTGGCTTTGATGATCCCCATTCAAAATATACAAGAATAGAAACTACCGAGGACTTAAGTTGAATGATAGTGTGGCAAAGTACCAGAACAGAGATTAAAAGGTAAAATAAATGTAATTCTGTGGGTTTATGCAATATCTATTTAGTGAGCATGGCGAGTAGGAGAGGTACATATTAGAACGGAATGTCTGTACCACCTACATAATACCTAGGTAGGTCTACCCCAGAGACTGGACTGAGGCTGGAATGAGGTAAACAACGGCAGTATCACAACTTCAAAGTCCAATTTAGAATCCAATTTAGAATCCAACTAGATATCACATACTTCTTGTCACTTCTGGTCTGTCAAGTAAATACCGAGTACTCGGTATTCCGTGCTCCTTACTAGCATTTACTTAGATCTTTGTAGAATTCTAGAATCACCTAGCAAGAATGCTGGCCCTAGGAGATTAAAAGTTCCGTACGAGAGAATGCTATAGCTGAGATCTTTGCAAAATTCTAGAATAGCCTAACAAGAATGCTGGCCCTAGGAGATTAGAAGTTCCGATTGTTAAAAAGAATGCTGTACTGCGATCTTGTATCTTCCGCGGATTTGGGAATGGCCTAGATCTTAGATACTCGGGACATGCTTCAGTATCTAGAAAGGATCATCCCTTCAGGTAAAGAATGTCGAGCCGCCAATGCCGACTAATTCCCATTTGAATGATAAGCCCCTCGCGTTTGTCAGATCTCTTGAATCTCGTGCCGGTTTCAAGGGAAAAGAAAGCAAGTATAGAGTAAGAAGGAGTGAGACAGGTCGATAAATAATTGGACAAGGCGCAAGACCCTTTTACCAAGTATAGGGCGATCCTATCGATGGAGAATGCACGAGATCCCAATGGACCAATCGGAAGGGGTATATATCGATATTTCGGCAGCCCTAACAGAATAGGGGTAATTCAGCTAGGAACGGCCCACGACATGAGCCGGAATGAAAAGTGGACCGATCTAGAACCTTTAATCTTAAGGATTTAGGCAGTTAGGTAGCGACCTCGATAATTTCAAGATAGACAGTTTCAGATGATGTGTATCAGATGCCAAGATAAAAGTACTTTACTTTCACGTGCCAATGCATATATCGGCCAAGGCCGAGTGCACATTTATAGTGAATCCCGATTCCCTACCGAGTAAAAGCTTGTCTAGAATGGAGTTGGGAATCCACTATAGCTGTGTATGTTTTAATATTATCTTAGAGCCCCTAGCCTGTATTCTCTAAACCTAAGAGATATACTTCCAAGGCTAAGACTTTGCTTCGCCACACAAACTCGGGACGACAAGAAGATCGGCAGTCCACGTTTTCGGCATCTGACAATACCATACCCCCCCGTAATGTAATATTCCCGCATGCGTGATTTTCCTACAGCTCTAAGGCTCCAAGCTTTTTTTTTAAAACTTCTTTTCCATCCCAGTTTTATGATGATTTTCTACATATACTGTTTGCCATTCCTCTCTTCTTAACCTTCTTTTCGTTATGCTCTTGATCACCTCTACGAACAATTGGGGCTCAATGCCACGCGGCTAGCGGTGGTCTTTTTTCCTGCAGTCAAAACTCTCCGCTTGGTAGCGATCGACGGGACTACATGTATGTCGCGCGAAGACCGAGTCGAGATGGCAAAGCTAACAGTTCTAGGTTTGATAAATCCCCCTCCTTTCGAGATTTACCTATCTCGACATCTGCCCTTTGGCCAGTGCCAGTGGTCCCCGCTCGGCAACGGTCTGGCCGCAGTCCGTTCACCATGTTCTCAGCCTTTGGTCGCCGGGTAACATCCTTGAAGGAAAAGATCCCGCTTCTAAACAAACTTGAACTCAATTTCATACTCCTCCACTATGCCTACATCATATCCTGGGCTATTATCGGCTCCGTCATCGTTTACCCTGGTGGTAATATCGACTACATCGACGCCCTCTTCCAATCCGCCGGCGCAGCTACCCAGAGTGGCTTGAACACTGTCAATCTGAATGGACTCTGGCTATATCAACAAATCGTCCTATACCTGATCACATGTCTATGCACACCGATCTTCATTCACGGCGCCCTGGTGTTCATTCGGTTATACTGGTTCGAGAAGCGCTTCCAACATGTGGTCCGAGACGCTCGTGCCATGCGACGGACCCGATCCCGCATGGAAACCGTGACCGATGATGGAGACAGCGAAGATATTAATATCAACCGTGCGGAGGGTGGAGTCAGCGGTCGACCCATTACGGTGATACGAGACGATTCAGGGGATGCCCGGGACACTCGATTGACGGATACGGGTGGCAAGCACATCAACTCCGGCATCAACACACCAGAAGGCCGGGGGAGCAGTGTCGACTCTAGCTCCGATGGAACAGACACGAGCAACGAACCCCGCTTTGGCCTCGGTAGCTTGAAGGTGCCAACCCATTTGAACCCTGAACACCACATTGCCTTCTTAGAAAAGCAAAGGAGGGACAAAGGAGCACTGCGCATTCCAAGTCCCCGGGAATATGACCGCGGTGGTGCGCCTGAGGCTTTGGAAGAAGATACGAACCAGGAGGGTGAGCAGGCTCAGCACTCCAGTGACCATGACGAGCAAGACGAACACGTAAGCCCCGGTACACGTCCTAGTGCACACCCCGAGGAACTCGATCAACTTGGTCCACTTGAAGGACCACACATCACCATCAACGAGCCAGATATCCCACGAACCCGTCCCCGCGGGAATACGTTTCCTCGTCTGGACACTCGCCCCACTGTCCGGGAGACTAAAGACGGGAATGAGACGACCACGCTTGGCCCTACTAACACGAGGAACACCTTCAGGGGGATTTTCCGATCTCTGACGCAAGAGCGTGACATGTCCACCCAGCCGTATCTCAGTTGGAATGCGACAGTGGCTCGTAACTCCAATTTCGTCGATTTGACCGAGGAGCAGCGTGATGAGTTGGGCGGTATCGAATACCGTGCGCTCAAGACGTTAGCCGTTGTTCTTATCAGCTACTACCTCGGTTTTCACCTCATCGGCATGATCAGCATGATCGGCTGGATCATGACCAATGACAGATGGGGTGACGTTGTCCGGGATGATGGAGTTGGGCGGCCGTGGTGGGGAATCTTTACATCTGCGTCCGCCTTTAACGATTTGGGTTTCACCCTGACACCTGACTCGATGTACTCCTTCCAGAGGGCCGTTTTCCCTTTGCTGATGCTATCGTTCTTGATCATCATTGGCAATACCGCCTTCCCATGCATGCTTCGTCTGATCATTTGGGTTATGTCGAAGTTGACTCGTCAGGGTAGCGCGTTATGGGAAGAATTGAAGTTCCTTCTGGATCATCCTCGTCGATGCTTCACTCTGTTATTCCCTCGCAATGCCACTTGGTGGCTGTTTGCGATTCTCATCGCGTTAAACGGCATTGATCTGATCTTCTTCGTCATCCTGGATGTGGGTTTTGATATCTCTCCTTTTCACTCGATTCTCACTAACCATGATTTTGTAGCTCGACGACTCTGCCGTCACTGTACTACCACCCGGGATTCGAGTTTTGGACGGCTTCTTCCAGGCCGCTGCGACGCGAACAGCCGGTTTTGGAATCATCAGCCTTTCAGATCTTCACCCCGCCGTCCAGGTTTCCTATTTGATCATGATGTACATCTCCGTCTTTCCCATCGCTATCTCCGTGCGTAGAACCAACGTCTACGAAGAAAAGAGTTTGGGTATCTACGATGCCGCAGAGGATGACGACGACGAAGAAACCAATGCCCCCACCTATATCGGAGCTCACTTGCGACGCCAGCTGAGTTTCGATTTGTGGTACGTCTTTTTAGGTCTGTTCATCATTGCCATTGCAGAAGGATCAAGATTGCAGGATCGAAAAGACTACGCCTTCCAGCTGTTCACTGTTTTGTTCGAGGTTGTCTCTGCATACGGTACTGTGGGTCTGTCGTTTGGATACACAAATACCGATACCTCCTTCTCAGCGCAGTTCAATGTTGTCTCCAAGTTGGTGATCATTGCCATGCAACTCCGCGGTCGCCACCGTGGCCTACCTTATGCGCTTGATCGTGCCGTCCTTCTCCCCTCCGATGCCCTCAACCGACACGAGGCCCAAGAGGGAGAGCGCCGCATGCGCCGCCGCACATCCAACCTCAGTGGAGGTGGATCTTTTGCCCAGTCGCAATCACGCACTTTATCTCAGGCGAGGAACGATGCTGGTATATCTTCGGGTATGGAAACCCATGACTGGGAGACTCATCCTGCTTCAAATGGAGACTCGTTAGTGCATCGTTCTTCGACTGTCCGATCCAATCGCTAGAAACTGGGCGGAACCTTTCGATGTTTTGTTTATACCTACAACGACTTGGCGTCCATATACATAAATGCCCTGGCGGTTCAATTAATTTCATTGTACACATAATTATGGAAATATTGCACTTTTGCCGTTTTCATAGAATCGTAAAGCGGGCTGTGCTGCATTCCTTACTTACAGGGACAAAGCTTACGTTTTGGCCAATCTAATCGCTTTAGACGAGCACGCTTAAGAAATTGTAAACCCGTTCAAACAAGGGGAAAGTAGAGATACATGTATACCGCCTATACCGCCTATACCTCCTATACCTCGCGTACTTGAACCTTGCACGATGAAATAGACTAGACTATTTATAGCCAATCCATCCGCAAACGGAAAGAGCTGCGCTTGTCCGTTTTAGGATATGGAGAGTAGATGTTATATTCATGACGACAAGCTCGGTAGCTTTTTTGAACATAACAAAGGTACATTCTACGTAGAATTATCATCAACTCTTCAAATTCAAACTATATCCATCACTATCATGGACAACCAACCAGATCTAGATCGTTACCGGGCTTCGAACATCCCGCTCGAAACCAAATCCCCAATCACAACATCCACCCGACCAGAAGACAGCCCATCCCAGACGCCCTGGTACAACCCACGAAGCTGGTCCCTGTGCCTGAAACTCATCGTCGCCGCAACAGCCATAGTAATCATAATAGCTGCAATCCTGATCCCGGTCGAGATAATCCAAAACCAATACCCAAACTACACACCCCTCAACTACATTCTCGCAGACACATACTCCGGCCGAACCTTCTTCGACCAATTCACCTATTTCACAGACGAAGACCCAACAAAGGGTTTCGTCGTCTACGTCAATCAATCAACAGCAAGCCATCTCAACCTCACTTATGCAACTGAAACATCGGCAATCCTACGTGTCGATGCATCATCCCCCAACGCCCATTCTGGTCGGAACTCAGTTCGTATCGAGTCGAGAAACACATACGATTCAGGTCTTTTTATCTTCGATATCATTCATACCCCCTTTGGATGTGCTACATGGCCTGCTTTATGGTTGACGGACGGATATAACTGGCCGATGAATGGGGAGATTGATGTGCTTGAAACTACCAATCTTGGAAGTCATGGGAACGAAGTCACGATCCATACTACCAAGGGGTGTAAGATGGATGTCAAGCGGAAACAGACTGGTCAGGCGACCTTTAAGAATTGTGATAATGCCACGAATGGAAATTCGGGGTGTGGTGTTATCGGCGATGAGTATACTTATGGTGAGGCGATGAATGATCGTGGTGGAGGTGTTTATGCGCTTGAACTACGGGATGCTGGAATTCGAGCTTGGTTCTTCCCGACTACAACTGTTCCTGTTGATATCACCGACGGGAATCCGGATCCGAGTAGTTGGGGGGTTGCGTTGGCGGATTTCCCAAGTACGCATTGTGATATTGCGGCGCATTTCAAGAATCTGAGTATCATTGTTAATATTGATCTCTGTGGTGAACTTGCTGCGCAGAAACAGTTTTATGATACTTTGTATCATTGTCCGGCGAGTTGTTCGGACTTTGTTGCGAGCAGTCCTGGCAGTTTTCTTGATGCTTATTGGGAGTTTAAGAGTTTCAAGGTGTATCGTGCTTCTTGAGTGTGGGGAGATGATTGAAGGATAGGGAGTTCTTTTTGTTCTTGTTTTGCTATTTGCTAGATGATATGATTGGTCTGTAATAAGAGGAATGTTTCTCGTTGCAGCGTGATTGTTCGACAGGCATTTGCTGAAGGAGTTTGATATTCGGATTTATATGAGACAAATCAATGTAGGTGGCGTAGCGTCATGGCGGACAAATTCAGACCTATATTTCTTTTCATGTTGTCTTCATTGCCTTCTTGACTAGCGACTCGGTATTCCATAAACAAATAGGGATAAAGTCAGCGATAATTGAGTCCTGAAGCTGGATCCACGATGAGGTAGACATATTTGAATCCCAGATCCTTCCTCCCTCCCAAATCCTCCCAAATCCTCTAGGAGCCATCCACAGAACCTTTCATTAGCCAAAACTCAACAATCTCTCGAATAAGACTCACCATTGCAAGTCACGCTTTCGAATCATCACTCTCATCACTGTACCGCTCCTCTCCATTCGCCTCATATTCCCCATTATCAATATCCCCCCACCACCCTTCTCCGGTGACTTCGGTCGTCTCCTCGATGCGATGCAGCAATTTTCCAGAGAGATGTATAGCACCTCCTTGCCACCAGAAATTAACGTAAACGGGACCAATCAATGCCTTGAATTCTTGGCAATGTGGTTTATCCTCGGTGAGATCGAAGTACTCCACGTGAGCATTGTTGATGACGAGACCTAGATCGGTGCTGATAGTGCCAGAAAAGTAATGTTTTTCTTCATCTCTGGTTTGGATCAAGGTGCGTATTGTTCCTTCGTTGCAGGTGAGACTTCCTGGGGATTTATGCCCTTCGCGTGGTAGGCTGGTGGATTGATTCATTGTGGAAAATTGGGCGGTAATGAGTAAAGTCGGACTTGTTTCTGTATTGATCAATGTAATGGTGTTTTTAGGACAACGAGCGGGTCAATTGGATAGTTTTCGGCGTTATCACAAGTGAGATGGTGTGATAACACACCTCAAAGACTTCAGTTGAAACCGAGGGAGGTATCAGAAGAGCCATGAATCGTAGTAAGATATGGCTTTAGAAATAATGCAAAATGAAATATGAGAGAGAGATATTCAGGTTCACTTCGGTGCTAAATACTAAACATGGAGTGGGTATCTCTAACAAAGATGAACCGTCAACGCACAATCGGCTAGCAATAATTCATCTCCAGATCAAAAGACTCAGAATGCATCAAAACAAGATTGAACTCAACCTCGCAGTGTCGGAGTGTGGGGAGCAAGTGGCCCGAATAAAGGAAATACTAGGTATACCAAACCAAAATCCCGCGTAAATAACAATCGTGATCGTCGTAACAAAAACATGAAAAAGGGACAGAAAGGAAAGAACTATAACTGGCGCAGCAGACTACCATCTGCAAAGGGGTTCTCCGGGGACATATCCAACAACGGCCGTGTGGCATTGCGGTCGCCCGTTGCGACGCCGTGTCCGGTGCGCGGATTTCGATGGCTAGTCGTGCTGGCTGAATGTGCCAGCAGGCTGTGTGGCGTGAACTGGCCGGTGGGAAGTGCCGGGCTTCCTTCCGCCGAAACTGGCGGTGCATGTGTGTTTGGGTGATGGCGCACGCTGCGGGTGGTGTTTCGTCGCTGAGGTGTGGTTTCTGCGGGTGCGGCCGGTCGTCTCCACGAAGTTGAGGGCGGGATGGCGATTCCTCCCGGCGTCTGATCTGGGCCGGTGGCGCCATCGATCAGGTGCATGCCTGGTTGGACTTTGACGCCGTGGCCCTTGCCCTTGCGGCTATGCTGCGGTGGCTCGGCATAGACTGGGGTGAGATCAATCAGAGGCTTCTGGTTGAGAGGTGGGGTTCGATTGGACGGGGATGAATCGGGAGCACGAGTCATTGTGTTGGTCCGGCTGTTGGGACTTGAGTCGTACCCCGGGGGGTGTGTGGATCCTCCGCTCATAAAACCAGTGCCTGTAAAGGCTTCCTGCTTAGCTCTCTTCTCGCGATCATCCCGTTCTCGCATGGCAGTTTGTCGCTGAGTGTAACTTCGACCTAGGAGTCCGGATGGTGCAAACGTAGACGTTTCTCCTTCTTCGGGCGAGATACCCGAGATTAATGCATGCTTGTCGGTGAAAGGCCCATCCATATCGGTATCGAGCGTCAGGGGCTGATATGGAGATGGAGGGGGCACGTGTCCACGAAGGGTCTTTTTCCGGGTAAAGATGTCTTTGGAGCTGCTCGGTCTCTGCTGATCAGAGCTTTCACCCTTGGTAAATTCGGTCGAAGTCTCCCGTTTGAGGGGTGAGACTTCGTTGTGCACATTTCTCGGCTGATTAGTCGATCTCTTCGTCCCAGCGCGCTTCTGTGATTCGGTCTCTGGTTTCTGACCGGCTCCTTTCTTATTGACAAGATACCAACTTCTCCACTTCTGCACTGCTCGGAACCATATATCTGCAATAGACTTGTCGCTGGTCGAGAAAAAGTGCAAGAAGTTCTCGGTGGACAAAAACATGGATGACTTCTGCTGGCTCTTGATTGCAAAGCACAACTTCTTAGGTGGCTTGATATCCTTGTTTAGTGCTCGGGCGCTGGGAAAGTAAATGTCATAGTCGGAAATATGGCAGATATTGGTCTGCTCTTGGGCATTCTCCTTTTTTGAGACCGTCACTTGTCCGTCAGAACGCAAGGTGACATATCGCTTATCCCACTTGCGACGACGCTGGGAATGGTAAATGTGGACAGTCACTGGGGACGGTTGCCCGCTAGGGGCATTCCCAGCATCGAGCTGGGCTAGAGCTTCCACGCTCGAGGGGGGAATGACAATGAACTGGTTATCCGCATCGTGTGACCAGGAATTCATTACTTCCCGCACATGCTCGTAGCGGCGGAGCGGACGCTCAAGGCCAATTTGAGAGTAAGACTCCATGAGAATGAACTTCTCCGCGTCAATGTCCCGAGATAAATACTTGGTGGCATCTAGCAATATATCCCGGACTTGAGTTGACGGGGTGACAGTGAGATCGGCGGTGGCATCTCCATATTTGACAAGGGCATGTCGCTCTCCAGCGTTAACAGCGCTGACAGGAGCATCGAGTCCTGGAACTACTCCGGTTCCGCCCACCCCAATGTAATTCGGAAGGGGCTCGTTTTTCTTGACGTGGTCCTTGGATCTAGAAAGCTTGACCTTCTGAAAGAAAGACTTGCGATGGCCATCATTTTCTGAGTGAGCACTGCGCGGTGGATGCGCCGGGGGTTGCACCGGGGCCGGTTGTGATCGGGGTAATTGCGCGACTTGTTTTGGCAAGACGGAGGCCTGAGGCTGCCGAATATTTTGCGCTGAGTTGTCCCCTCCAGTCAACTGTTCCATCGCTCCTTGTCGGTGCAGCTCACGTGTGCGTGCTTCCTCATTTTGTGTTGCCAAAGGGCGAGTGGCGGCGCGTTCACTTCCTCGTTCACTCCGCTGGTCTGGCTGAGTTCGCGCGTAGCCGGGGATCGCGGGAGTAGGAGGGGCGCCATTTCCATTTGACGTCGGCCGGTTGCGACGGTATCGAGATCTGCTTCTCGCGATCGAGGGGTTTTGCTCGCCAACGCTAGTGACTGGCGCCGGTGGGGGCATTTTGACGTCGCCGGTTGTCGCACCTCGTGCACGATATCGAGAGAACTTTCGAGTCACGGACTGCGTCATGTCTTCACTCATGCTGGAGTCTTCTTTTCCGGGGGCGTTTCGCAATCTCCAAAGGTCTCAGGTCTTATTTCCAGAATGAGGTTAGCGTCTTCAAAACAGCAATTTCCCGTTCCAGGGTCAGTGCTGCGACGCTGCGACTCGGCGACTCTGCGATATGCGACTCTGCGACTTTCAACAGTGTTTTGCAAAGAAAACACAATGTGGGGAAAAAAAAGGCACAGCAGACTAAATAGAATCCCAGACCTCATCAAACCGGCCTGTTGTCAATCGACCATTTGCACCTCGTTGGGGGCAAAAAGTGACCCGCACCGATCGTCAAATGGGCCGGGCTAGGCTGAGGGTGCATTGGATTTCACTTTCTTCGATCGATCATATATGGATTGAACTCACCGAAGTACTTGGCATACAGATTGAGAGAACATCGAAAAGTAAACACGATGGGTGCTCCAAGTTTCGGTTTCGTAGGGGCTAAACATTTCCGGATCTGGCACGCCGGATGCGGTTTCACGCACGACGCCAGGGTTATATACGAAGTACAGTCGACCTAAGTATATAAGAAAAAAAAACAATAATGATCGACAGGTACTATTGACACCGTTGCCACTATTAGATTGTTCAATTCAAAATGTGACACTATTATTGGATGATATCTCCGGGTCCACAAGACGATCACATACTAAACTCCAAGTGTCCTTGCTATTCTTCATAAATGGTCCAGGACATAACGAAGGTCAAAGCCTCATGCAATTCACATGATGCTCCTTACTCCGTACCGAGTATACAAGTTTCATGATGTGATAGTTCCAAAGTGGTTACTGGACTCACGCTGATATCCTTGATGGGCTCAAATCTCCTTCCTGATTTTCAATTGGACCCTGAGTCCTTCTATATTTCAATCATTCTTACAGCACAATGCAGATCGAGCCTATTTCTTATAAGCACCCAATTCCCGACGCCTGTGAGTTGTTAGCATAGACCTACGAGCAAGGAGCCGTACACCCCTGAAGAGAACTTACCACCACGCGATGAAATCCACTGTCCGCACATCAATCCCAAGCTCAGTCAGTGCCTTGGTAGAGAGATGTGTATCATAAGGCCGTACAACACCCCCATTAGGATCATTGCCCTGCTTGTTGGGGATCATCCCGGGAATAGCGACACCCATCACATGAGCCAACTTCTGGCAAATCTCATACTTGGTCATACGGTCCTCAGAGGAGAATTGCAGGATACGGGGGAAGTCCTTGCGCTTCTCCTTCTCGCGCAGGTACTTGATGACAATGTCCCGACAAACACGCGCAACGTCCTCAGTATTGGTTGGGTACCGTATGGCCCAGTCGTCCATTTTCACGCCGGCATTCTCATCCGTGGCCTTCTTGACTGCGTCGACAAGTGTGTTGATCGCACTCTCCGAGTTCTCCTTGGCGTTACCGTACAGCACCGGCACACGCAGCACAATGCCCATACCTGAGGTTTCGGTTGCTTCTAGTACAGCCTGCTCACCATCACGCTTCAGTTGCCCGTATAGGTTCGGCGGCTTGGTCTCGGCATCGATCTCGTATGGTGCGTCGCCTGCGGTGCCGGGGAAGACGTAGTCGGTCGAGATGTAGATGAGGAAGGCGCCGCGGGATTGGCATTCTTTGGCCAATGTTCGAGTGGCTTCAACATTAACCCTGCGGGCTTGATCTGGGTTCTTGTCGCAGAGATCGGGGGACTTGTTTGCGGCACCTGTGAGCTGTCAGTCTCTGGTGGGGGTGATCGAGTAGGCTGATTAGCTTACAATGGATGACAATCTGAGGCCTATAGTTCAAAGCTGATTAACATCTCCAGTTGAGACCTAAATGGAAATACTTACTTGACTTCATCAAAGAGCATGCGAATGTCTTCCTCCTTCTCCAGATCGGCCTTCAAGATGGTAGGCGGGGAAGGGCGGGAAAATCCCTGGCCAACAACCAACACCCCTGAGTGTTGGAAAGTATTGAAAACAGCACGGCCCAGGAAGCCACTGGCTCCAGTAACAAGAACTGTAGATGTCATTTTGAATGCAGTGTGGTTAAGTGAAGAAGCTGGGGGCCTTTTTTTTTTTCCTGTCGACGCGGGGAGCCACTGTGACGTAACTGACTTCTGATGTGGATAACTATATTAACCTACCAAGTTAAAACACATATGTATTTCAATTCCATTCATTGCTGTGATATGAATTATGAATTAAAGCTTGGAGCTGGCTCAGGTTTACAAAGAACAATCCCAAAGTCAAATTAGAGCAGCTTTGGAATGGGAATTTTTAAGTTAATTATCCCCCTGAAATTACCCCCCAAGTCAAATGCCCATAGGTCCAAATCCACCATGATGAAAGCAGAACTGATCTTGTAGGTCGACACTCGTTGGATTAACCTCAAACAATATGGCTGTCAACAATGCAGCAGAAGTTAGGCCTTTATTCACCAGATGCTTCAAAAAGAGAAGGGGTGCGATCTGTCTGATCCGGCACTATTCCCCTCAAAACTTCCCACTCATGCTCCAGCATCGACAAATTAACAACATCATGCCAAGCGCGACAGTGATATACAGCCTCGCGTTCGCGACCTTCATCCACAAATCCAAGCTTCCTATAAAGCTTCAATGCATCGTGGTTGAACGAAAATGCGCCGATGGTGACTCGATGTAGTCCAACATGTTGAAATGCCCAGTCTAGTGCCCAGTTGATAGTTTCCCCACCGTATCCTTTCCCGCGAAATCCGTCCGCAAGTGAGATTGCTATCATCGCATTGCGATGATGAGCGTAGCCCGGTCCAGTCAAACTGACCACGCTCACGCAGCCAATTGGCACTGGCTGGGAAGTTTGTTCTGCTTCGGGGGAGTCTTGGGGAAGACATATCACCACTCCTAGGATGGACTCCTGCAATGACTTGATGAATTCCTCTGTGGCCTTTTTGGGATATGGGCGCGGGAGACGTCTACCGCCCAGTGCTTTGATTACATCGTCGTTGACAATGTGATTGTGGAAAAATGCAATGTCCTCTTCGGAGCTTTCTGGGGCTCGGTAGATGAGGCGGCTAGACTTGGAAAGTTCTCCAAGGGCTTGGGTTGACGCCATATTGGGAAATCAGAAATTGGTGGAATATAAAGGCTATTCACTGTGGGGGGGGGGGTCGATAGCTTTATGCGAAAGAGCAACATCTGAGTCCCCCATAACCAATTAACTCCCAACATTGACACCATGTTGCATTAGAGCCAAAGTGAGGTAAGCGCTATATAGTATCTCGGGGGTCCGTGGTCCTATAGTGTAGAGTAGAGGAATCACTGATGACACCCCGCCTCTCACTTCGGTCTCACATAAGTGTTCCACTTTTTTTCATCGGGCAGCTTTTCCATATATGACCTTGTTGACTTGTTACTGAGAACCGCCTCCACGTCCAAATCACGCCGCGAAACCAAGATGCGCATTTTAACCAAAATAGGCACGCATCAAACGGTCTCAAATTTGCTGCAGCATTTGTCTTTGGAGTGGACTCTTCCCCTGTGGAGTAATTTCCTTCAAGGAGGGGGGGGGGGATTATATACATGGCATAGACACCAGTCGTGCAGAACCAGGGAGTACTAATAGGCGGGGCCTAGCGCGTTAATTAGAGACGAGGTAATTAAATAACAGGCTGAGCGCTTCGCAAGCGTCACAAAAATTTCGTGCCTTATACGGAATTCTGATGCACGAAATACTCATGTCTGACGGCGATCCCCGGTCCGGAAGTCGGCGCCGTATCCTTCACCAATCCGTCCTCAGAGTCATTAAACGAGATGTCATCTATGCCGCGGTCAACCTGACCCTGTGAGGTGGACACGGCGGTGTGCTGTGTGTTGGCGCCAGTATGTATGCCAGAGTGCGAGAGCTCGTAGCCGCGGCGGCCGCTTGAGGTTCCCATGCGAGAGTGTGAGCCGAATACTAGGGTACGGAGAACGGGGAGACAAGATGCGATGATGGCGATGGCGGTTTCGATCATGGAGACGGTGCAGGTGATCATTTGTTCGTTGCGGTAGGCGTAGATTGCCCGGATGACTGGGTACATTGGTTTAGTGGAGATTATACGAGAGGGAGGGGGGACATACTGCTAGTTATGACTACGAGAATACCCAAGAGGAAAACAGAAATGACACCCCACTTTTGTTTCTTTGGCATCTTGAGTCTCGCAACTTGTGTAATGGGGAGGCAGATGACTAGTTTGGGTTAGGAGTGATCTGAGATTGAATTGGGTTCGACACCTTACTGAAGACATCGGTGAAGATGTTGACTGTAAGAATCAGTTGATAGTCCAGATTAAGTCAGAGCAGAGAGGGCCATACAGAGAATTGTGAGCCAGTAATTGACTGTGGACGGTCCTTGGGGACATGCCACTGCGAAATTGTTAGTCCCTTTCTCTGTGGTTGATATAGAAGTATCCTCACACTGGGGATGTAAGATCGCCTGCCACAGTCGCTGGACCGGATAACACTTGAACAAAATATCGAAAAACAGCACTAGCCAGGTCGCAGCCAGGAGACCAAGTGTGATGTTATACACAATCTGATACCGGGTGCGATCCGCCAGGCGCTTGTAGAAGATCACCATGCTGGCCTTGATCAGCCATAGCGAAGTAACGTATAAAGTGGATCCTGGGATGATCATCTGTCAAGGCCATTAACGATGTGAGTGCAGATCCCTCCAACCCCAGGCTGTTTCACCTTCATCATATTGATCTTTCCATCCACAGTTGACTTGGCCATTTCAGACATGCCTGTGCATTGTCAGTGGAGTCCTAGGGGCTTGTTCCCCAGTTCTTGGTCTAAAACACGTACCCTGGTTAAACATATAATGTTGGATCGCCAGATCTCCGATTAGACACAAAGCAGCCACAAAAACGAACAGGTCGTCGAGGTACAGCCGTTTCAGGAGCCGCACTCGGACCACCAAGCGACAGACCAGAAAGATGCATGCTGCCACTGTGCATACATACCAGGCAACCTACACAGAGAACCCTGTTAGCTATCTAGTAGGACGAACAGTGGGACAATTGAAGAAAGGGCGAAGAAAGGGCACTATACCACTTGTCCCTGATCCTGGCGTGCCATGTTGGGTTGCCTATACTTTAACGGCAGAGAGAGGAAGTGGCAAGATAGGATACGGGAACATCAAGAAATGTGCCAGCCGTCTACCCAGACAATAATGAATTGGCTTCTACAGTCATTCCCGAAATCGACGTAACACGCTGAGACACTTTTTGCTAGGCCGACTGCCAAGGCCCTAGCATCGATCTTTTACGATCTTTTAAGTCGATTGAGTGTTTCTGCGATTCACCTATAGTATCTTCTTGGGGCTAATGTGGGGCTGAAAACAGGATAAACGTCAATGATTACTGTAGACCAGATTTTCCCCAATTTCGTGCCCCACTTGTGGTACTGAAAGATTCCAAACCGAATGCCATTTTGTTGTGCAGGTGGAGTAGCTAATTTGCATAGTCGGGAATGCTAGAAATTATATACCCCCAAGTAATATGGCTTCGAAGCTCACCAGTGTCTTGATATCAGGCTTGGAAGAGCCCTGCGAAAACTTCGACGAAATGAGACAAAATTGCGAGCCATGGATTTATCGTGCCACTTTGGAAGAAGCGCCCGAGTGGTTCCAAGGTTCCCATATCACGCTTCAAACCTTATCTAGAGCAATATCACGCTAGGCCAAAATGCAGAGTTTTACCGGAGTTGTTCCGGAGGTCGAACCTTGAGCAAAAGTGACCAATCACAGTGCTAAGGTCTCGCAGACTAGTGTTATTATACTTTTTCGGCAGAATATTTGCCGATATAATCTCAATGAGAAGGACGACTCTATAGGTCCTAATAGGCGACTAGTAAACAAAGGCCTAGATATGTCTCACTCTGCTAATTTCACGAATCAAGGATTTAATATAGTATACGCTACCTAAAATGTAAATTTATTAAGTTCTTAAAGTAACGTAATAGATAAGCTGTTCTCGAACCGTACCTGCATTAGGTTCTGTGATAGGAAATGAAATATTCTAGATTTAACTTTGTCTAAGCATAGAACTTTTCTCAAGCACTAGTGTTCCACACCACAGGATAGTTGGGATAGTTGGGCTTGTAGAGTTTCTGGCAACGACCGTTATAAACGCCAGTCGTGCTCGTCACAATCTCCTCCTCGTGTCCAGGCACACCCACGCGCCCCAGGGGACCATCAACAGGCTTGGCCTGCTCCCAGCCAGGCCCAGCGCTCGGGTTCTTGACCCACTCGACAAACCAAGAGTTCATGGAGTCCGCCAGCTGCTGCTCCGCCTCAGTCACGCCGTCCAGCAGGGAGAAGCATTCATTGCCGCCGTGGAAAAAGGGCACCTCGCTGCCGTGCGAGGGTCCGAGATTGGGGATCGGCAGCACGTTCGAGTAATCGCCGAACCAACGGTAGATCCAGGTGGGTTGCTCGCCTGCGCGCAAGTCCAGCAGGTAGTCGGTCGCGCAGAGGAAGCGCGCGTCGCCGTAAGAGGCACCGCTCATCTGGGAGACGGAGGAGTAGTCGGCCTCGTTATAGCCGGCTAGGAGCTCGGCTGCGGGCACAAAGGCAAGGTCGGCGTCAAAAGTGCGAACCCAGGACGAAAAGTTGGTGTTCTCGCTGCCGTAGACATAGCCGAAGATCTCGCCCTCCTGATCGGAGTTGCCGACGATCAACGGCAGTGATTTAGGGTAGTATCCCTGGACGAAGCGGTCGGCGTAGTTGGAGAAACGGGTGATCTCGTCCACTGCTGGCGAGAACCAGGTGTTCAAGGTGGAGTTGAAGTCGCTCGTCTGGAAGGCGTACGTATCTGCTCCGCGCAGGCACTCGAGAGTGTAGTCCTCAGCGGTACAACCCAAAGTCACGCCAGCATCCAGCATTGTCTGGACCACCTGCTTCATCGCAACCCCTGCGCCCGCGTAGCCAGGACCCGATTGGGCGTTGGCAGACATCTCGATCGCACCGGCCAGAAAGGTCTCTGGGTGGTTCCAGAGATAGTGATCAACGTGCACTCCACCAGATGAATGGCCACCCAGCACGATGCGCGACTTATCACCTCCGAAAGCTGGTGACGAGGTTAGCCAAAAGGTCATTGGTTTCAAGAGAAATGGGAACTAACCCTCAATATTGTTGTAAATCCACTCCATGGCCAACTCCACGTCCATGATTCCAAAATTCTGGGACTGTCCCTGCAGTTCAGGTGCATTTGGCGAGGCATAGATGCTCTCACGGTAATTAAAGTTGACGTAGATAACATCCTTGCGGGCAAAGTTAGACCCTTGCCATTGGGCATTGCTGCTGCCCCCGGTGACCATGGCACCACCATAAATATAGACAAACACAGGATGCTTGGTACCCTGTTGCGGGGCCCAAATGTTCAGGCTGAGGCAGTCCTCGCTCTGGTCGGTGATGGCCGTGCCCGACATTACCTGGGCACAGGATGGCCCATAGGCAGTCGCCTTGAAGCCACCGTTGGGGAATGAGCTGATGGGTTTAGGTGCCTTCCAGCGGTTCTCGCCAGCAGTGGTCTCGGCAAATGGAATGCCTAGAAAGACGTTGATATCATTCTGGGAACAGCCTTTGATCACCCCTTGCTCGACAGTGGCTCTGGGAGAAGCAGGCGAGGCTGGAGGGCATCCATAGGGCTGCGCAGTCACCAAAGCCACAGCGGTAGCCGTCAGGCTCAAGGTGCGAAGGAAGAAACCCATCGCAAGGAGAAATAACAACTGATGGTTGTTGATAATGGGGGAATGCCCATTTAAGCGGGCAGTCACGTTTGCGGAACCATGCCGATATTGCGCTAAACTCGCAAGATGTCTTGCATTCGTCCAATCATGCCAATTTCGGTCTGCAACCACATGGCACCCATGTGGAATTTATCAAGCTAGCTTCCGAGTAAAAAGTAAAAAATGTTACATCCAATCATCTGTAATACACATGTCCACCACGTGGCGCACTGAACCCGTTCACTATTGTTTTCTGTCATAAAATTAGGCAAAAGTATTGCTCCGTTATTTGATTTGGTTTATCTAGGCCCTAGACATTCTTGAGAAAGCCAAATACAGAAACACAGAGTTTTCGATCCCATTGATTGGACCTATACATTTCTCACCAAGTCCTACAATGATAAGCCCGTTTGCATGAAATCAAGACCACAATAACCTATACGCAGCTTCTATAACGGGCTAGTGGCTTCTAATGAACCTACAATCGTGAAGCTATTCCTGCCACGAGTCCTATTGAGAGCATCCCAAACGTCTCGATCGCTTTACACCTAAATTCCATCATTTCATCCTTTAATTGTTGCGGGTATAATTTTCTTAGCCCAGTCGGGACATAGCCCAATCGTTCCAAAAGCCGCCTATCTAATTCGCTAATCCTAATCCTCGAGGCTTGTCTCTATACCTACATAGCTATTTAAACCCATCCAGATGACGGTCGTTGGCTAAGTGCATTGATCCTATGCATTAGCCCTAATCATTTTTTAAGCAGTCTATGTGCCAACTCTCTTCTATCCCGGCATTGATCTTTAAGAAGCCCTACGACAGCTTCCTAGAACCCCTTCAATTAAGTGTGACGTAGTAGGCTTTCGGACACGGATTCTAGGACAGAATAGTGATAAAAAATAATTATGCAAATGTTCCGGAATGTCAACTAGATCCTTTACAGCACTATTCGATTTCGAAATCAAGCTTGTTTGTACTTCTAGGGTTGTGAAGCTCCGTCACACTTTATGCCACATGTGGAAGCTCTCGCTCTTCTATAAGTCCGCGATCATGCTCGAATAGCACCCATTACCAATGATTAAACATAAATGTCGATTTATTCGTACGGGTTTTGGTTTCGCCAATTTCATAGAAAGCGAACAAGTGGTGAGTGAGCTGCTCCTCGCAGTACTGACAAGAGTTTACAGTTCATGGGCATCAACATAATAATTCTTGTTGGTTTTTTTGCCAAAAAAAAAAAACCTTGCTCTATACCATAATCCTGTACTTACTAAGCTTTTATACCAAGATCAAGGTCAAGTTAAACACTGATATAAATTGTAACACTCTACAAGCATAGAACACAAAAAGCCGAAAATTCCCGAGGTCGACCGCACTCGGAGGCAGATCGGAGCATCGGAGCATCTCCACTCGACATTCTCAAAATTGTTCTCTCAATTACCCCAGCCATGTCCGGTACTAGGAATCTCACAGCTGCTTTGCGGCGGGCCCGAGTGCCTCGTCCTCGTCTTGCCATTCGCCCCGTCCAATTCACCCCTTTGACTGTGCGCGCCTTCAGCGCCAGCTCCACCCGCGACTCCGATTCCCGTCAGATCAAGTTCACCAGCGACGCCTACCCCAACCTCAAGCGCAACCCCAACTTCGCCGAGATCTCCGCCGACGATGTCGCACATTTTAAGGAGCTTCTGGGCTCCCAGTCGGCCGTGATCGATGGCGTGACCACCGATGCGACGGACGATCTCGAACCCTTCAACGGCGACTGGATGCGCAAGTACCGTGGCCACACCCGGCTTGTTTTGAAGCCCCAGAATGCACAGGAGGTCAGCAAGGTGCTGAAATACTGTAACGAGCGCAAATTGGCCGTCGTGCCGCAGGGTGGAAATACTGGTCTGGTCGGTGGCTCGGTCCCGGTCTTCGATGAGATCGTCATCAACACCTCCCGCATGAACCAGATCCGCTCGTTCGATCCTGCCTCAGGTGTGCTGGTCGCTGATGCCGGTGTTATCTTGGAGACTGCCGACCAGTATCTCGCTGAGCGGGGGCACCTCTTCCCTCTGGACCTCGGTGCCAAGGGGTCCTGCCACATCGGTGGAAATGTCTCCACCAACGCCGGTGGCCTGCGTCTCCTCCGCTACGGCAGTCTGCACGGTACCGTGCTTGGTCTCGAGGCCGTTCTGCCTGATGGGACTATCGTGGATGCACTATCGACTCTACGCAAGAACAACACTGGCTACGATATCAAGCAGCTGTTCATCGGCTCTGAGGGTACCATGGGCCTTGTGACTGCTGTCTCTATTCAGTGCCCCCCGCGCCCCAAGGCGGTTAATGTGGCCTACTTCGGTCTCGAGAGTTTCGAGCAGGTCCAGCAAGCTTTCCTCGCCGCCAAGGGCCAGCTCTCTGAGATTCTCTCTGCGTTCGAACTGATGGACGGTCGCAGCCAGAAATTGGTCATGGAATCTACGGGTAACAAGCACCCTCTTGAGAGTGAGTATCCCTTCTACTGTCTGGTGGAGACCAGCGGTTCCAACGCTGAGCACGACATGGCCAAGCTGGAGTCATTCTTGGAGAGCGTGATGGGCGATGGCATTGTCGCCGACGGTGTACTGGCCCAGGATGAGACCCAGTTCCAGGCCCTGTGGCGCTGGCGCGAGGGTATCACCGAGTCCCTGAGCCACTTGGGTGGCACCTACAAGTACGATGTGTCGATCCCGTTGTCCGATCTGTACCTGCTTGTGGAGGACTGTAAGGCCCGCCTCACAGAGAAGGGTCTGGTCGGTGACGATGACTCTTTCCCCGTTCGTGCCGTTGTTGGTTACGGTCACATGGGTGACTCCAACCTGCACTTGAACGTTGCCGTGCGACAGTACAGCAAGGAAGTGGAGAAGGCAATTGAGCCATGGGTGTATGAGTGGATTCAGAAGCGCCAGGGCAGCATCAGTGCCGAGCATGGGCTTGGCGTTGCTAAGCGGGAGTTCATTGGTTACAGCCAAAACGACACGATGTTGAAGTTGATGAAGCAACTGAAGAACCTTTATGACCCGGTAAGTGGAGTATCACTACTCTGTGGGGGCAACTGCTAACTTTTATTAGAATGGGATCATGAACCCGTACAAGTATATTTAGAGCTAGTTACGTGTGTACAATGTATAGGGGTTGGGGACAAAAGCCATCCACCGAGTAATAATCACAAGCACAGGCATATGCATGTACAATGCATCTCCAAGTACTAAAAGCAAAGGAAGTAAATGATAATCCTTCCAGGCCATACTAGTGGACCCCTTGCAGATATACCCCGGTCGCTGCCTGAGGCCACCCGTTGCCATGTGAGACGGAGCTTGTTTGGGGATTTATGCTCCACCCCTTGTCATGGCTTCTTGACTTTCTTGACCTTTCAGTCCAAAGCTATTCATTCAATTACTTGGATGAGCCCTGTCGAACCCTGTCCGACCGGAGTAGCTGGGCTGAATTATTACACAATGGACGACATGGCGAGTCATTACCAGGTGATGGAGGAGCTAGGGAGTGAGTTGAAGCTCGTTTTTGCTTTATTTTTTTGGCATTTCCGTCGGCTAACCGTATTCTCCGTTTGCAGGTGGTAGTTTCGGAGTGGTTTACAAGGCCATTGACAAGACCGACGGCGAAATCGTTGCTATTAAACACGTACGCTTTTCATGATCTATCTTCGAGTCAATCCCCACCTTTTCATTTCATAATTGACCCCCTTTTCAGATCGATCTCGAGTCCAGCGAGGATGATATCCAGGAAATTCAACAGGAGATTTCTGTTTTGGCCACCTGCGCTAGCCCCTATGTTACACAATACAAGGCCAGTTTCCTTAAGGGGCACAAACTATGGATTGTTATGGAATATCTCGGAGGTGGTTCCTGTTTGGATTTGGTACGTTTTTTATGGCTGTTTTGACCGTGAGGTACATCGCTAACCGTCCCAGTTAAAACCTGGATGTTTTAACGAAGCCCATGTGGCCATCGTCTGCAGAGAACTCCTCCTGGGCTTGGATTATTTGCACAACGAAGGCAAAATCCACCGTGATGTCAAGGCCGCCAATGTTCTCCTTTCCCAAACAGGAAAGGTGAAACTGGCAGACTTTGGTGTCGCTGCACAGCTGGTCAACATCAAGTCACAGCGCAATACGTTCGTCGGAACCCCTTTCTGGATGGCACCCGAGGTAATCCAGCAGGCTGGATACGACTTCAAGGCAGACATCTGGTCTTTAGGTATCACGGCAATCGAGATGATCAACGGAGAACCCCCACACGCCAGCACACACCCGATGAAAGTGCTGTTCCTGATTCCCAAAAACCCCGCCCCTCGCCTCGAAGGCAACGAGTACAGCAACACATTCAAGGACTTCATTGCACAATGTCTGACAAAAGACCCGGATCTTCGGCCAAGTGCAAAGGACCTATTGAGACACAAATTCATCCGGAATGCGGGCAAGCCTGAGTCACTCCAAGAACTCATTCATCGCAAGCAGGACTGGGATGGTGGCCGTGGTGAGGCGAGAGACGTGAAATACTATGCCGAGTCTATGAACACCATGACCAGGCCCGGTGATCTCGATGATGACGACTGGGTCTTTGACACAATCAAGGCTCCTACAATGTGGAAACCCAAGGGCACAGATTGGATGACATTCGACGAGGAGGACGAAAACCTGCCCGAGCCAACTCAAATGTTGGAAGAACTGCATATAAGCCCACCACCACCAGCACCGCCTAAGCACCAGGCCAATTCCACCGTTCGCCGAGCTCCCACCGACCGAATTCCTACCGACCGATCTCCGTCTGTCAAACGGGCTAACACCAAGCGTCGCTCAAGTGGGATCAAACAACCCCTTGGTCTGGACTTGAGTTACGGCAACAGCCCGTCGACAGTCAGACAGTTCCGCCGCGTGTCGGACAAAGTCCCCGCCGATCTAAACCCAGTCAAGCAGGGCTTTGATGAAAACCAAAGCCCGAAGA